GAGATGAGGTAATTTTTAAAAAATCAGTTTTAGAAAAACATTACAAAAACTTATTTTTCTACTCAGGAGAATAGTTTTAGAAAATCATAATGTCATACTTATCAGATTTGCTGCACATTACATTTATATTTACTGTGCTACCATGAAGAATACCTGTATATTAAACCATGAAATAAAGAGGCCATTAATTTTTTTAATCATTCATTTAGTAATAAAAGTGTAAAAAAGTATGTCATATATTTTAAATGTAAGTATGATAACGGATGTTATGAATAATCATCACAAAACTTATTGTATCTGAATCTATATGCAAAAATATAGATTTCTCTTCCTGAGCATCGGTAAATATATATTATTGTATACATTATTTCAACTAGAGTTATTTGACATAATTTTTTATTTTATATAGTATTGCTAGTATACTATATACATAGTGAACATTTTTTTATTTTTAGTAAAAGTTTCTTAATAATGTCCCATATTGCATTAAAAAATTTTTTTGTTCATATTTAGAATAATTTTAATCTTTTAGCATTTCTGCATGGTTATTACCTTCATGTAGAAACATAACTTTCCCATGCATGTTAATTGAAGTATCTAATAATGCTTATTAGTGAGTGAATTAAAATTGCTTGAAAAAAATTAGAAAGGAAAACTTGATTTTAAACATTTTTTTTAATTATGTTTTAGTAGAATTTAAAGGTAGTAGGAATTTTAATTGCTAATGCAACTGAACATTGAAATATCTTATTTTACAGAAAACTATAGGCTGGAAGACACATTCCAAAATCATCTGATTATCAAATTAGTTCTGGTTGGTACTTAAAATAGAGCAATACATTTTATTTCTTATTCTTTATACTAAATGTGTTTGCTCTATAAATAAGTGACATGTGCTGCACTTTTTATTATTATTTTGGTTTGGCGCTGTGCAGAGCACTGTAAAGCTGATACTGCATGACACTTTTATATTCTAAATTCAGATGTCTCTTACAGATATTTTATTGTAACATCCTGACCTTATTTTCATTTATTTATTTTATTTCGTTCAGTTCTTTGTTTCTGATTTCTTTGTAAGAAAATTATGAAGCAGTCTGATTAGTTAGTGAGAATTTTCATCTTCAAAATATAGTTTTTGCATATTATTTTTTATATAAAGAAGGCATGTAATCTTCATTTAGAATTTTAGTAGGGTACAATGAATTTTTATAATTTTTTCAATAATTATTATGCTATGTTAGAAAATGCAGCAAGAAAAGAAATTGCAGCTGTTAAAGGTAGCAGCTATATTAAATTAATTTTAAGCATTGAAAAATCCTGTGCTGTGTCATTAGAAATATAAAAAATTGGTTAAAGGTCATATAATTTTTGTCAGCATTATGTGTAAAACTGATATCTTAGAAAGATAATACAATTTGCCACAGTTTTAAATTTATTCTTCTCCATATTTATTAGATTTTTTGAAGAAGGTTTTTTTCTTCCATCCTGGGATTTCTTAAAAATTTCTTGCAAAATTTTGCACATTCCTGGAAGCATGGGAATCAATATAGAAAAAAGAGTTGGCACTGTTTAACAAACAAAAAATAATATAAAATTATGTTCTGCCATAAAAAAATTGTATAACAAATATGCAAATTTCAATGTTTTTAATAAGAGAAGCTACTGTCCATGAAATTGTGAAATTTATATTTACAATTTTATGTATTTTCCTAATATCTCTGAAAAAAAAAGTCAAAATTGTCTGGATTTCTGTAGTTAATACTATAATTTATCATTAAAAAAAAATTCCTCTGCTCAAAGGAAGGTAGTTGGAGCAAGTTTTTAAGACTTCATTAATAGCTGAATTAAACCATTAAGCAGAATAAGCATATACTTCAGGCATCAGGAAAAGAAGGCACCAAATGAAGATAGGGGCAACAAAGAAAGGGTCACCACAAAGTGGTTAAAAAATAGTGGACACCACTAAAAGAGTGCTTAGGGGTTTAAGGAAAGGGGTCATCACAAAAATATTTCATTGCAGTTTTACCAAGGAATGTATGATGCAGCTAAACTAAGACATTGGGCATTATACTATAAATGTATGTGGGGTACCCAAAATTTTTAAAGTGCTTAGGATCTCTAAAAGTCTTATTCTGGTCCTGGTAGTGTACTCCATATTGGAAGCTCTGTCACCATCCGTAACTTGAATAATTATAGTTAATCTATTTTTCCAAAACTATTTAAAAGCAGTGTTTCTAATTTTGAGGAAAATGTTGTTCTAGATATTTTCTTAAACTGAATCGCACAAATTTTTCTTTCAATGGCAACTCTTTATTAGCTTCATTTATTGTTTGTGATTTCATGCACATCATGGAGGTAAGAAAGGAAGAAGAAGCCAAGCCCGCACTACGAGTGAATTACTGCTCCAAGGCTTCAATCTCCAAATGGGGTGCTTTTTTTTTTTTTTTTTTTTTTAAACCTGGTAAAAGGTAAAAGGCTGGTAAAAGGTAAACATGCAGAAGCTTTCTTGACAACGCTTTGATAGTGTTTCGACACACGACAGTTCCATACAAAAACAGGACACTTCCGCATAAAAGAAACATTCATTGTGTGATGGATAATAGCAATTTGTATAGTTTAGTGACATTTATGCAGAAATCATATATTTTTCTATAACTAACAACAGCAATTTTGATTATGAATATGTTTTATAAAATTGTAAGCTGTTGAAATACAAAAATATAGATTTTAGCAAAAATGTTACACTTAAAGAATAAAAATGTCTTATGGTACCTTTAAAAATTGTACATGTCTTTCGATACCCTTGATAGAGTATTCACTACCTTTATGTTATGTTCCAAATGCCAAAAAGTTTAAAATAAAATACTCTTTCCCCCCATACACATATTATTGTAAGATGTACTTTTTAAAAAATTTTAGAGGAGAGGCTTTATAGTTGTTCATTTTAAACTCATCATTTTATTTTTATATAATTGAAAAATAATTTTTTTAGGTTTACACGTTTTACTTATTTGGGTTAATTACATATTTGAGTATTTATTTATTTATAATGTATTTGAAATGAAGGATTTATTCATTCATAAACTTCCTGTGAAAGTTACTCTGAAGAAATGTAACTATTAATGTATGTAACTTTAAATGATTATAAATATTATCTATTTATATAACCTAACCTTTTCTAAATAATAACCTTAACATTGAATAGTAGACATAAATTGAAATCCTGTTTGACAGATATGTTTATAAAACGTCGTTTAAGCAAAAATTGTTCATACTGGAAAGGAATCTGGTAAAAGGTATTGTAAAGCAAATTCTATGAGATGTGTACTTAAGGAAGTAATAAAGAAGAGTTTTAGAAAATATATTCTTAAAATTAAGAGTAAAAAAAAAAAAAAAAAAAAAAAAAATCTATAAGCATAATTAAAAGAATTATTTCCTTACATTTTTATAATAACTCGGTTACAAGTTTTAAATAATATTTTAAAAAAAATCCTTTTCTTATTCCCTTTCAGAAATATTCAGAGAAAAAAAGTAAGTACCTGGGAATGAGCACCAATATTTAACGTATTTCACTATTTAAAAAAAAAAAAAAAAAAGTGCTTTAATTTGTAATGGACCGAATAGAGCATTAATTGTAAATCTACTTAGATTTTTTAATTTAAAAGATGCTTCAGAAGCTAAAAAATCATATCATATTTGAGAAAGTATTTTAGGAGAAGCTCTATAACTAGAAAAGAAGTAATGCATAATTTTAATATTAATAATACCTTAATTTTTGTAATTCTTAACTGAATAAAATTAAATTACCTTAATTTTTTTTTTTCTAATGTGATTAACGAAAGCTTGTGAAAATATTTCATCTAAATTAAACCGTTCTGAGCAAACTGTTCTGTGAAAAGTGTAGCATTTAATTCTGATTAGAATGAAATGTTTAAAAATGTATTCTTTTCAGATACTTAGGACTCTGAAATATTGTAGAAAAGAAAAATATATACATTTATATGTATATTTAAGACTTAATTACAAAATATTTACATCCGATCATGTCAAAACTCATTGATCTTGATTGATTGATTCACTGAATGTTTTGGTCACCACGAAGGGATTGCCAGTGCTTTAAAGCAGTGTAATAGGGAAAACCAGTTAGGGCCTCTCCATCTTACTTCCTACCTCCATGATGCACATAGCAAATTTTTTAAAGCTCACTCCACCTCTTCCTTTTTTTTTTTTTTTTTTTTTTTACAAGAACAAAAAAAAAATTTTTTTTACTATGACAGCAGTGGATGACGTTTTTATCTTACATTTCACTAAGACTGATAAATGGCCTTTTTATTACTAAATTATAGGAAATTTTTCTGCAACATAATTTGAAAGAAATTTATTTAAAGATAGTTATTGTTTACAGAAATTGTCTAAGAAGAGAAAAAATATCCAGAGAATTGAAAAGCAATAAAAAAATGTCTTTTTTGGGAAAAATAGAATATTGGGTATATCTCTAGAGTTCATATAAATTTATTTGTAAGCTTTTGTTATTGTTTATTTATTCTTGGACTCCTATCTCTGGTATTGCTGATTCCCATATTGGTTGTATTCTGTGCTTTCTTTTTCTAATTATGAAATTCTGTGCTATAAAGAATTTTTTAAGATCATTGACTTACAAAAGTGATATTTTTTGACAAAGTATTAAATGTTTTCTTTTCGTCATACGTTCCAATAAAGGAAATATGGAGCTTCTAAATATTATGATCAAAGCTCTGTAATTTCTTATCTGGTTTGAAGACCTTTGATGTCATATCCAGAATTTTATTTATTTATTTTTTTAATTTATATCTTTTCAATGTGCCTTCAATTCTTAATTTGCCTTCAACATCAGCCAAATGTTTACTTGAAGCACGGCTTTCTCATTTATGCTTTGAGATGTCTGTATTTTGCTTTTTAATACTATATAGCCACAAAATCTTTTTGTAAGTTTTCTTTGCCTTTTTTCTATGGCTTGCCAGAGAACTATAGGGGAGAAGAAGAATATGAAAATCATCTTGTAGCTAAAGAGCTATTGGTTAGTATGGTGTCTCAATTTTTGCATGAGATTACTGTTTTGAAATGGTGATGTTAGATACATCACTGCATGAATTTCCCAGTTTGAAGCTTGGGGTATAATTACTTATTTCCTTTTTACAACTTGTCTGTAGTTTTTTTTAACATTAATTGTTCATATAATTATGTAAGTGTGCATTTTTATGTATTTGTTGAATGCTGTATGCCTGATCATGCTTGCATATTAGTACATTTAGCTTTGACTATGACAAGTTTGAATTTTTGTTTTGTATAAGTTAGTTTAAGTATTATATATGTTTTAAGTTCATACCAATACTAAACTATTTAACAAAAGAAAGTGTTACATAAGATAGTTTACTGAATCTGGGCTGTATTAATATAGAAAAAAATTTCTCATTCTGCATATTTTGTGTTCATTGAAAATACATTAGTGAATAATTTTAAAGAGGGTGTTTATGCATATGTAGAATGATTTTGTTAAAGAATTTTAAAAAAAGCAAATAAGCAAATGTTTGGGAATAAAAATTTCTGGCAACAGCTTATTATATGAAATGAGAAATATAGTCTACTACTTTAAAATTTATTTTCCTTTCAAAATGTCTCATGTAAACAAGTTATTGATTGAAGAGTATGCTTTTGCACTTTCCAAAGAGAAATATTCGTGATCCGTAATTCAAAAGTGGTGTAAAATGCATAGTGTTAAAATTTACAAGTGGAAAATAAGCAACATTATGAATTGGAAAGGGAAATCTGTCAAACATTTTTTTATACGAAAAGAAGACTTCAATTGAACACCCAAAGAAAGTGCATGTTGTTTCTAAAGTTAAATCATTGATAACAAGAGTAAATCTAGCCAATGCAGAAATCAATTTCAAAACATTTAAATACATCTGTAGCAACTATAAATAAAATAATAAACCAAGATTTACTAATTAAAAAAGTTGAAAAAAACCTAATGTTCACCATTGCCAAGGCATATGGCTCATTGCAGAACAATTAGTAGAACCCTATATGAAAACTATACGGGGTGTCCCGTAAATGTTGCAACAAACTTCTGGGGAAGGTATAGGGCACATATCATAAGGATTATGAATTGCATAGGAACGCATGGCTGGAAATGTTGGGGGTAAGTGGTAGCAGAGATAGAAGATGGGAAAAGAAATAAGAGTGATTAATTTGAAACATTTATTGGACATGAATACAAATGGTGTACAACAGCTTGAATGTTACAACAGATGCTCGAAGCTTGCATCATCAGACGCCAAACTTGCCTAATACAGGAACTATTGATTGTCGGATATGTTCAAACACACCGGAAGTTTCTTTGATTGTAGCAGCTGCGCAGGTGAGTCTTGCCACGAGATCTATTTCAGGCATAACAGGATCGTGATACACGACACCTTTGATGGCTTCCCTCAAAAAGAAATCAAGGCTCGATAAATCCGGTGAGCATGGGGGCCAGAGAACTTGTCTCCCATGCCCAATCCATTGATGCAGGGATGATCTGTTCAAATGGCTATGAATATACAGTCCAAAATGAGTCCACTTAATGACCTGTAGTCACACAAAGTTTGATGCAGACGTGCAAACAAACTGTGGTATGGTTGATGTCTATCAGAGAAACGTTCTCGATAAATGCGTGCAGCGGTTCATCCATTACCCTTAGCTATTCCCTACAATTAAGTGCGTGTCTGCATGCTCCCAGTTCGTATAATGTTCCATGCTCTTTGTATGGTATCTACCACTCAACTGAGGCAATCCTCACTTTTCACTAACATTCCCCTGTATAGCACCCTGTGGCAGTATAAAATGACGTTTCTGGGCATGGGTTCCTATGCAATTTTTAATCATTATGATGTGCCCTACCTCCTCCAGAAGTTTATTGCAACATTTATGGGACACCCTGTATAGTGGGAGATAAATGAAAATATACTGTGACCCTTGATGAAGCATGAAGTCAACAAAAACTGGTCTATTTATTATATAAACAAAGATAAAAAAGTGTACAAACCTGGTTCTGTCAATGTAATGTAAGTTTCAATAAGATGTTTGTGATTATCACAGGATTCTCTAACAATGGGAAATTAAAAATAAAAAGAGTGGAAAAAAGTATTAAAATCAGCTCTACTATCAAGAGAAAGTTTTATGTCTGATATTTGCAGAAAAAGTACCGTTTCTTTATCCCACTGACTTTCAAAGAGTGAAACTTCATCACAAAGCAATAAGTCATATTTCAAAAAGTACCATTTCATTCATTGAAAAAGACTTGTATAGGTATTGCATAATGTGTATTTTCCTGTGAAGTCTTCTAATGTTTTGCCCATGAACTATTGTGTCTTTGGTTGCTTGAAAAGTTTTAACTGGAACTGTTTAACTGTTTTTAAATGGATTGCACTATGAATCATAGACTCTGGAAAGTACTGAAAGAAGAATGGAAATCAGTACTTCTGGAAATTTTACAAAAAGCTCTCCTGTCATGATGTAGACATGTAGTCCAGAAAAAAAGCTATCATATCGAACATGAAAAAAAAAAAATGTACATTTTAAACATTAATTAAACAGTCCTGAAATTATTCTAGAAATATATAAACACCTTCTGTGTTTGCTGTGAATATAATCAACATATTCATTACAAATTTAAAATTTTGAAATATTCCTTTGAGCTATCTTGGGCGAACTTTTTCTAAATTATTTAAAAATATAATTGCTAATGAAAATACAATGAAAATTCCCTATTTTTAATATATATTAAGTATTTTTTTGGTCTGTTTGGTTTTTATTTGCATAGCATGAAAGTATTATAATAAAAGAAATGAGAAATGTTTTTCACTGATTTTTTGTTTTTATCTTAATTTTAAATGGCCCTCAGTATTTTTGCTGGACTAAATCACTGTTCATAAAATAACAGCACAGAGTTTTTGGCACATGAATGTTCTGTAAATTATATTATTATTTGAAATTTTACTACAATTTCTAATTAAAATATTTAAATGTACTGATTACTTGCTTCAATTTTTAATTTGTAAATATCATAAAGTTTAAAAAAATTTAAAAATCTTATTTCCTTTACAGTTTCAATTTGTAAATTCCTTCTTGTCACTGTTTTATATTGCTTTCTACTTACAAGATATGGAAAAGTTAAAAGAGGTAAGTAAATATGTATCTCAGCGTTGTTTGAAAGAGTGTTTCCTTTTTGTAAAACCTTTATGCATTCAAAATAAATTCTGCCATTAATTCTAAATTATATATTTCTTGCAGTTTCACTATATTTATTTATTTAATGATTAATACTGAGATTTATTAAGCTAAAAATAACTTTATGACAGTGGATTATAATTATTTAAACAATTATAATAAAAGTAAAGCTTGTGTTTAAGTGAAAACTTTATTTTAATAATGTGAAAAAGTATTACTTAAATGTTATTTGCTATGAAATATCTATTTTTCTAGGAATGTTTTATAAAAAAATATATGTGTTGTTAGATGAATGATTTGCTTACAGTTCTTCCCATATAACTGTTTTTTGCAAGTTTGATCACTGAAATACTTGTCTAATAATCTTGTAAGAGATTCAGATTATATTATAAAAATTCATATCAAGATTTATACAAAGCTACATATTATTAAAGTAATTGTCCAAATTGTCAGAATTCCTTGGGGACATAAAATGAATGCAAATGAGTGCAATTTTATTTGGAAGCTGTAAGATATTATTCATAAAACAGACCTTTTTCTCTTTTTGGAATAGGAAATATGTTTATGAAGTAGATTTCATATTTCATAAAATTTTCATTCTTTCAAATATCTTATAGCTAATACTAAAAACATCTTAGGCTGTAAAAATTTTTCTATGGAGACTATTTGAGCTAATTATTAGACATAATCATGATAGATAGGAACTTATTTTGAAAAAGAAACGAAAAGAAAAAAATCATTGCATTTATGTCAGGATAACAATGAAAGCATAATAAATATTCAGTGTAGTAATATAGATTACTATCTTATATGTATTTATTTTTCTTTCGTTCTCCCCCCTCCTCAATTTTATTCAAAGCAGAGTTTCCTCCCATTTTATCTGAATTTCAATATTCTTTTTGATATTTAGTTATTACAGTCAAAAGTCATTAATCCGGACTCGTCGGGACTTCGGCGATTCCGGATTATAGATCATCAGTTTAAATCTGGTAAGATGGCATGCAGAAATTATAAAATTAAAAATATGAAACCGTAATTTATGAAATAAAGAACAATTATGATCTAAAAGGGTATCAAAATTTACAAAAAAAAAAAAAAAAAAAAAAAAAAAAAAAGCTTAATATATATTTGTTTACTTTATTAAACATTTCTTTCAATGTAAGTTGTTTAAGTTGCTTCGTTTTTTATGTGATAATACATTCTCTTTAATTCTTTAAACAGACATAATTTCTTGTTCAGTTACAAAGTTCCGCTGTTCAAGTCCTATAATTGCTGTGTCGAAAATACCGACTAATTTGTCTATTGAAATTTTTTTGTTTTCAAAAACCTCTGTCACTTTCTTCGCTATCGGAAGCGAATTATAATGACGAGGAATTTGATTTAAATCATATCAAAGATGGAGTACATCAAGATGAAATACTACATTTAATAAGGAATTATAAGCCAAATAAAATAAAAACATCTGCCCTGAAGATAAGGATAGTGCTGACAGATCAACTTCCAATTCATTGCGTGGGCCGCAGCATTAAAGATAAACAAAGTTTAGATAAACAAACATTAAAGTTTAGATAAACAAAGGATATGCCTTTATCCATTTTTTGTAGCAATTCCACTTTTCGTTTAATGAACTTCGAAACATACTTTCGCTTTGTAGATCATTTACATATTAATAAATATATATCAGAAATTCTATTTGACATAATCGAAAGTTCAAGCTTACTTTTATAAAATTGCTCTAACAGTCTGCAAAAAATAATAAGCCGGATCCAATTCGAAGATTAAGGAACAACACAATCTGCAACATTAACTGAAATAGATAATTAAATAATTTTAGCTTAGCTTATACCGTCCTTTATACATTAAACATGCACTCGTAAACGTATTAGCACACACGCACAAGCATATTCTCAGCTGTAAAGGCCTTACACGCATGCGCAGAAAGTTTGAAGCTTTGATTTCCGGATTATAGATCATTCTGGATTATGGGTGTCCGAATTAACGACTTTTGACTGTACTATTATTTTACATTTAAAAAAGGAGAGATATACTGGTCAGTACATCAGATCTCTTCATTGGAATTTCCTCCCTTCCCAAATAGTTATGTTTTAATTTTATTTTAATGATAGATATTTAACTTCAGCATTTTGCCTTAGTGGGTATTGTTTTTATGTGTTAATAGTAAAATCCTTCAAGATACACTGCTCAAAACAATTAAAGGATATTGCGGTTTTAGGTGGATTTTGTGGCTGGGAAACTTTTTAGCTGATTGATACATGGTCGACAGACATTGTAGGTTATATGAGAATAAATTACACGTTTGGCAGGAAAAAAAAATGCATTTTATTGCGCATTTGTATACAAAAGGAAAAAATCACAATTTGTGCATATGAGAAAAAAAGAATAAGAAAAGGTGTTTTCTTCAAAGGAAGTCATTTTCAGTAGGGGGTATGGTTTCTACGGGCGGCCAGCAACGTTGAACACCTTTGAGGCATGGAGTCAATGAGGCTATTAATCACAAGTTGGGGTATTCTGTCCCACTCTTCCAGAAGAGCTCTTTCCAGTTCTTGGAGAGTTTGTGGTGGTGGTTGGCGGCCAGCAACTCGTCTTCCTAGAGCATCCCAAATGTGCTCTATTGGATTCATGTCTGGAGAACACGCTGGCCATTCCATTCGTACAATTACTTCCTCGAAAGAAAATCCTCCACGAGGTTAGCACGATGTGGCCAGCAGTTATCGTCCATTAAAATGAAGTCATCTCCGATTGCTGCAGCGTAAGGGACTACAATATGTGTGAGAATTCCGTCCCTATATCGGCGACCAGTCAGAGGTCCATCTCAAATGATGTAGATGTCTGTGCGCCTGTCAATGGAGATGCCACCATACACCAACACTCCCCCACCGCCAAATCAGACACTTTCGTGCACAAACGCAGGATTATTCCTACTGCCATGGTCCCTCCAGATGAAAACACGCCTATTATCAGGATGAACAGAAAAACGGGACTCGTCAGAAAAAAAGAACATTGCTCTATTCATTTCTCCTCCAGTTCACATGCTCTGTTGCCCACTCCCTGCGGTTACGACGATGCCTTGATGTTAGTCTAACACATACCATCGGTCGGCGAGCATTCAGACCTACACCATGGAGCTGGTTTCAGACAGTCTGAGTTGAAACCGTGGTGCCAGTAGCCGAGCAAAGGTGTTGTTGGAGAAGAGTACCATTCATATTTCGGTGTCTCCGAGCCATTAACACTAAATAACGATCTTCATTGTGCGTTGTTGCCTGTCTATGGCCTTGCTCTGGTCTTCAGCTTGCACTTCCGGTTTCCAAAAAACGGTTACAGATCCTGGAAATCGCACTTTGTGACACTCCAATGGCTTGCGCTACTTCAGCTTGAGTTTGGCCCCCTTCTAACCTACCAACAACTCTCCAAGCTTCTGAATCGGTTAAATGACTTCGCTGAGACAGTCTCAATCAAAAGCAGTCCACTGAATGCTGATCATCCTTGTCTTCATTGTCTTTTATTCAGTTGAAAGTCAAATTTCATTTGCTGCCCCTGAAGCGACGTTATTGATGTCGAACTCAAAATTAGCATACTCCACAGTTTGAAAATCAGAAAAATTTGCATTTGTGATTGATTCTCTTCTTCCATTATCGGCAAAAAAAAAAAAAAAAATTTTTGCTTATATCTTTATTTTATATAAAACTTACAATATCCTTTAATTGTTTTGAGCAGTTTATTAGATTACATTCTGAAATTTCTATAATGCAAGTTCTTCCCCCTTGGAAAATATATATATATTGAGCTATAGTTGTTTGAGACTTAGCTTTGTTGAGTCTGTTTTTTGACTTCTTCCTCTCTCTGATCAACATTTCCGAATTGATGCATGATATTTCTGATCCCTTCCTTGTTTAATTAAAAATAATGTTGTATTTAAATATCATGTAAGTGCCAATATCTATTTTAGTTCCCCCCCCCCAACTGTAAAAGAAAAAATTACTGTTTTCTAGAAATGAATTTTTTGTATGGAAAATTACAGTTATTAATTTAACTTTTAATTAATGCTATTACATTATTAAATACTGTTTCAAAGTTACTTTCTTGCAAAAAAGTATACATATATTTAAATATCTCTCTTAAATCCATTATGCATGTTGTATTATTTTGAAGATGTACTTCAATATTTTGTTTTTTCTTAGCAATTGGCAGCTCTTCTGATAACTCGCCAAGTTGTTGGTAACATCAAGGAGTCTTTTATTCCCTTTCTTACGGAAACATTAAAATTAGCACATTTAGGGGCTGATCATTCAGTTCACACACCTTCAGGATCAGAAAACGATCAAAAAGATGTGATATCAGATCAAGAAAGTGATCCAATGTCATCAGCAGCATCTACTCCGATACACGAAAGTAATAGTGAAAAGAAGAATCATAACAATTTAACCCAAGCTGAAGTTGAAAGTGCGATGTATAAGGTATGTTAATGAAAATAACATCATCACTGTTAATGCAAATCAAAAATAAAGTTGTGTCAAAAAAATCTATTTTTAAATTGATGTGCCATTCTGTAGGTAATGATATTTCTCCACATGAAACACTGTAGATGGTGTAAATTTGAGAGTTTAAACATCAAAAAATAGGTATCTTTTGAGTATCTAAAATCCTTATGATATGATTTTACATTTTTTGAGGAGTTACTTTTTTCTAAAAACAAAACCATATAGTCTAAGTTGACATGCCAAAAACTGTCATCAGTAAGTTGGAAGCTGTTATGTGCAACACATCTGTTTCATCAACTGGAATAGGAATGAATGATAAGATCAAATTCCTATCATTCGGTCCACTTCCTGCTGACAAGCAAAGGAGCTTTCTGAAAAGCTTCTGACTTATTCCTTAAAAGTGACTTTAGCATGTCTAACTAAGCTATTTTTTTAACATGATTTTAATTGTATGTGTCTTTTGACTCTTTAACAAGTTATTTATCTTTTCCTTTTCTCACTCTACATCTTTCTTTCCTCCCCCTTTTTTTTTTCTTTTTAATTGAAACTATAATAGTAACAATGATATTATTACTTAATTAATAATATATCTGAATGGTTAGTAGAGGAAGAGTATAACATTTGATTATCTGATAATTTAAAGACTGTTTTATTAATTAAAATTTCATTAAATGGCTTTCTAATTTTTCCATATTTTGTCACATTATTATCTTCTTTAACTCTCTATCACTGTGCTTATTGTGACTCTGTTGTTCATTAGTCTTTGTATATTGAAATGCTGGCAAATTAAATTCAGAATTGGTGTAATAGATAGCGTGTATCTAAATAAATGATATGTGGTCACTACATAGTTAATAGCTTGTATCCACGTAAATGATATGTGTAACTTTAATCTCAAGGGATAGCATCCATGAAAAGTTAAACCCCCAAATAGTGGTAATAATTCTGTTCTTGTGATTATCCTAAGATTTTTTTTATTATATTTATATAAAACGTCCTCATTTAATCCAAAAAATAGCATATTTTTCATAATATTTGTATTAGTTGAATTACAATGAAAAAATTTAATTTCCTCTATTTTATGTATTTTATTTTATTATTTTTTTTTATTATTATTTATTATAATTTTCTTACATCTTTGTACTGTAAAATTTAAGTTGATTTAATATTTTGAACCAATATCATTTAGTTTTTTTGCAGTGTATTTGCCTTGCATGGTTAAAATGATATTGTTTTCCATTTAAGTATAAGTAACTGAATCAATCGTACATGTAACAAGATCTATTGCTGCAAAAATATTTCAACAACTTGATAGTAAATATCTGCTCGCCTTGTATCTATGCCATCTACACGCTTAATCTTATTCTGTCAGTTGTGACATGTTCTGAAATCGTTATTTTTTAATTAGTCTCTTTTGGGTTTGCAAAATAACAAACTGAACACTATCTGTGTTTTTTCAAGAGTCCTGGAATATTGCCAAACAATGGAGAATGTTGTTCTTCCTGTATAGTGAAAGTATACATTATCAAAGAAGCAATGTTCTAGAAGTGCAGCATTAAAAGGTGTTGTTAGATAGTAAGAATGGGGATAGAAAATTATTTTGAAAAAGCCAAATAATTTATTTATTGATATCTATATAATTATATGCATACATAGTTGCAACAGCAAAATATGTATTTACTCTACAAGACAGAAGTCACATATAAGTTGCTGTTAACAGTGCTGGGAAAATGACAAATATATGTTAAGTATGATAGTTAAAACTGTTATAGATTGAAAAAATTATCTTCAAAGGGTTTGCATTACTGAGAAAAAAAGATAAATCGAAAATACTCAGATGACTACCAAATTTTCCGAGTCTGTCTGAAGTTCCTGAATGTGGTTAACATGCAGATATCGATAGAGATACAATTGTAAATTGTAAGCTGCTTCATTCAAAAGTATATGCTAACAACAAATGCTTGAATCAAGTACTAGTGTGTGTTTCAGTTTCGTAAATTTGTAATATTTTAGCAATTTTTAATTTGATAAAAAGTTAAATTTATTTTGTTGTATTGTTTGAAATTTCACTTCTTTCTCATATATCTAATGATATGCAATACTTATGTATGAAGTATAAATCTGGTTGTTTTTAAAATAATAGTTCACTAGTAAAATCCAAAATTTTAAAAAAGAATGCATTATTAGCAAAAAGTCATTGAAGGGTTGAAATTCGTTGCCTAATACCAAATTAAAAGAAGTAAAAAATAAAGCATGTAAGATAGTATACTATAGGGGTTCTTTAATCCATAGACCTTATTTGTACCATTGGCTTTTCATTAGTTAATAATCAGAAGTTCATTTGCTTCAAACTAAAATTTGCCGTATTACATTACACAAGTTAATGATTGAGATCCAGCAAAATTTGTAGAATTTACATTATAATATTTGATGTATGATTTTAAAGCACTTTAGAATACTTGATATATGATTTTAAATTTCTGAAGCACTTTAGAATACTTGATATATGGTTTTAAATTTCTGGTTTTTTTTTTTTTTTTTTACTGTTTAAAAGTAATTTTCATTTCGTTTTTTCTTTTTTCAGTATGAAGGCACATTTGAAGACTATTTAGAAATGTTCATACAATTTGGATATGTCATTCTCTTTTCATCTGCATTCCCAATGGCTGCGATGTGTGCTTTGCTGAATAATGTTATTGAAATAAGAAGTGATGCCTTTAAACTTTGCATGATTTTCCAAAGGCCATTTGGTCAAAGAGCAGAAAATATAGGAACATGGCAAGTATGTGTATAACTGAAAAATACCTCAGTAAATATTGGGTATAAAGATACCTAATTTACACTGTTTCTTAATAGTTTTGCAGGAAGACCTTCTTTAATGTTTAATTAACCAATTAGTCATATACAGTTTATAACGAATTAATTGTATATGATTATAATTTATCCGTTAGTCAAAATAAATTTGCTGTGAAATATTTGTTGTTTTTTGAGGATAAATTTGCTGGAATAGTCTGTATTTATTTATTTTTTGTAAATTTCTGTGCTCGCAATACAGGACATTAATTCTTTGAGCTTGCTTTGGTTGAAGAAAATCTCCCAATGTTGGCATTATTTACATGATTTGTCCTTAAAAATGGATCTTTCAGTGGATACTTGGCCATTGAGGCATTTTTGGGAACGAGATGGGCTACAAACAAAATTTTCGACCATTATTTTTTTTTTTTACTCTAACAGGCTGTATAAAGTAAGCAAATAATAGGAAAAAGTTACAAATTGTAATCTTTACTGACTTTATATTGATGGAATTATTTCTTCCCAAGCTGAATGAATATTTTTTGCTACTTTTATGATATATTTTTTCTAAACTTTGGAGAAAGAAATTATATTTTATTTCTTCATTGCTCCAAGGATTTGGGCAAGTTTTAACTGAAGATATGTGTCCTCTTATAAATAACCACATGTTTGAAATGACTTTTCATGTCAAGTCAGTAATGTCTTCTCAGTAAATAACAAGCAGTAAGTTGGATGCTATTCAAAGCATTGCAGTTAGTATTTAAACCAGCCATCAACAGCAGCTTGCAAATCAACATTGAACATTAATAAGTTAATAGTAAAGGATTCTGAGACTTCTGTTTGCAATAGGCAAAAGCAATCAGAAATGTACTAACATAGACTTTTTTTTATTCTTTATAATGCTTCTTTTCTGAAAAAGTAAATGATATCATTATCCTTTTTAATTAAACCTTGGGTTCCCCTACCCCATATTAATTGCTCTTTAGCCACCTTTCTCTCGTAACTTTTACTTTCATTTTCATACCCATTTAAGATCTTCAGTTTTAACAAATTTTGTAATTTTTTATGTATTTTTGGCAGTTGTTTACTGTTATTTTCTGTTATTAACTGCTAATATATTAATTATAATTTTCTTGATTGCCTTATCACAGGAAGAATTTTATGCAATGATAGAAAGTGCAATATCTCTCTCTGTACATGCATTCATATTTAAAAAATGTCTTGATATGTCAAGCATAACTGAACAAACAAGTAAATAAAATTTTAATGTAATCTGTTTTGAAATCTGCTTCTTTTATTATAGTTTAGAGAATAACCATCTTTTGTTAAATACTTATTTGGGAGTATGAAAATCTGATCATTCATTTTGAGGTTTATTTGTCTTAGAGGCTGATGATTAGAAATATTTATGATAAATGTCTGCCATTTATATTTAAATTTGAAATAATATATATTGCCATATATATTATTTCAAATTTATGATGCTGTTTTTTAGGATGCCATGGAAGTTATGGGCGTCATTGCTGTAATTGTTAATTGTGCATTGATTGGCATGTCTGGACAAGTTCAGAGAATGTTTCCGAATCTTTCGACTCAAGGCACGATCATTCTTATTGTAGTATTAGAGGTATGTATTTTCCCTTGCTAAATATGTCTGAAATATAACTTTTAAAACATTATGTTAGGAACTTAATATCATTATATTTTATTAAATATCTCTGGAGTAATTGTAAACATAAGAGCAATTTTAATACTCCAAAAAGCTATGAATTAAAAATGAGAAGCTAAAAAACTGTTAAAAATAACATATAAATAATGTTACGTGTTAATTTAGTTCCTCTATGCAAGTTAAAATATTTGTCATTAAAATTTCACCAGTTGCTGTATTGCCTTTGTTACAGAAATTTGTTATCGCAGAATTTTGAGTTGTCTCATTTCATGATGCAAGGAAAATAAATGGGTATATTTTCATACATAGATTTATACAAGCAAGAATAGGGGGAATGAAAAAAACTACTAGGACGAAAGCTTGTTATCTGAACGTCCTGAGAAAGAGGGGAAATACTTAAATGTTTTTTTAAATTTTCAGAACCTTTTATTAAAAAACTAAGGGGGGTGGGAAGAATACTTGAGTAAATTCAATATATATTTTCAACTATTTTGATTTCATATATGTTCCCAAAATTAATTGTGAACTTTTCAAACTTTCAGTGTTAATTTTTTTTCATGCAGGCATAAATAGAAGTTACAACTAGAGATATTGATTAACACTGCTATTCAACAAAACATTAAATTTATTTTTACTTATGAATTTCTAATTGTGTATAATTTTAGAAATTTGGTAGTTTTAGTTCACGTTTAAGAAATTTAGATTTGTAATATATGCGTTATGGATAAAATGATAAATGAGCTCATTTTACTTTCCTGAGTAATATGCATTAATGTCATCAAATATTGTGTATAATAACCTATTATTTATTTATTTGTAACAGATGTAAATCCACATGTTGCTATTTTAAAGAATAATTAACACTTAGAATACTTTTTTTTAAGTATATTATTCTTGTTAATGAAATGGTTTTGTTTCTACCTCTCTCCCCTTCCCTCCCCCTCAAAAAAGTACTATTTGTTTATTATAAATATATTTTGTAGAAATAGTATTAAATTTTTAAGTCTCTTACTTTTATGTTTTTAATATTATACTTATAACTGACTCAGAAAGTGTACAATTTTTAAATTTTGTAGCATCTCATATTATCTATAAAGTTTGGTATTGCATATGCTATTCCTGATGTTCCTCAGTGGGTTGCTACAAAAATGGCTAAAGTAGAGTTCCAGCGTCGAGAAGCTGTAAAGGTTTGTAGTTTTCTTTTTCTTATTATTTGTTTAATATTATAAATATTTTTAAATGCATTTTAAAATTTTTTGTCATTAATAAATTTAAATAACATAAGTTTTAATAATAAATATTTTTTAGTATTTTTGATAATGTTAGTTCTTTTATTCTATGGTAGCATTTCCATAGAAGTTCTTTGTCTAGGAAGAAAAAGAAGATGGAATATAAGAATAGCAATTTTGATTCACCTGTATCCACTTCCAGAAGTGTGAAGAAGTATGCTAATAATCCAAAAAAGAAAGACAGATCATGTCAGACATTATCTTTCTATCCCACCCAGAAAGATAATTCAACCCCAGATTTAGTTTTAGGTTCATCACCATCTACAACACCTAGTAAACAAACAGCAACTTCAATTATTTCCACTGCTGATATGGTGCCTGTACAGGATACATGTCCTGACACATATCATTGTGAAGAACCAAGTAAAGTTGATAAATTTGTAAGCATACATGCCAGCCCTACTACCAAAAATTTACTTGAAATTCCATGCGAAAACATTCCTGTTATACAAAAAGACATGGATGCAATGAGTATAAATTTTGAGACTCCATATTTATCTAATCATAAAAGAGTACAAAGGAAACTAAGTTTGCCTCAGATTAAACTTTTAAAAAAGAACTCATCTCAAGAATCAGATTCTCCACCTGATGGTACTCCAGGATCAGGAAGCAAGAAATTTTTTTCTGGCAGCTCTGCATCTGGTAGCAGCATGCGTTTCTTATCAACCTTGAAAAAGCGAAAACATGCATTAAAGAGAGCACTGTCTTTTCAGAATTCTTCTACTAGCAGTGAAGACAAAGTCCAGCCTTCAGAACTTGATGTTAATGAAGAAAAAACTGCCACAGATAAACCAAAGACTGTGTGAGTTTATGAACAATTATTGTTATTGTAATACTGTTTTTTCCAGTTGAAGAATGTTGCAATTAAGATATATGTATGTGCGTGTGTGTATATATATCCCAAACAAGCAGATTTTTCGATAAAAATCGTTTATATGATAAATATTTTAGCTCACTTATACAATTTTCAGTCCTTCTCTTTTATTTTCTTAGCTAATTATCATAAAGATTATTCAATATATATGCATTATGCAAATATAATGTAAAAATATTCTTGGTGTGAAATCATATTTATTTATTTTTGATGTTTGAATTCAAGACATTCACTTTCTGTGTTTTTTTCTTTTTTAAAATTTTATTTTAGCCTTTTTATCATAAAAATTTACTACAACAACCTATTATGTGCATTTTTTTAATGTAGATAAATACTTTATTGGGCTGACATAAACATGTTATTTATTTTAAACGAAGTAAGTGGTTGTTGTATCACAGTTCGATCAGCCTTTCAGTTAATTAGAATATTTTTATTGCTCAAGTTCTGAACAAAAAATGAGCCTTAAGATATATATTGCATTTATTCAGACTGTTATATTAAATATGCATCTAACCATTCAGTGTCATAAAAGGATTTTATTGGATTGTTTTCCTTCTTCAATCTTTTAATTTCCCTTTGTTTGATAAAGAAATATTTATTTTTTTATAATGTATGAATATTTTATGTATTATGAATTTGTAAACAAAATATTTTGAACAATTTTATATGCATTGTGGGAAACATAATTTAATATCATTCTTTTTCAGGGTAGATATTGATAAAAGCCTCCTGTGCTTGAAATCTCTCACTAAATAGTTTTTGAGTGTATATATAGTCGAAATTTATTTAAAGATGTAATATACACTGTATTAAAAAAACTGTTAGAAAATGCAAATAAATTGACATTTAAAAAAAAAAATCATGGTATAAAATTGTTCATTGTTATGTTAAACATGTAGAAGTATATTGTGGTGATCATGCATAATGTTTTATAATTTTTTCTCTTCATTTGATTAAAAAAGTGGAACTGCTATTATATAAAGTCAAATTAGCTATTTAATGGATTGTCAGTTAAACTCATCAAAGTTTCTTTGTTTAATACAAATAATTATAACATATTTTAGTTCACTTTTAAATGAAAATACAAAAAATTCTTGAGGTACTTCAAGGACTGTTTTAGCAATAGCATTGATTATTATTTTTCTAAAAATTATCAAATTTAGTTGCTGAAACATTTGGCAGTAACGCTCCAGAAATTCAGATAACATTAATTAATATAGGACTGGCCGAACTTTTGTTAATTTTCATAAAAACTCCAAGTAGTAGTTGCAAGTAGGATATTTACATTATTTTAAAGTAGTAAAATAAGTTTTTAAGTAAAATGAAATAGTTCTCGTAAATTAACAAACAAAACCGAACATGTTCTGATTTTCTTTCCCCCTCCCTTCCAATATTAATTGTCATTTGCTTTTAATAGGATTAAATTGGGTGCAAAAAAGATGTAGTAGGCATAAATAACCTACTTGTTCAAGTGATACAATTTGAAAAACGGAGCCAACAGTTTTTCTTTATTCTTAACGCATTCTTTGCATAGTCAACTAGAAAGAATGAAAACAAAGATGGATGACATCACATGGTGCAGAAAAACTGTAATTAAGATGTATAAGTTATTTCATGTTAGGATTTCAACATAAAAATTAATAGTTTGGTTTTTTATACTTAATTAACTCTGAGTCTGATATACAGAGATCATGTATAGCATTAATTTAATTCAATAGGTATGCATTCTATCACTTAATAGATTTTGTTTTCTAAAATTCGAGTTATTCAACATGATTTCAAATATTTCATTAACATAATACTTTTTCAGTGTATTTCCATTTTGTTGTCATGATAGTCACTACCTATTTAAAAATAACATCTCATGTTTGTGCATCTTAGAAATGGAATTATTTGTTCTTTGTTTATTACTTTGGTTGGTGATTAGTACTTTTAAATTGATAAGCTTAATGTCATTTAATTATTAAAATAACTGATTATTAAAAAAGCACATTATAGCATGACTCTTTCAAATAATGTTTAAAAGATAAAACCACTATATGTTGCAAAATAAGCCACATTTATTAGAGCAAAGATTTGCTAATGGCTCAGAGTTTTGCCAAGCCTGTCTTAATGTAACAAAATATGGTGCCAAAACATTTTACTATAGAAGTGAATTAACAAGTTAAAATAATTTTTATTAATATCTTACAATAATAAAGCATTACAAATATTTAACTTACAGCTCATAGTTTAATAACTTAAAAAGTAAAATTTCATTATTTTTTCACCAATTAGATGGTGCCAAAAGTTTACTATGAAATTTATTCAATGGGGAGGAGGGAATGAGATTTGGATCATTCTTGTTATATGTGCATTCTATCTTCTTTTTCTATAATATGCATTTTTATTTTTTATTGTATATTAAAAAAATAACGTTTTGTATATTAAAAAAATAATGTTTTTTTAATGTTCCACTTCTATCATTATATTACAGTAAAATTGATAAGAATTGGAATTGCTTTGAATTAAATTTTAAAAATTGTCCATTTGTTTTTATAAGTGACTTGTGTATCATAGCTGTAACACAGTAATGTACTCATAGCTAGTATAATAGTAGCTAGTAGCCCTCTCACTGCTCATAGCTAGTAACCATAGCTCATACCTCTCACTGCGTACATTTTGTATCAAATAGGTTCAAAAATTGCATATTCTTTTTATTACATATTTCAAATCTACATATCTTTTAGAGTTAAAATATATAAAATTTTTGTAAAGAGTTTTTTTTTTCAATATGAAATTCGATCATAGAAAAAACGATGTCAGAATATTGAAATTGAAGAATAATGATATAAAAGGAAAATTTTGAAAATTAATATTGGTTAAATTATGATTTATTTTATAAAATACAAAGGTAAAACATATATATTAATGAAAATATTTGCATAATGTAATATTTTGCATATCAGTTTTGCATCACTGTTGAACGTTTTCAATAGAAACTGAATTTTCAGATTCATCAGTAACTGCAGAGAAACCCGAGAAATTCTCATCAGTTTCATTATAACTATCTTCAATATACTTGAATTCAGAGTCAGAACTACTATCAGTGTTGGAAATATCGTCAGAAATATAGGTTATATCACTCGTGAAAAACGCTTCCTGACAGACATCTTTGAGCTCTGAAAAGCGCACACAAAATGCTACATTAGGTATTCTTGTACTCGTATATTTGGCAGAAATCTGGACAATCAGCGCCATCTGTTAGCCCACGTCTAAATAAACAATTAAACACCACAGAAAAGCCAAAAGGAAACCTTGAACTTGGAAAGAGCGGGTTGCACAGTTAAATAGACTGCAAAAATTCATCCCCGCGGAAATCGCGGGTTGCATAAATTTTGATACTTCTACGTTGACTGTGGAAATAGCGGGATACGCAGTGAGAGGGTTAAGCAACCTGACTCATGATAGTCTAATCATTGTATAATAGTACAAAAAAAGCCTTCAAAAAGTAAAGTACCTTATAAATTGAAATGATAGTATGGTAATTACGTACAATGAACATTGTCCATTTCTTTATGCAAGAGAATGTAACAAATGTTGGCCATGTCTGACTTTTAAATGCGATACATAAAATATTAATCATAATTAATAAATTTTATGGTTGACAAATAAGACGTGGTTTTATTTGGATATTTATGTTGATTTCTAAAGTTTAGGACAAGGAAATGTATAAAATATGTTTTCTTTGGAAATAATAAAATGTAGTAGCTATTTTCCTTAAGTTCCCCAATTCTCTGAAAAAAAAAAAAAATGGAAAATTTTATAATAGAAGGTCATACTATATTTTTGATTCTAGTGTTGTATATTATTTGATAGTGTAATTGAGAGATAGTAATAAATATTCCTTTTTATTAATTAAAAAATTGAACTTAATTGCAGTTAAAAATAAATAGGATATGCTTCATTTTGCCGTATCATGATTTGCGCAATATTCTGTACAAGTGTGTAAATGTTTTCTATAAAAAATTTATATGCCAATTATACTTCAAATATATGAATATTAATGTGAAAATGTCTCTTCACCTGTATCTTAATTTTTTTAAATTAAGCATAAGTCAGCTTTAATTGTAATAATTTATTTTGTTTTAAAGTCAAGCAAAGTTCAACCTTCTATTGTATTGATTTATTTGATGTTGGTAAGAATGCAGCTATAAATTATTTCAGGAAAAGTCTAAAATAATTTACTATTGAAGACTAAACTTCATATACGAGGGCTATCCAGAAAGTAGATTACGTTTTGGAATAAAAAAATAAACAAAGTATAGGAAACAAATTTTATTATATACAGATGAAAGCCACACTCAAATACTACTTTTCTACATAGTCACCATACAAATTAAGGCATTTATCGTAGCGATGTACGAGCTTGGAAATTCCTTCGTCGAAAAATTCGGCCGCCTGCGCCTTCAACCACTTCGTTACCTCTTCTTGCAGCTGTGCGTCGTCATCAAAACGCTGCATAGCCAGCCACTTCTTCATTGCTGGGAATAGGTGGAAGTCGCTCGGTGCCAGGTCGGGACTGTACAGCGGATGAGGAACAAACAACTCCCACTTAAAAAGATTCAAGAACTTTACGAGTGACATTTGCCGTGTGGGCCGGGGCGTTGTCGTGAATCACACAAGATCTTAGAGCTCAACATTCCTCTGCGCTTGTTTTGAATTGCTCTTCTGAGTTTTGGAGAGTTTGGCAATACCTTTGAGAGTTTATTGTAGTGCCTCTTTCCAGGAAGTCCACCAAAATTACACCTTTTCTGTCCCAAAAACAGTTGCCATCATCTTCCTTGCCGACATTGTTTGCATGCATTTCTTGGGTTTTTGGGGAGAACTTGTGTGCCCCCACTGCATTGATTGCAATTTCGTTTCACAGTTCACATGTTTCACCCATGTTTCGTCACCAGTAACGATGCGATCGAGTAAAGAGTCACCATCCTTATGGTAAGCGTCCAAAAAAGTTCAACGCTGCAGCCATTCGCTGATTTTTGTGGTCCTCTGTCAAGATTTTTTGGAATCCATCTTGCACAAAACTTGTGGTAACCAAGCTTTTTTGCTGATGATTTCGTGCAACAACTTGCGCGAAATTTGTGGGGAAAACTCAAAGAAAGTTCCGTTATTGTGAAATTTCGATTTTCACAGACTTTAGCATCGACTTTTTCGAGAAGAAGTTCGGCGGCGTCACTATGCTGGGGTCTCCCACTTCGATCTTCGTCGTGAACATTGGTTCGGCCATTTTGAAATCTTATGACCCACTGACGCACTCCACCTTCAGTGATAATGTTGTCCCCATACACTTCACGAAGCTGCCGATAGATTTCTATCGGTTTACAGTTTTTTGCAGTCAGAAACCTTATTACTGAGCGCACCTCGCAGCTCGCGGGATTTTCAATTAACGCAGACATTTCAAACCGTCACAGTATATGAACGGAGCACAGCACGAACCTCTCACTAGCACGGCTAGATGCAGACTGAGCTGCGCAACGCTCTGACCCCAAGATGGCCGCGCTAGCCCCGCCCCTAGCGGACACAGACGGAAACGTAATCTACTTCCTGGATGGCCCTCGTAATTTTGAAAGTTGGTATGCTTCTGTACATACATATGTACACTAAAAGCCTATTCATTTTAACCTAACTTGTAACATGTGAAATCAAATTTGCACTTTATTTTGTGTATCAAAAATGATCCCGAACAATGAGTCTAGTCACAAAAGCTGTGATAAAATGTCTTGTTCTTTTTTTCCAGTTTTCCATGTGAAATGTTTGTGGCTACTGTGTAAATGTATCAACATATAGAAAATATTGAATGATATATTCAGAAATTTAATAATATATATTTATATCATTTCTTGATTAGTGTAAATATAATATATGTATGTGTATATATATTTTGATTGTTGCTTATTTTTTAATTATGATTTTAAAATACAATTATTTAAATTGTATATAAAAGGTTTATAATATTTTGGTTCTGCTTAATCATATTTACATTCCTTTTGTGTGGCAAAAGAAATTGAAGAGCTTTGTAAAGTTTAAAGTAGCATTTATATTAGTTTTAAAAGAAGGCCAAGTTTTTCTGTTAGGAAATTACTGTGATCGGTAAATTTGATAAAATATAAATTTACATATATGATATCTTAAAATATATTAATGTAAATTTGTAGTAGCTCAGAGTTAAGGTAATGAAACTTCTTGTCCTTTAGAAAACAGAAAACTATGCATATTTAAGGTAAGATAAAAATAGTTTTCCAGGTGTTACTTTCAATTTGTAATGTTTAGATAGTTACTTCGGATGTTTCAGACTTCAGAGATTTTGATTGAACGAGTAGTTTTTTGCTGTCTGTTAAAAAAAAAAAAAATCTCCTTTTTCCATTCATATGTACAGTGCATTGTTAAATTTCATATTGATATTGCATGTGCCCAGTATACTCTTTGACATTTGGCTTTTTTATTGAAAAATTATATCTACTTAAAGCTGTGACTTATATGTGATACCATAATCTGCTGAATGTTATCCTTATTTTGTATATCTATGAATAAAAAAATTGTTACATCCTTAAAAAATGTATTTAATATTATTTCAGCACTGAAAAATATGAAGTCATACAGTTAAACAGAATTCTTCCGAGTCCTCAAAAGAAGCTTTGATTTCAACTGCAGATATATACAGGGTTCGTAGCTGTCCTTATAAGTGTTTATAAGTCCTTATATTTGAAAATAAAATATTAAAGCCCTTATAGTACTTTTCCTCCAAAGCACTTTATATATATATTTTTCCCTGTAGCAAAGCCGAAACTAAATAAACAACTTTTCTTCCTTATATCTAACATCAGATGGTGAATCATACTCCCAGAAATAGCTTTTCGCCCCCTTTCTCTGCATTAACGGTGCACACGAGTACAAACAGGTGCATCTATTGGTCAAAGAATTGCAAAAGCAGTAGAAAATTCTGGTGCATTCTGTTTCTTTTGCTCCCACCCAATACTACACATGTTTGAATTTCTCTCAAAATTTTAATAATTTATTTTCTTGTTTCGCGTGGTCAGTTCATATTCGCATTTATTATGATCAATATGCTTTTATTATCAGTATATGTATGAATATTTATGATAATATATTTGCAGTAATATATTATCATAAATATTCATACATATACTGATAATAAAAGTATCTGAAGTATAGATAAACTTTAAAAATGGGTAAGTGTGTTTTAACACAGTTTTCTAAGGAATAATATTCGGAATGGCATAAATAAAGTAAAAGTAATTGAATAGTCAAAATAATTCTTTTTTTTGACCAATGATTATACAGTACGGAAGTTGGGGGGTGTCTTCCCCTTTCTCCTCAAAATCTCGAGTACTGAAACCGTTACAGTTTGCAGCAAAGCAAGCAACGGACTAATTTTTTTTTTTTTTTTTTTTGGTCACTTTTCAACCTGGATTGAATAGGACTAAAAGTTCTGCAGTCTACCAACCCAAGCGAAGAATGATTCTATTCCGAAAATTTAACACAGTCTTCAAAATTAGATTGGTAAATCTCTCTATTAATCAATATGAGTATGGCAGACATATTGTGCGGAGTGCGACGTGTCCTGCTCAATTATAAATATGCCACATGAGCGCATGACAGTGAAAAACCGGATGAAGCAAGGGGGCGATTTTTTTTATTTAGTTAGTTATTCTTCGAATACCGTCCATTGTTAATTCCGATTGCGTAATAATTAAGGCACGTATTGCACAATAACGTTTGCGATATTTCGCAGAGATAAAAGAGTTTTACTGTGCTTGCTAAGCAGATTATTGTCCAGTTTCATTGGGCTATTTTTTACATGATTCACATATCGGAATATCAAAAGTATTATTTAGCTGAAAAATCAAAAGAATGGGTACAATCTACTCCCTTGCTCTTTTATCAGTTACGCTCGACTAGCCGGAATTTTCAGATATTCCGCAATTTCCAAGTATGCTGGCTATTTAAGGCAAAGAACGTCTATGTACAATAAATATTTGGTTAAGCTTTTATTGTTAAGGAATGACTGCATGAAGCAATTTCCTGTCTTCTGATTTCAGAAAAGTTTACTTAAATTACTTTGCTTGCAATATCTGTTAAGGGAAAACTGTTATACAATAAAAAAAGAATTTTAATTTATTTAAAAATTTTTTAAAAAAGAATTTAATTGTTTTCCATGGTTGAGTAATTCTTATTCTCACTTAATAAATACTGAATTTCTCATATTTTAAATTACAAGTCTAATTTTTCTTTTAAGGTTATGCAGTTGTGTATAGCTGCATTGTATTATAAGTACCTGTGTAATGTAATTAGACGTACTTATTTTTTTTTTTTTTTTTCTTAAAATGTGCTTATAGGTGCTTATTTTTTTAACTAAAATGTGGTTACGAACCCTGTATATACATTGTTTAGTCTTTCCATTTTTCAGATAGTTATGTTATGCTGTCTGAGCATTTATCTAGCATTGTAAGTTACTATATATGTTGCCATTTTTTAAACTATATATTGCTAACAAGTTTATTAATTTAAAAACAATTTATATTCTTAATAATTTTAAAATGTATATTATTTTTAATAACATATTTTGTAAATATTTTTACAATAATTTGAATTTTTAACATAATTAGCAAACCATGTTCCTAATACTTGTACCAGTACCTTGGAATAAGATACTGTACAATTATTTGTGGATTAACAATTTTGCTACATTTTTATTTTATTAGAAAGAAAAGAAAAGTGGAAAAGATTTTATGCAGATAAGTTTTGTTTTAGTATGGAAAGGTTCAGATTGAAATTATTTGTAAAGAAAGATAGCTGCTAAATCACCTAATAATATTTCTAACTGCTGTAATTTATAATACAAGGAGTATGTGTGATTTATAATGTATCTCATTTATAATTTTTATAATACATTTCAGCAGTATTGAATTTAATAACAGATACTCCAAATACTATACATTTAGATTACAGTGGTTTAGATTGTATTTCCTTCTTTATTGATATTTTTATGTTATCTTAATATTTCATAATGGCATACAGATAAATTTAACTCATTTGCGTAATACGTAAATTTATACTTCAGCATTTTTTTTGTATTTACTTAGTATTATAACTTATATTTTCTTTAATATATTATTCAACACATTTTATTTCAAGAGCTCTTTAGCTCACCAGCCTGACAAATGATAAAATCTCTGAACACTGGTAGTTTGACCAGGATTCAAATTCTGGTGAACAAGCTGCAAGGCCAGGGTTTGTATGGACCTTAAAAGTCCTAGGTTTTATGAAAATGATTTTTAGTCCTTAACCCGTTCGGTATGGGCGTGTCATATATGCATCAGGCAGCGAACATTACCTCACAGCTGGGTGTGTCGTATTTGAATCGCTATTTAATTCACTGTATGGTCGGGCGTACCACATGTGACTTTTTAGATACAACGTTTAATTAGTATTTTTTTGTTGCCACTAGATGTAGCTGTATGTCTGTTGTGAGGAAATATATCGTTAAATTATGTGTACCTTCATTTACTCTAATTTTCCGACTTAGCACATAGTGCTATATCTTATTGTATATTTGTATATAGCCGTACATATGTTTACTTAGCATTTTAGATATCTGTTTGTATACCTAAATTAATTTTTTTCTGCATCATGTTTCTTCTCCCTTGTGATTTCAAAATTTTTATGATACTATTCCATATGCCTTGTTGTCCATGATCGGATTATTTCTGACCGAGCGATGTATCGGTTCCCTTTCTTTCCTGCCTGCCTAGCTCCCTTCGAGGATACTACGCCCGGACTGTACAACGTGATGCGCCCTTGCGGCATTATTTTATAGAGTCAGACACACTGCACTCCGTGCGGTATTCCCGCAATACAGGAACAGTCAGTCAGTCAGTCAGTGTACCTTCACTCTTATGCAATGTTTTTTAGTTTTGGTATTTTATTTCGGAATGAGAGGTGATGGCTAAAAAGTCCACAAAATGCCCAGAACAAAATGACGGTATTAACGTGGAATAAACATGTTTTACAAATCCTGTTGCAGTTTGAAGAGTTTATAGACAAAGTAGTTAAGACAAATTTACGTGACTTTTCTACTTTTGATCTTCAAAATCTTTCTCTTGACACATTTTTCACTTCTTTTTTTTCATGATTTTCACTATTCAAAAGTATGGAAAATAGTGAAAATGACTCTTATCTTGTCAAATGAACAGGGCCCTGTGGAAAGAGGTGTCTCTGTAAATAGAGCAATTGAAATTGAAAATTTACGTGACTCATCATACATTTTTCAATGCACAATATTTGATTACATAAAATTTTCTGGAAATATTCTTAATATTGAAATTAATAAAGAAATGAGATCAGCAGCAGCTTCTGCAAGATCTAAATATATGCAGTATTTAGAAGAACAAAAATCTTTAACTAAATCTGAAAATTCAAAGAAGAAAAGAAAAATTATTGAGGAAGAAATTGATTATATGAAGCAGAAGAAAAATTTTCTTTAAAGGGATATAGATACTGATGAAGAAGTAGATGCTTTTAGCAGATGAAGCAGAGACCAGCAGGAACATTGATTTGTTTATGAAAGAAAATGAACTTAGAAGAATAGTTAAAAAAAAAAAAAAAAAAAAAAAAAGGAAATAGACATAAATAAATTAGATCTTAAAATATCTGAAAAAATTTCAGATTTAAAAAAAGTATAAATGTTTTGTATCTTTTATTGTATAGTTTATTATGCTAGTATCCTTCAAAGAAATAAATTGTATGTTTACTAATCTGTTATTTTAATCTGCAAAATATTTTTCCATTGTGATTTTAATAGTAGTTGACTGTGTTTGAATAAATATCAAATAAGTTTAATAATAATCATATAAATCTCTAAAATATGTATGACTGTTATTAGTGTAAAATACACTTAGACATGTTTTTCAAGAAATTATATTCCTAATTTCAACTTGTAGTAAGTTAGATTCATTTTCAAAATTCTTTTATGTATGTTAACTATTGAATTTACTAATGGTGCATAATATACACTTCTGTTAGTTTAAAATGAGATTACAAGCATGAAGTTGGTTGTATGGATAATAGCTTTATTCTATTCAGTTTTTGTTTGCTGATAGGTCCTTAGTTTTTTTGTTTGATGGTCCTGAAAAGTCCTGAATTTTCGTGTAAGGAAAAGTGTACGAATCCTAAAGGCAGTTTTCGTAGTTTTTCCCTTAAGTGTAACGTGAATATGAGCCAGTTTCTCTTAAAACTTCCTCCACAAAGATATCCCTTACATAATACAGAGAGCCTTCATTCATTCGCCATAATCCAGATATCAACAACTGTTCCTTTTTCATACATATTTACTACAGAAATAATAGATAAATTTCTACATAGAAAAACTTCTGTGTAATGTATAGTTTTTTAATTTGTCATTTTGTAGAGTCATTAGGTTTTGGGGGGGGACACAAAACATGGAAAATATGCAGTACAAAGTCTTTAATCCGGATTCGTCAGGACTTCGGCGATTTCGGATTAGGGGTTTTTCCGGATTATAGATCAACAATTTAAATCTGGTAAGATGGCATGCAGAAATTATAAAATTAAAAATATGAAACTGTAATTTATAAAATAAAGAGCAATTATGATCTAAAGGGTATCAAAATTTACAAAAAGAGGGTTATATTTTTTTTTTTTTTTTGTTTACTTTATTAAACATTTCTTTCAATGTAAGTTGTTTAAGTTGCTTCGTTTTTTGTGCTAATACTTTAAAACAGACATAATTTCTTGTTCAGTTCCACTGTTCAAGTTCTGTAATTGCTGTGTCGAGAATGCCGACTATGTCAATCGAAATTTTTTCGTTTTCAATAACCTCTCTGTCACTTTCTTCACTATCGGAAGCAGTACATCGAAACATGCTTTTGCTTTGTAGATCCTTTAGCAGCTCCAGAATCGGAAATTCTTTTTCACATAATCAAAAGTTCAGGCTTACTTTTATAAAATTGCTCTAACAGTCTGCAAAAAATAATAAGCCGGATCCAATTAGAAGATCAAAGAACAACACATTCTGCAACATTAACTGAAATAGATAATTTTAGCCTAGCTAAACCATCTGTTAAACATTAAACGGTTGTATGGATAATTGCTTTATTCTATTCGGTTTTTGTTTGCTGATATGTCCTTAATTTTTTTGTTTGATGGTCCTTAAAAGTCCTTAATTTACGTGTAGGAACCATGAAGACAGTTTTTGTGGTTTTCCCTTAAGTGTAATATGAGCCAGTTTCTCTTAAAAGTTCCTCCACAAAGATATCCCTTACATAATACAGAGAGCCTTCATTCATTCGCCATAATCCAAATATCAACAGCTGTTCCTTTTTCATACATATTTACTACAGAAGTAATAGATAAATTTCTACATAGAAAAACTTCTGTGTAATGTATAGTTTTTTAATTTATCATTTTGTAGAGTCATTAGGTTTTTTGGGGGGGACAGAAAACATGCAGTGTCCTCACCGGGACTCAAACCTGGACCTCTCGAATATGCGGCGAGTGTGCTGCAGTTACACCACGAAGGCATGCTGGAAAGAGGGCGAAACTACCTTATATATTCCCCTTTTAAAGGGTGACTGGTTAAAAATGCTTTAGCTAATAATATAATTATGTTAAAATCGGCCATGTCTGTCTGCAAGTCCATCATTTTCATCTACACGGCTAAGTCTATGTGTATATTCTGAGACTCAATTAGTCATCTACACTATCAAATCATTACATATATATATAGTTCAAAAATTTCTAATTGCTTCAAAATTAACCATAACATTACATTAAACCTAACCAATCATTTACATTGATATTATACTTGTAGGCTTCTGCCGTATTTAAGAAGTTTGCATTAACGTCCTTATTGAACTGGTAGTTACTTATCGCTTAATCTGAAACAAATCACAAAGTCTAAGAAAGGAAGGTTAAAATAACTTTTTTATTATTAGTCTTAAATGAACAGAAAGGTGCAGCTTGCATGACAGACGAAATTCTGCGACTTGTGGGTATTTAAATTCACATAATAGAAAGTTAAATTTCAAATGCAGATAAGATAGTCTGAGATTACACATAAAATAGATGACTCGAGCCGGCTCAAAAATCACAAGCAGGCATATTTTAAATGTCTGCAATCAGGATGCTAAAGCCAGAATAAAACTTGGCACAGCTGAGGATAGTAAGTAACAGCAAGACAAGCCTGTTAGAAGCTCAAATCTAACAGCTTAAATACACAAACAACTATTTGCATTCTGGTGAGAACAATGAAACAGAGAAGTTACAGTAAAAGTTTAAATCATAAGACTTTGTTAATTAACATAAAATACCTTATGCTTTAATATAATGATATGTTCCTTTTATATTTTATACTTTACTTTTTGTTACATACATATATATGTAATATAAAATTATATGAATCAGAATTATAATATAACTATAAACATTAATTCTTCCTCTCTATTCTAAAATCGTAATAACTTCTCTGCATTGCATCATTCAAATTAATCATGCGATCTTACGTAACCGTTAATACCAGATGCCTCTTGACGACCAATCACCGAATTGCAAACAAAAACTTTTCTCTTCGCGTGCTTCCATCTTGCATAACTACGCACTTCAGCTTTTGCTTTCTACTGTGCTAAGATGTAATTTCGCTGGCTTGCTTTCTATCCCAACAATATCAAAAATGTAAATCATCTGTGGAAAGGCACGACTAGAGTGCCAAGTGATTGTGGCCACAAATATCAATTGGAAATAAAAATGGAATTAAAACTGCCTCGACTGCCAAGTTCTTTAAATACTACGCAATCAAAATTCTTCTTCAATATGGGTCTAATCACGCATCTACAGTGTTCCGTCTTTTTCCTTTGCTTTTATTATGACAATTAAGCCGGTAAGGATAGTTTCCTGCAGCCTGAAACCTCAATGGAAAATTTAGTTCTGCTCTTCCAATCATCGTTTTGTGATAAATCCAAGATAATGTGAAAGAATTGAATCATCAAATTTGTTTTTTCAGTGTTTAAAAAGTAACAGATCATTCTTCTGCTGTCGTGTTTTGCAAGTGCTTCTAAAAAATAATCACGCGTAGTGTTTACAGATTGAAAGTAATCTCTCGATAAATTGAGAAGTTCGAATGCCTAGTGAAAAGGAATATTGAATTTGCTTTGCCGATCTCTACAATATTTAGAAAAAAAGTGCTTTAAATCATCAGTGAATTACCGTTTAGGAATTAAGCATTACAGCGGGTTCAAGGTCGATCCGAGTTAGTGTTTGCAAGTATGTGTGACAGAAAATTATTTGCACTTCCGCTTTTTCAACAGCTCAAAAATTATTACATTCGTGTGAATCTAGCTCAGGAACTAAATTATTTAATATGCTGCGAATTCTATAGTTTTTCATTTCAAACTTTGGGTTAAAATTTCTGCAACTTGTTTTGAGAAAATCTGAAATTCTTGTTCATTAATTTTTCTAATTTTCATAACATAATGTGTGAGCAATTTAAGTAACGAAATTTAAGCTATTTAAATTATTCATGGGAAAGCATATTAAGATAAGTTTTTATGTTTTTGAAATTTTATTGAGAATTTTGAATACGAATTTTATAATTATTCTAAAAATTAAATGGATGTAAAAAATAAGTGAAATTATTACAGATACGTAATATGAAATTATGGTAAATGTGTGTTAAAATTTATGGCTTATTGTGTGTTAAGTATAGTATGATGAGGGTGTACTGGTTCTTTCAACAGAGGCCTGTAATTACCTCTGTACAGTTGTTCCTTTTACCCTCTTCATGCAAGATAATGTTAGAGGCTCTCATTTTATGTGTGTAATTTTTTAATATTATTATTATTATTATATTTTTTATTATGGAATGTATTAGTGCAGTTCTCAAAGGCCAGTTACCTTAATGCAAGGAACGGAGGTCTTTTCAAGTAACTGTCTAGGCACCCTGGGCCACCAGTGCAGAGAACACACTGGTTAGCGCAAGAGGACAGCCCTACTGATGGATATGTTTGTTTAGAAGTATTGCGAGGCTTCCAGTTTGGTAAAATCAGGAATTGTAAATGAAAGATGATAACGGTGAAACCATAAATTCTGAAAATATTAATCCTATTATTTATGATGTTAAATTATAATTTATCAGTATAAAAATAAGTATCATAAATATTTATGTGCATTACATTTAATTATAAGTAATGATTATGTAAAAGTTTATTTTGTGATATTCTGCGATAACAAGAACCTTCCCTGAAGAATTATGATTATGTGAATTCTCAAACAAAAAGACTTTTGGACTGAAATGCTGAAAAATTCAATAGGACTCTAAAAATTAAAAATTTATTTTAAAAAAATTGATATTTATAAGTTATACTTTATACTTTTATAGAATCAAAATTTTCAGATTTATGTTTTTCTTTTTTATTTGCTAGTGTTTTAACTCTTTCTCTTTAAAAAGGCTTCTCTGTCGCTAAGCCTTTTTCTTTTTGAAGGGGGGAAATATGTAATATAAAATTATATGAATCAGAATTATAATATAACTATAAACATTAATTCTTCCTCTCTATTCTAAAATCGTAATAACTTCTCTGCATTGCGTCATTCAAATTAATCATGCGATCTTACGTAACCGTTAATACCAGATGCCTCTTGATGACCAATCACCGAATTGCAAACAAAAACTTTTCTCTTCGCGTGCTTCCATCTTGCATAACTACGCACTTCAGCTTTTGCTTTCTACTGTGCTAAGATGTAATTTCGCTGGCTTGCTTTCTATCCCAACAATATCAAAAATGTAAATCATCTGTGGAAAGGCACGACTAGAGTGCCAAGTGATTGTGGCCACAAATATTAAATGAATAAAATGGAATTAAAATGGCTTTTACTGCCAAGTCAAGTTTTATTTACGTCAATTAGCTTACGACGCAATCAGATTACTTCCTCTTCAATATAGGATAACTACGCATCTACAGTCTCCGTCATTTCCTTTGCTTTTATTATGACATATATATATGTGTATGTGTGTGCACACGCACACACCCCACACACAAATATATATAATAATGCAGGAAAGTTGAGTGCACAGATGTTGATCCATAATAAACAGCAGCTCGACAGCCAAGGCAGATTAAATATTTTTTATTTCAGTTGACAGTTGTAGATACTATTCACTTGGCACTCTAATCATGCTTGATTCCAAATATTCACATTCTTGATAGTGTTGCGATAGAAAGAAAGCAGCATTTCAATGGCAGCAGACATAGAAGCAAAGTGCTTAGTTATGTCATACGAATTCTTATAAAGAAAAAGGTTTTGGTTTAAGTTCTGTATTAGATATATCATCATTCTTATGTTAAAACCTATGTTAAAACAATGCTATATAAATCTGATGTATGTTAAGTCACACCTTCAAGACATGAAAAATGCAAGTTGAATTTTGTCGACAAGCTGACTAGAATGGGAGATATAAAACTGGTCCCCCCTTTTTTTTACTTAGAATACATTCTTGATGCAGAAGTTCCTGTAACTGGGCATATTACTAAATTAGTAACATATACTTTTTTTTAGAACATAAGGAATATTTTATTCAATGGGATTTTTTTACCTAGATGGCCATATAAAAAATTACACTTTTAAATCGAAAGGCTCATTTTGAAAAATATTGTTCAAAAATGAATGTCTATGATCAATATTTAAGGAAAGACAGGTAGTAGGCTTTTCTTCAAACACTATGCACAAAAATAAAATCAAATTATATAAATTAAAAAAAAAAAAAATATAAATAAATTTCCAGTTAGTTTTTATTTTCGCTTCTAATACTGAACACAAGAATTACCATTTTTATGCAGATAAATGAAAAAAAAATTTTTTTTATTTATTATATATATATATTTAATGAATATTTTATAATATTTATACATTCAAAAAAATCTAATTTTGTAAATGCTTATATACTGTATTAAACTGCAACATATTAAGTTGACATGAGAAATATGTCAAATGTTGAGTAAAATAACTTAAGATTTTTGCTTTACTATTTGTATCATTATTGTAAATATATTTGAATTACAATGTTCAGTACTTAAAAATTGAGATCAAGGGAATAATTGAAATAATGATGACTAACCTTTTTCCTTCTGATATAGAAGTTACTGTATGAGGAATCTTATATTGCAATAACTAGCAAACCAAGCTGCAGATTTCAAGAATTTCTCATTACCAAACATCTTTTCAACATAATGAACAGTTGCTACATCCATGTATATCACAATTCAATACAGAATACAAATTTTTATATAAATGCAACATACAATAAATACAATCTACCTATCAGAAAAAAATACAATCTTTACTCTTCAAACTTTAAATTGAAAAACTAAGAGAAACAGTAATACTGCTTAAGTAGTTAGTAGTAAGTCTGAAGTCTAATAATTAGTCATCAAATTCAACTTTAATTTGACATTAAATTTAATAAAAGAGACTTTGCATTTTAGTACACAACAGTTTGTAATTCAAAAACTGTTGTGTACTTAAATGCAAAGTCTTTATTAAATTTAATGACAAATTCAACTTTAATATGACATTAAATTTAATAAAGAGACTTTGCATTTTAGTACACAACAGTTTGTAATTCAAACTAAACTCAAATTTTAAACAGTTCAGAATGTTTTATAAGGTTTCTAATTATTTGAATTCAATTACACATGAACTTAAATTCAACTATGAATGTAACCACACATCATATATTTGAAATTTTATTCTCGCTGTATTATAATATCATTCCTGGAATTCATCCATAATTGTTATCTTCATTTCATGTAAAATATCTTTTTTCATTCCAATTATAGTGTTTTAGATTAAAATATAGTACTTAGATCAAAATATAGCCTTTATCTGTTTTTTCTTAAGGACAATGGCTACGATGTTACTTTCTATTCATTTATCATTTGAGATTTTTGCTCCTAATGATGACGATACTGTGCTGTTTAGCCTTAAAAAGGCACTAAATATCTTTTTACTTAATATCAATACTGAATTTCAGTAACTATTAAAACTCTAGTAAAATATATTTCTCACATCTATTACTGATAAGCTTTTTCATTAATGTTAATTACTATTACATTCTTCAAATACATGATGTATATTCCTTAGAAACTTCTAAATTGTTTATTGCTTATGATATCAATAGTTAAAATATGGAACATAAAACATTAATTACTTAAAAGCCTTTTAAATGGAGTAAATTATGTCAACAGGACATGATCTACAATGCTTACACTCAGATGACACACACATAAACATGTATGTATATAAATATATATATATATATATATATATATATTATATAAATATATATATATATACACACTTAATAAATAACATTAACTAAAAGAGAATAAATTCTCAAAGTTATTCCTTCCATCTCATATAAATACAGTTTATAAAATTATGACAATGCTTTTTACATCTTTAGAGGTATATTTATATACCGTGCATTTTGTTATGCAGTACAAAAAAAAAAATTATCATATAAATCAGCATAATATGAAAACTACAGTGAACTCTCTTGCAGAAGTTACCTCCCTAAAATGACGACACCTGAAAGTGAACAATATTTTTTCTGGGAATATCAACAAATATCTAACTAAGCAAATATCTCTCTTAGATGACTGCCTCCAAAGAAGCCAAAATCATTTGGAACTCTATCGTTTGAAAAATAATCCATGGTGTAATCTAAGATGACAATGGTCATCTTAGAAAGCATTCAGTATGGACCATTTTTCAAATTTAAAGTTTCAAAATAAAAAAGGAAAATATTACCATGTTTAAAGACTGCCAATTTCAATTATTACATAAATAAATAAAGCCTAAAATTAGATCCATACATAAAATTTATTGATATGTTTATGTATGTTTTTAAAAAAGCCGAACACAAAGGAATAATTTTTTGCATATTAAAATATAGCCCTAAACATAAAATCTACTCTTCCCCAACCCCCCAAAAGAAAGCTTGCAGAATTAGACAAAACCGAGGACTCGAATAAGTGACAAAACTCCTACTACTATAGCCAAAATTTTTAATGTTTAAAAAAAAAAAAAAAAGAAACCCAATATATATACATGCATCAAACATTATTTTGAAAAGCTTACAGTTTAAATTAATAAGTTACTTTATAATGTAGCAAATTCACTATTTAGTAAATGCCAAAAGCCCAATAAATTAAAATCTGAGGAACATAAATATGAATGGAGAACTCGCATGATTTTCTCCAAAGGAGCAATAATTTAAAATACCACATTAACTGAAAAATATGATAAATCTCATTTAATGCATATGGAATTAGTTGATAAAACACTGATTTGCAAAGAATAATAATTCTGTATGGCATAAATTTAAATCAGAAAATTTAATGAGTTGTGATTTTATATATTTGCAAATACAAAATTAAAAATCTCTGAATACAGAATTTAATTTTTATCATCACATGTTAAATTCAAATCAGATTTTAATGCTAATTAAAATGCTCAGTATTCCATTTAGTAAAGTGCTTCCTCTAATATTTACAAAACTTACCATTAAAAGAAAGGCGTAAAAAAATAGTTTTATTTTTTAAAACACTAAACTGCCTTCAGCAATAAAATATAATGATTTTAATATTACAAACACTGAATTAAATAACACATAGATTTAATAAATATGGACATTCATGAATAAAAAATAAATACTCTAGTTATGGAGATAAAATACTTATGCACTAAGGAAAAAAATAAAAATGTAACATTTTGAGTGTGTTGGCCAAAAAAATAAAACTTCATAAAATCACAGATTTATATTATTGTTCCATTCTAGATATGAAGTTTTGTGAGCATTATCTGATTGGAAGTGACGACTGTACACATTAGTCAGGATTCTTTCCTGTAGACTTCATAAACTCTTTCCTGCAGACTGTATGTCCATACAACAAAAAATTCAACAGCATTTGACTGTTGGTTATTTTTAGCTTTCTTTCAGACACAGCAGTAACCAATTCAAAACAAAAATCCAATGAGTAAATAAAATACCAATGTCAATTCTATCGAATAGTTTAAGTTCTTATTACCATTATTATGTTTATAATCACCAAATTTACTTCTTTCATTACTGTTAGCAGCTATCATAGAAGCAAAACCTACAGAGAAAAAAAAAGAGAGAGAGCGAAAAAATTTTAAAAAATTGTCATAAAGAAATTAATACATTTCAACTACTCTAAAGAAAGATAAAAGAATTTGTATAAGATTTTATTTTATTTTTAAATTACAATAATTAAGATAAAACTGATCATTTATCAGTATTATATTATTCCATTTGCAGCTGAGTCACACATCATGTCCATAAAAGTCTTCATGCAGCCTTAATTTTCACAGATATGTACTTCCAGTTAAAAAAAATGTTAACTGACATAAATATGTACATTATGTTTTTTAGTTAAAAATATCAATTTCATAAAAATAACTTCTATATAATCCATTTCGATTTCTATAGTTATATTTATTAAAATTTACAGTAATTATAAAAATAAAACATAAAAAATTTGACTCCCATATCAAGTATTTTTCCACGATAGGATTTTTGTCATCTTTTGGGGTTCCTTTAACAGTTCTGTTAAAAAATATAAAATAATTCAAGTTTGATTTTTCTTTTACTTATCTGTTAAAACCATACCACTTGGTGGTTTTTGGTTATGGTGTATTTTCTCCATGCCAGGGTTCGCCAATTAACCCTTTCTGGCACGCTACCTTTTAAAGTTAGAGTTTTGATTAAAAAAAAAAAAATTAGGCCTAGAGGAGTACACAAGTAAAATTTTGTGAAGCTACACTTATCGTTTTAATTTTGTGGGTGTGCAAGAAGTGGGCACATTGATTGAATAGAGCTTCAAAAAGAGTGTTGAAATGAGTATTGTTGTCAATGAACTGACCGATGAGATGCAGAGAAACAAAATACACTCTCAGTTGTCCTATATTATCGGTGTGCCCGGTCTGGGCACGCCTAGGGTTTGCCATTTAATTTTAGGCAAGATTTCAAGGTAAAAATTTAAAACTAATAAAGAATAAGGAAATTAGCATACAACCAAAAAATAACAGAGAAATTTCTCTTCAAACAATTCCTTTTATACCCTAAAAAAATCTGGAAGATTTCTTTGATAAATGAGGGTCTTAAAAACTAAACATGGCTAAAATACATGGACTGGTTTGTGCCACAAACACACTGTGTCGCAAAGGCTTGAGAAAGATATATTCTTCAACAGGAAAGGTGTTCAAATTACCACTTTATGAAATCAAATGGCTACTAAGCGTTTATTTCAGGCTGGGATGGAAGAGGTGGCTGAAAAAAAATGTTTCAATGGATTATGCATTCCTTTGATTCATTTACTTATAATTCAAGTTTGATTTTTCTTTTACTTATCTGTTAAAACCATACCACTTGGTGGTTTTTGGTTATGGTGTATTTTCTCCATGCCAGGGTTCGCCAATTAACCCTTTCTGGCATGCTACCTTAACATCTATTTTGTAAACTACAGCTTGCTTCAAATAAATCAATACAACCATTGATTGGAATAATTACATAACAGAGATATGTGCCATTTTCTTGCTATCTCATCTTAATGCTAAAACAAGTGGAAACTGTTTATTTACAAAAAGAAAAGGAAAAAAATAATAGGTCAATTTAGGTCATGTTCTTCTCCCATAAAGGGTTTTTGGAGGATTTTGTTTTGAAATAACAGAAATTTTCCTTACTGCACTTCCTGATCATTCTATTGCATCTGATATCAAGACATAGGTTAGAGGAAAGAAATAAGCAAAAATGCAGTACTAGTAATGCAGAGTACAGCTTCCAGAGAAAAGTTTTTTTCCCCCCATTTTAATGTCATTCACTGATGTTCTTTTGTGAATTACTAGTGTATAACATTCAGTAATTTATAATTTTGTTGCATGTTATACAAAAGCATTTTTACACAAGCAGTTGTAAGTTTTAAAATCTAAAAATTCATTAAACATGTTCACATGTAGCTTTATAACTCTATAATAATAATTTAATAGTCATATGAAAAGAAATTCATTGGACTAGAAATATTTTTCACTTTTAATTTCTACAAACAATGTTACTAACTAACTGTGTCAACAGTGAAGCAAGCCTGCTACTGCTTTCTGAAATATTCATTTTTAGAATGATGAGATCTTCTTTTTGGAAAAAAAAGAATGATTTTGATCAGAACATTTCACAACTGTCCTTTACAGCAATGCTCATCACATAATCTATTACCATCAGATACCTTTTTTTAAAATTGATATTCATACTTGTCCCTTAACCTATTACTATCAGACACCTTCTGTTACACTGAGATTTCAGGTACTTTTCTGTTAATACCACTCATTCCCAGTGCAATATTACCACATTTTGGCTCATTTCTTTCCTCGTGGCCTTAGCTCAATACCACCTTTTAGTTTTAGTCTGCCATGTTTCTCTTTTTATGAAATTTCTGTTTGTGACCAATTTTTGTGAAATGTTCTTATCCAGCAGTTTGTAAACTGGTAGAGCTGGAACACTTCAGCGGTCAGAAAATATAATAGTTCCATTCATAATATCCTCCTTTGTTGCAGCCGTTAAAGTCTGCATAAAGCACTACAGAATAGAAAAAGGAAACAGTCTCCAATTTCCCATCATACTCCTCCAACACGGTTTATTATTTTTCTCCCCCTTCTTATAAATAAACTTTCATCAATTTCTGTAATTTTTCTATGTTCACTAATTTTAACAATAGGATGAGATTATAAGAAATCATCACATACATCTCAGAGATAATTATTCCAAAGACCATTCTGTTGTGATTCACTTGAAGTTGAATTTCACAATACATGACACCTTAAGTAAACTACAATTGTAAGAATCATACAGTCTAAGTAAATGAATCATATGGCAGTAACAAAAGGAGTAGGATCCAACAAACTATGTGTTCAGACACTTTTCTTCCTGGCATAAATAAAGACTGTATGACCAGTTTAGTTTCAATTCATATTTTAATTTCATCAAGTGATCATTTATACAAAATCATTTTTATGAAGAATATACTTTTTCTTGAAGAAACAAGGTAGCTGCTTGTTCCTCTTTTGGCAAAATCCCATATCATAAAACCATTCACAGGATGGGGAAAGGAAAGGAAAAAAGTATTAGATTTTAAAAAAAAATGTTGTTTGTGAGTGTTGGTTACAAACAGAATTATTACCATGGAAGATGCAAAACAAAACTGATGATACCTAGTGAGAAAGAAATGCAATTGTAAGAATCATACAGTCATACAGAATTAAAAAGGGCACCAAGTGGTACAGCTTTAATGGGAAAATGCCCAATTTTAGTTATGTATAAATTTCAAAGGTTCACTTTTTAATCGGTGTATGACTCCTGAATACATTCTGAAGCTTTATATATCTCAGTTAATTTTTGATATACAGGAGTCAAATTGTTATATTATATTTTTCACAATTTGCTAGACTTAATTTTTACTGAATATAACAACACAAAAAAAAGTTAAAGTTTAGTAATTTTTATAAATTTGATTTCTTTTCTAAAAATTTAATAATGCCATAACATGAATATATTCCTTATTCAAATCATTTTTTCAACTAGAGGTATATGCGTAAGGCCAACAGTTTTAAAAATAAAGGCCACACAAAATAAGGACTTATAAAGACAGTTATATATGTTAAAGTGATGTTTGAGTTACCATACAAGAACCCATAAATATCTGAATAGCTATAAATAATATTTAACTAAATGCTTGTTATTAAGATCACTTATATTGTAAAAGACAAAACTACAAAGATTTTTCCTTATTTCAACAAGAACTAACACTGATTTAGTTTAGGAATAGAGTTATCATAACCAAATAAATACTGACTAAAAACTATCACCAGTATTAGTTTATATGCAATAAAAGAACAACATAATTTGAAATTTTTAGTATCAAATGACAGTATTTGTAAATCTTCCTTGTATGTTATAAATAATACTAAGGTAATAATTTCAATACACAGTGAATTTTCTACAATTGATTTATGGATTTTAGAGGATTTTCTAAGATTTTTATGAATATTAATTTTTTCTGAAAATGGTTAGATAAATTTAAGAATTTAAAGTTTTTTCCTTTTTTCATTTTTATTATAATTATTAATTTGTTTTTCATTATATTTTTAAAAATACCTTCAGTTAGAATTTATGGCAAAAAAATGCTGGAATATCATTCTAAAATTCAGATCAGAACTTTGAATTACACCAAAATTTTGCCAGATTTCTAGAGCATTTTTTGAAATCTAAAAGTAAACTGTTTGATGTAAGATTAACCTGTGTATATATAAACAGGAACAATCCTAAGAATTTTACCAATGTAAGAGTATATTTTACTGCCCTTTTATCAATTAATTATTCATATCTATTAATTAGACATTAATTTTATAATTTAAATCAATTTTGCCACTCTGCAAATTCAGATTTTCACAACCAGTACAGATGGCCCCTGTGTACAAGATAATGCATCAAAGAACATTTACTTAAATAGAATTCTCAACTTTACACAAGAACATTCATGCTACAATTAGGCTGCTTTAAAAATCTAAAAATGTAAATTTCAATTTAAAAAAATGTATTGTAACCCCACGGCTCAACGAGCGCCACTTAGCGGCTGCCGAAAAAAGACTACAGCTTTCAGTCGATGTACAGGAATCATGGACTCAGCATGGTGTTCCCTGAGATTTACTTTGTTCCCTAAGATTTACTTTGTAACTTAAATGTGTAATTATAACGCCCTTAATTGTAATGCTTTATCTTAATTGTGTTTTGTTAATTAAAGCTATCTAAAAAGTCCAGATGAGCTTTTTGTTTATGGTAGTTTTGGTTATAGTATGATATAATGTTTATTTAGTTATGAACTAGTCATTAATGTTACATTTTATTTCTTGAAGAATTTTTTTATTATATCATAAATCATCAGCCACTAATCTTTTTGCAAAAGGCCCACCAGCGGCCAAGCGGTAAAGTCGCTGAACACTGGTAGTTTGGTCCGAGGTTCGAATCCCGCGAACGCGCTGGCTGCATGGGTGTTTTCGTGGTTTTCCCCATGTGTAACGTGCATACGAGCCAGTTTACCTTAAAAAGTCCTCCCTCTTCTTAGGCACATAGCCCTCGAGGCTTTGTCGTAATTAAATACAAACTTTTTTTATGTACATAAACAGTACAAAGTACAAGATTCGGAATCACCGGGACTTTGGTGATTCCACATTTTGGAACTTTTTGGAATTTAGATCATTAGTTTAAATATAGTAAGATGACATACATACATGACAACACTAGGGCTTCACTTATTATTTAGATTAGGTCGAAGAATGCTAACCCCACCCCACACACACAGGGCTGACACCAATTAAAGTATGAATGGTACAGCTGCAATGGGTCTCAGAATTTAGGTGCAGCAAAAATATTAGAATTTAGAGAAGATTTTGCAAAAGTTTTTAAATTTAGGGAGGTATTAAGTAGCAGAATTTAGGATCTGCAGAAACTGCATCAGAAGGCAAAATGCGTAGTGCCCCCCCCCACTAATATACAACCACTCAAGGTTTAAGAATGTGATCCTGAATAATATCAATACATCTTAATGCACTGTTAATTTGGCATGGTGTGACTCCCTAACCAGCTAGAGTTTGAAAGTGATATGCAGGAATCTCAGGCAGTCCAGAGAAAAGTGGCATTTAAGACATACCCACTTTCTTTTGCTATTATATTCTCTATTCCTAGATTTTTGTAAAGGAAAATTGTTGTATGACTTTATTTTATTTTATTTTTGGCTAGCAGTCCAGAAGTCTGGATATTAGATCATTAAAAATACTGGACAGACTTTTTCTCTCTATATAAAAATATATAAGAAAAGAAAGAATATATTGTTGTCTATTTATCTAGACATACGTTTGTAATATAAATTACAATGAAGAATTTCGAATATGAAAGAGAATTATGGATTTTTCATCTTTTCTTTTACTATTTGAAGTAACAGTATACATATAAATGAGTAATTCGATTATTGAATACATGCAAGAAATAGATACATTTGTATATTAAATTTTATAATTTAAGAATTGTATAATTTTTAAATAAGAATAGACATTAAAATAAAGAAGGTTCAGTTCAGAGACTTGAAATTAATTAAAAGGTTCTACGATTTTTCGCTAGAGGGAGCAATTATAAGTTACTGGCCTTAAAATACATTGATTTTAATTTTATTGGATATTTTTTTGTGTAAGCTTGTCAGTTAAGCAGCATTATACAAATGACATATATTAATGTAGGAAAAATGTACATTAGAAATATTATTATAGGTACATTATTTATAAGCAAATTACTATTTTAGCAGAGGAGGCAAATCAAAGATTAAGGACTATTAGAAACTAAAATTTTACATTAAAATATAGAAAAACGGGAAGCAAACTGAATATGAATAACACCACAGATTAATTGAAATCAAACATTCTAAAATTTTCTGTTAAATATTTAAATTTCTTAAGTTACCTCTAGATCTATTTTCTTTACTCATACCCTGAAGTGCATTTGGTTTCCTATCTAAAAAAAAACTTCCATCGGAAAGAGGACTGAAATTTCTTCCTAATATATTTGACACATCGTTATTTCCCATATCTCCACTTCGGTGTAAAAAATCAAGATCGTATGCGTCCTTCTTTCTTATAAAATCATCTGGACTTTTAGAAGTGCCATAAAGTATTAAACTCCATTCCTTTAAGGTAGCTCGACCTAGATGAACAATTGAGAAACATAACAAATAAGGATTTCTATAAAATATTGTCTACTTAGGAAAAAATTTTCAAAAATTACCAAATTTATCAATTTAAGCATATAGTAGTGACCTTTTTAAAAAATAATGAAATATTAAATATTCAAATATTGATTTACCAATATATGCTTTGAATGAAATAAATTAACATAATAAAAGATAAACCACCAGTCCTTACCAAATAATAATAATAAATATTTCTTAAAAACTGTACAAAATTATGCTATTTTCTGCCTTTATTGCTAATGCGATTATTAAAAAAAAAATAAGTAAATAGATAAAAATAAAAACTAATTTAAGTGAAAAACATAAAAACTTTCTATAATCATCTCTTTTTCTCAAGGTATGTACAAAATTCACTTAATTTCTCACAAGTTGTTATCTTTTTCAATACAATACAATTTATAATTATACAATTTACACAATTTCAATACAACACAATTTCTGATTCAATCACTTTAAAACTCCCCCCAAGATATGAATTGTTGGGCAATTTAATACAACATTTAATATATATAATTCATATAAAACTTTGAAATGTACTAATAACAAATGCAATTCCTACATGAGAAAAGAAGAATTTAACATTGTTAATTTCTCAAACATTTGCACAATTTTTTTTCTCCTCAAGTTATGAAAAACTTCTCTTTAAAGATGAAATAGTTGTTTAGCCTTTCCTGTTCATTAAATTATTTTGAATTATACTTTATATTTTATTTCAATCCTTATTTTCATTATCATCAGCATTCAGAAATCTGGATAATACTTTAATAAACTAAGTATTGGACAATAAAATTGTGTAAAGCAATGGCATAGTAATAAAACCACATAAAAATGGATATCATTTGAAATTAAAATGTAGATTATACAACTTTCTTTTTCATGTATATTATCTGAATGGTGCACTGAAAGATGTATTAACCGTATTTTATGGTATTTTCTCTTTTAATGTAGAATGCAGTTTTCAAAGACGTCATGACGAATGTCGGGCGACAAAGTATTCTTTAAAAGAAGTGTATAAATATGGTTAAATAAAAAAAAAAAAAAAACCACATATATGAATAAACAGGCTTAAAGAACACCAATGCACAAAATATAGAGAAATTTTTAAAATAACTATTTGAAGAACTATAATTCAAACACTAAACTCAAATAATTTTAAAAAAATTCTAAATATATGTATATATGACAATTGCGATTAAAAATTATAATAAAAGTAAAAATATTTGCAAGAAAGAAAAAATTATACTTTTTTGTGCTCACACAGAATGAAAGGGAGAGAGAAATAGATTGCCTTAAACTCAGAAATTCATCAATTCGTGAATTATTCTTGGCACAAAGTAAAAAAGGTGCACCAAGGTAAATTCCATACCAAATTTTACAAAATTTGGTTTTTAAGGCATAATTTGAAATGTAGGATTGAAATATGGAAAAAAAAATAAACGTCCAATTTTATGTCAAAATATGTATGTTAGAACAATGCTATACATAAATTGAATATGCATCCTAAGTTGCTCTTTGAATACAAGAAAAAAAATTGAATTTTGTAAATCGACTGAGTAGAATGGGATATATAGAACTGTCTGGTTTTTTTTTTTGGGGGGGGAGAGACTGAGTATACTTATATTTTGTCAACATTTGATGAATAGAGTACTAAGGCTGTAGATATACTAATAGATCTGTTTATTCTCATATAACAATATGCGAACCTACTGCTATAAATAATACAATTGCTCCTTGATGATATGGAGCTAAGTGAAGTTATCCCTTTTATTAATACATTTTCAACTTAAAATAATATAAATGCTTTGAAACTTGTCAATATATTCCATCTGTAACTCCAGGTGTAAATAAATAAATATTGCTTCATGAGGAAATTCAACCTAGAGATACATCAGAAAGATCTGCAGACACATTTGTGTTCCAAGAAAATAATTTTTTTGAATCTAGACTTTTGCGTGAAAATGAAAGGTGTGCCTATTGAAACTGGAGATATAAACAGAGTCAATGCTTCAGACTTCAATACACAAAATTCTGGAAAACACTCTTTATCAAAAGAGACCGTGACAAAGAAACCTATACCACTGAAATACCTAGAGGACAATAAAACTAGAGAATTGCATAAAAAGCCAGCTTTGCTTTCTGAAATTCTAACAAAAGAAACTACATTTTTTAATGTATTTGTGCATCAAATTCTGTAACTGTTACATAAATAAATTTGGCAATGAAACCTGTCTTCTCACTGCAAAGAAAAGTGCAAAAATCTATTGCTTTGCATAAAATAGAGAGTATTTCAAAACTCTTAGAAGGAGAGATGATTTTAACTATGAGGTGCAAAATGCAGGAAAAGATATTGCATTGAGAAATTCCCAATGTTCAAAAACTGAAAAACCAAAATGTAAATCTGGCATCTTGCATGATAAAAAATCACATTTGAAAAGTTCGAAAGAAGAAAGAGATTGCTCTCCTACTGGCTTAACAACAAGAAAGAGAAAATGTTTTGCAAATTTTACATTCAAGAGAAAAGGGGAAACCTTAAAAGAGGAACTGTTCCCTCAGGTTCTAGAATTTCAAAACAAAGGAAATCTGTTCAAAAATATTCTGTATTTGTAGCTGATTAAGAAGCTAAAACAATTTCAGATGAAGAATTATTGTAGAGCCAGAAAGTCTGGTAAAAGAAAATAAAATTTTGGCATTCTATCAAAAGGTAAAAATAAACATACATCTGTTTTTAGCACAAATCCCAGATCTCCTAATAATAAAATTTTTAAAAAAATCAGAGTGATGAGAGGTTAAATAATTCTGAAGGTAAGTTAAATATATTTAATTTTTCAAATTATCTGAAACAGAATACTCTACACACTGAAACATATAATAATCAAGAAAAATTTTCTATTTTTCAAATTAACTATACAAAGCAAGTTAAGGAAAACTTGCTCTCAAACAGGCAAAGAAAAAGTAGGATGTCCACTGCATATGTGACTTCTTTGTATGGCCTATTAAATCCTACACATTTTTTTCTGCATTTCAATTAAACTTATTTCCTTATTCCTTATTTCATTAGAGATATATTCCTCTTTCAAACAATACAGTTTTCACTTCGCAGCATAGTCAAAAGACATAAAAACTCAAAACATCTTCATTAAAAATTGTAAAATAAAGAAAAACTAAAATACCAAATACAGTTAAAAAACTAAGTTTTGCAATTAAAATTATAGTTGCTTGGAAAAGCCAGCAATTCAGCCAACAGGAAGAAAGAGAAAATTTTTGATTCAAAGTTAACTTTTGGCTCCACTGGGCAAAAAGGCACCGAAGTTTGTACACTAACTGACAATTCACTATACTGCTATGAGTTTCATATGTAAACAAATAGCTGCCATGTCAGGCCTAGCACCACAATGCAGATTAACTTAATGCATAAAAACCATAACCAGACCATAAGAGCAACATAATTCAATTGCTTTTAGAGCAAAAAATGCAAAGTTTACAAACATATAAGAGTAAAAATAGGGTTCACTAAGTCAGGTAAGAGGGTGGGTATATGCACAACTACATGTTATAGCAGTCTCATAGACACAATTTCAATGTTCTATGGCTAATCGTTTTTGAATTATGAGAGATATATAAAAAAATCATGAAAAAAATTCCATTTGAATCTGTTTTACAACCTGTTTTGAAAAAAAGATTGCTTTATTCTTTCCGTATGTAACGCCAAAAAAATTTTTCAAATGGATTTGAGAGCAGTCAAAAAGAATATTTTCATTAAAAGATGATACCCGAAATTTTTCGTGATTACAGTACTTCCCTTACTTTGTACAAGGAAGAAAAAAACACTTTTCTTCAAAATGTTTCTCATCAAGAAAGGAGTTTAAAACTGTAATGTCTTTGCATTGCTACACTACCTAATAAATACCAGCGAGAAATGGAGAAGTTTTCTCGCTTGAATGATCCTACTGCTAACAAAATGTTTTAGTTTGTAAGTGATATATAGTTTAAAAATAAAATATCGATATTTGACCAAAATGGGGAAATTCTTTTAACAAACTTCAGTACAGAGTGTTTCACACTCATAAAAATCTCTCATTTTTATTGCCTCAGCACAGGTTTCTCTTTCATCATTTGTCCTTCTGCAACTGAAGAAAGAAGATTTTATATTTAAAGAGTTAAAACTAGTCCTGAAAATTTATGAATATCACATTTATTCTTGTTGCCTTAACTCCCCCAATAATTGCCATAGTTGTATAAAATATCACTAAATGTATAGGAAACTGGATGGGACTAAAAAGTTAATTCATTACATTCAAGGAGTTGTCATAAACCATGTTCATTATTTGATCTGAAATATTAACAACATTCCAGCATTAAATCATCAAAATCATATTTATTATTTTATTATAATAAAACCTCCTAATCCAGATTGAGCACTATTTTTATTCAAGCTAACAAAGTCCAGATTAAATTAAATAACTTTAAATATTAAAAATTAACCTAACCACCTGAATGTTTTCTGAGAATTTATACCTATTTCATTCATAGTATACAGATAATTCTGTTGAATCTCATTCATATTGGTCCTTTCTCCTTTAAAGATTCATCCAGTTTCCCCTTCCCAAAAAGACCAATAGCTTAAAAATCTTCAGTGAAACTTTTGTTATTAACTTTTTTAGCCTGTTGCACAATCTTCTAAATCTGTGTAAAGTCAATTTGAATTCTCTTTAAATATGTCAATGACAAACTGTATAACTAGTTTTTTCATTGCAACTTGAAATTTAGTTCTTACATTCAGTCCACTCAAACAAAGTTGAATAAACCAGCATAATCTAAAAATACCCTATTTTAATTTGTTTCGATGCATTTTATGCAAATATTTGCTGGTTTTCAAGTTTGCCTGAGATAATTCTTTTCTCTTTCCATTGAGAATTTCTCAAGAAGGAAAAGTACTTTAACTTTTCTTTTTCATACAATACAAAGTTTACTCTATCACATAAATTAAATGTTTCAACTTTTATAATGATCTTAAAATACATTAATTTTTAATTACTGCTAAAGATGGAAATGGAAAAAAAATAATGCAAAATACAAATAATTATCAGCAATGTACTTAAGAATTAGAGAAGCGACAAATAACTCGACTAGCACAGATGGAATTTTATAGCATAACTGCCTCTAAAATGGAAAAGCAATAATGTGGCAGAGACAAGACAGCAAGACAAGTCAAATGGGATGGGAGTCATTGCAAAATGACACTTATAGAATGTAAGGCAAAAGTGTTTTGCTTTCCAAGTAAGCTGATCATTCATGATTGTTAATTCCTAATACTATCAACATTTAGTTTACAGTTTTTATTACTATTTCACGGATTGTATATTACAACAAGGATGGATTAAATTAACAAGATTTTTTTGTATTTTACAAGCAATGACAACATTCATGTAAGCAATTTATTTAAGACCAGGCAGATAAATACAGGAAAAGATATTGTGCCTTATTCTCAAAGTGTAATGAAAATCTATTTACAAGAGTGACAAAATTTCTAATACTTAAATTTTTATATTTTCAGTAAAATTATCAGGTCTTGCTCCAATCTCCTTAGTGATAGATTATTCAACAGGAGAAAATAAAAACTTAAAACAAGTCACTTAAAACAAATTTATATACTTTGAGACAAAAGAGATGCATTTTAGAATATACCTCCAATTTTCCCATCATAAACAACTTCTAATTTCCACACACCATTTGGATTTTCACCCCACATATGAACACTCATAAAAGGCCAGTTCTCAAATCCAGCTCTAGATGTATCTGATGGACGTGGAGCTAAAATTGTAGATCTAAGAAACAACTTTGTGTTAATATAGTGAAAAAAAAATATTTTGGCAGTCTTATTTCACAACCAGAAATAACATTATGCTGAATAACTATAGTAATTGTAACAATAAATAATATCTCTGATTTGAAATTACATATTTTTTCTGTTTAATACCATTACCCTAAAATTTGTTCCTCATCATGCTTTATCAAACTATATGATGGGCATATCATCATTTGCATAAGTGAAAAGCCACATGGTTTTGTTACTGCTGAGAAAGAGTGACCTGATCGGAGCAGATGTTTAAATATGATCTGTTCTCCTCACAAGCATAAATATGAGTTGTTATATAACTTTTGTTTCGGTGCAGTACTAAGAATGAAGAGTCCAAAAGTCAATTTACATCTTATTAATGCTCTTTTATTTGAAAAAGAAAAAAAAGTGCTAGACAGCCTGCTAATCTTGCTCATAAAATTTGAGCTATGTATGGAAAAGTACTGTTTCTGATGACACATTTTGAAGGTGGTTTAAGAAGCAAGGAAATTTCAATCTCGAAAATGATGTTTCCTCTGGATGATCATCCTGTGTAAACAAGGACCTATTAAAAGAATCTATGGCTGAAAACCCAAATTACACAGTTTAGGAATATCAGACAGAGTAAATATTCAAAGAGTGCAGTATATAATCATTTGAAGAAGAGTGAGTGTCGCTGCTGAGCCAGCCTCTCAGCAGTTTTCATCCCTCACGAAATGAAGTGAACTGAGGTCTGGAATAAACCTGGTCTGGAATAGTCTTATGAGTTCATATTAGAAAATCCCATCAGCCATTCCCCAGGAAGAAGAAAAAAAGGTAAGTTTACCTTTTGACATATTTTTTATTGATCTTCTAAAAGTGAGTATGGGAGCCACTATGATCCATGGGTACCCCCTAACAGAGCAGAATATTCATGCTAAAATAATTAACTCTTTTTCTTTTAAATGCTACATGGCTGGAGATGAGAAGTGGATACTATACAATAATGTTACAAAAAAAAAAAAAAAAAGAAAGAAAGAAAGAAAGAAAGAAAGAAAAAAGACCATGCCATAAACCAAAAGAACCTCTTGTAACATCGAGAGTGGAGATTTAATCCAGAAAAAGTAATACTTTGTGTATGGTGGAACTACAAAGAAATTGCACATTATGAATTGTTGCGCCCAAGTCAGACAATAAGTTCAGAAAAATACTGTTCCCAAATGGCAGTTTTCAAAGCAGAAATTGAAGCAAAGCACCAGGAATGACCAGTCTTCAAGGTGTTGTGTTCCAACATGACAATATTTGGCCCCACCTGTCAATGAATGTCAGACAAAAACTTATTGGCTGTGGCTAAAATCCCCATATTCACAAGACCTTGCTCTCTCAGATTTTCATCTCTTCAAGCCACTACAAAATCCTCTAAATGGCCTGGAATTTACTTCTTTGGAGACTGTCAAAGAGCATGTTGATAATTTCTTTACAAATAAACCTAATGACTTTTTTAAAAGCAAAATTTTTCAGCAACCTCAGAGATAGTAAATGTCACAGAAGAAAATGGTGCTTATATGATTCAATGAAAGTTTCTCATGTTTTTGTACTGCTTCATTTGTATTTATCATCAGAAAACTGCAGAACTTTTCAGAGGACCCAATACAAGAACATACAGTTTACAAATTTTGCTTAAAAAAATTATTATTCTTAATATTTATAGGTAAACTTCTTTTTCCTCGTCTTATTTATAACACACAAAATAATCTATTTTCAAGCCAAGTACGGTATGTGATTAACACAAGTCGACAAATTTCTGTGCCGCTGGGTCCAGGTTCGAATCTCAAATAAGACCTGAATATTTGTGACTAATTTTTTGCGGTATGGGGACATTTAAAATCCATCAAGCATAAATTTCTCTCATAAGGTTGGTGGAAAAGGAAAACATGTATCGTCATACTTCGTGAACCCTTCATTTGAAGCAGAACCTCAGCAGATAGTCTTTGTGTGCCTTGTTTGCACTAAACACCTATTTTATATTTAATAAATTAAAAATCAGTCATCAGTTTAATTTGTTTTGAAAATTTGAAAGTCCTCAAAAGAAAAAATTAACTAATCATGCCCCTCCCAGTTTTTTAATACTTTGTAATCTCCCCTCCTACACTCGTAAGGTAGTTTGATGAACTAGGTATAACTGTATCATCAATATACCATATAAATCCTCATTTTCAAAACTGGATTTAAAATCATGAACATAAAAATTCCAGTTTGCTAGGACAATTGAATAACTATTTCTAATTCCCTGTATAATACTGTTATGAATTTTGTACATATGCAGATAATTTTAGTGCAATCATATGCAGGCATTCCTAGCAGAGGTGCAGCGCATATAAGTATGTGGGTGGCCAAAATCAGGGAGAGCAGAACTCTTGGCAATACCACGCCCAAATATTTTTAATTCATTGTAAGAATTTAGTGAGCATAAAATAAGAATTTTATTAATCAATGAGCTTTTTTTTTTTTTTTTTTTTTTCTTTTTAATTTGGGGCGGAAATCTTAGGAAAGTACGCAAGCAGCCAATGGTCTAGGAATGGCCCTGATTATATGTGAAATTGTTATATTTTTCTGTAAAATATAACATGAAAATCTAGAAGGAGAATGCTCACCCAGAAAACTAAGAATATAGGGGCAAGTCTTTTAATATTGATTAAATGGCTATCTCGCTAATTTGGCGAGACATTGCCAAACTGGTAATGGTTTCGGCGACAAATCGCCAAACGTTGCCAAACTTGGGGACATTTTGTCCAGTCCCTATATCCCATAATAGGTATTGTAACTAAATAATTGCAACTTATGTTTTGCATAAAACTGTTTTTGGTCCTCATATACATTTCAGTAATTTTGAGAAGCAGAAAGTACTAGAAAAATCTCGTGGAAGGGGAAAACTATATAAAACCAGAGACAGCATCAGTCCCCCTAGTTTTGTTTAATGAGTTCACAATAAGGAGATATCTTTGTTCTTTAGATGTGCTTTGGATCACACTGTGTTTAAAGTTTTTTAGTAGTTTGAAGTGTAACTACTGATTGTACTCTGTGATACACTGAATACCTAGTTCCTGAACTATGAAGTGTTTCTTTTGATAAAATAAGTTTTATTAATTTATCACTGGACTTGTGTGCATTCATTCTATTACGAACACAACAATATATTATATTCTGAAATTACAAATTAAGTCCCATAATAATAATCTCATCAAGTAATTAAAAATATATATAAAATAAATTTATTTTGAATTCCTTATAAATCAATAAAAATAAAATCCTGTTAAAATTCATAACAATAATTAAGTTACCTAGTTCCCATTGGTGATGTTAAATATATGTGTAGATCACCTCTTCGTACAGTCGATATAGTTAACTTGGCTTGCACATGCTCCAGATATCGAATATTTGCACAGTTTACTCTAAGTGTTGCTTCTGCTCTACCTCTTGGATGAATAAACCTATTTTTAGAAAGACAAATCAAAACGAATCAAAAAGAATATGATAAATTTTTCTTGCATGTACACTTTTTTCCAAATACAGTACAAAGTCTGTAATCCGGACTCGTCGGGACTTCGGCGATTCCTGATTAGGGGTTTTCCTGGATTATAGATCATCAATTTAAATCTGGTAAGATGGCATGCAGAAATTATACAATTAAAAATATGAAACCATAATTTATGAAATAAAGAGCAATTATGATCTAAAGGGTATCAAAATTTACCCAAAAAAAAGCTTAAAATTTATTTGTTTACTTTATTAAACATTTCTTTCAACGCACACATGCATAAAGCATACAAAAAAAAAAAGTTTATGGCTTTGAGGTCCAGATTATAGATCATTCCGAATAATGGACGTCCGGATTATGGGCTTTATACTGTACTTGAATAAATTAGATTTGCACAATATGTTATATGAAAATGATTAAAAAAATTAATGACCCATACTGATTAATTTGATGGCCTCTCATCTCACAAGTCTTTTGTTCAGGAACGGTAGTCCAGAATCGTGCTAGTTTGACCATGTCCCCAGCATCCATCATGCCATATCCAAAAGAATGACTAACTAAAATGAGGGAACATTAGCATTTAATTTATATAACCAATGGCATAAATATATATCATGCAAATGGACAAAACAGAAACATTGCAAAAAATTTGAATTAAAAAAATAATTTTATTCTGTTTTACAGAATTTTATTTACACTTTTTGCATACTTTGTATAACTTTTAATTTGAATTTTTATGCGTTTTTCTGGCATATAGCATTAGAATTAACGTGTATTGTTCTGTAACATAAATGTTCATGTTGTTCTGTACATAAAAATCCATACATGTTCAAACTGTACATGTAGCATAAGCAAAATTCAGAATACATTTGGTTAAAATCTACTAGATCTTATCAAAACATTTTGATAACAAATTGAGGATACTTAGTAATTTCTCACGACATAGAGTAACATTTTAGAAATTTTCATAAATAGAACTCTGAGCCTAAAACTACGTAATTTTTTTTTTTTTTTTTTTTTTTTTTTTTCTGGAATATTCATGGAGGTAGGAAATTAGATGAAGTGGCCCTAAACCAGTTTTCCCATACTCTGCTTTGAATCACTGGCGGTCCCTTCATTAGTGACCAAAACATTGGGTAATTTACCATTGAGTTCAATGGGTTTTAACACGATCGGATGTAAATATTTTGTAATTATGTCGTAAATATGCATATAAATGTACATATTTTCTTTTTCTACAATACTTCAGAATCCTAAGTATATGAAAAGAATGCACTTTTAAACAACATTTCATTCTGAACGGAATTAAATGCTATACTTTTCACAGAACAGTTTGCTCAGAATGGTTTAATTTGAATGAAATATTTTCACAAGTTTTCGTTACTTACATTAGGAAAAAATTTTAAGGTAATTCGATTTTATTCGGTTAAGGATTACAAAAATTAAGATCAAAGTTTATTGTATTATTAATATTAAAATTATGCATTATTTCTTTTCTATTTACAGAGCTGCTTCCTAAAGTACTTTCTCAAATATGACATGATTTTTTAGCTTCTGAGGCAACTTTTAAATCGAAAAATTTAAGTCAATTTATAATAAATGCTCTATTCGGTCTATTTCAAATTAGAGCACCTTTTATTTTAACAGTGAAATACTTTAAATAGTACTTAACTTTCTCTGAATATTTCTGAAAGAGAATAAAATAAGGATTATTTTTTTAATATTATTTAAAACTTGTAACTGAGTTATTATAAAATGTAAGGGGAATAACTCTTTTAATTATACTTATCAAACTTTTTTACCCTTAATTTCAACAATACATATTCTAAAACGCTTCTTTACTACTTTCTAAAGTATGCATCTCATAGAAATTGCTTTACAATACCCTTTAACAGATTGCTTTCCAGATTCTTGCTTAAATAGTTTTATAACGTATTTGTCAACAGGATGTCAGTTTATGTTTACAATTCAGTGTTAAGGTTATTATACATTTAGATAATATTTATAATCATTATAAATTTAGATACATTTAATAATTAGATTTCTTCACAGTTGTTTATGAATGAATAAATCCTTCATTTCAAATACATTTATAAATAATTTAATAAATATTTACATATTTTGTTAAATGCATATACGAGGGCAATCCCAAAAAAAAAGGTCTCCTATATTTTTAGATATACAAAGAACCATTTATTTTCTATAATTGCTAGATCACTTTAAAGATTGAAGAATGCTTTATTTTTCAACATAATCGCCATTTCGGTCGATGCATTTTGTAGATGATGTGGCAGTTTTACAATGCCCATGTCATACCAGCTTGCCACCATGCCCTTCAGCAAGCGTTGAACCTCATCTTTCACCTCATCATCGGAGCAGAACCGCCGTCCAGACAAATGTTCCTTCAACTTAGGGAACAGGTGGAAATCGCTGGGTGCCAAGTCCGGACTGTAGGGTGGGTGTGTGATGATGTTCCAACCAAAATTTTGCAGGAGATCGACGGTTTGACGGGCAACGTGAGGACGGGCGTTGTCGTGGAAAATGCTTACACCCTTGCTCAACATCCCTCTTCTCCAGTTCTGAACTGCCCTTCTGAGTTTCTTCAGTGTTTCACAGTACCTGTCAGCACTGACTGTTGTCCCAGCAGGCAGAAAGTCGACCCTTTCCTGTCCCAAAACACAGTTGCCATGACTTTACCGGCAGATTGTGTTTGCTTGAATTTTCGTGGCTTGGGCGAAGAGGGATGCTACCACTCGCATGACTGTTGTTTTGTCTCAGGTGTAAAGTGGAATGCCCAGGTTTCGTCACCTGTGACAACTGAGTCCAAGAAGTTGTCCTTTTCGTCTCCATAGTTGTGAAGAAATTCGTGGGAAGAATCAATCCGTTGCCGTTTGTGGTCTTCTGTCAGCATGTGCAGCACCCATCTTGCACACACCTTCCGATATTGCAACTTTTTCGTTAAAATCCTGTGGATGGTGCTTCTGGAAACCTCAGGAACCAAAATGCAGAGAGCATTCAGAGTGATCCTCCGATCTTTACGCATGAGTTCCTCAACTTTCGCAATTGTCTCGTCGGCAATTGACAGCCTCCTGCTCCTTTCTTCGTCATAAATTTCAGTACGACCGGCTGTAAACTCTCTACACCACATGCGAACGTTTTTGCAATCAATGCACGACTGTCCATACACTTCCGCCAATAGGCAGTGAATTTCAACTAGTTTAACGCCTTTTGCGTTCAAAAATCGAATAACTGCGCGCACTTCACACTTGGCGGTAACGTTTATCGGGAGCTCCATTTCGAATGGCTGCCAAGCCAAGACTGAGCATCCGAGCGAAGCACCTGCGTGCTTATGTGGTAGTGGAGAAGGCACCACTCACAACAGTGTTGCCAACAACCGTATTAAAACTTTCTCTACGTCCCCAAGAAAGAGGAGACCTTTTTTTTGGGATTGCCCTCGTACATTCTTTTTGCAAGTACATGCATATATACCATTTTTCATTTCCGGCATGTGGAAATATTTAATTTCTGTGCATTCACTATATTTTTCGAGTAAAGTATTTACACTAATTTTAAAAAAGTACATGTTACAATAATATGTGCATGTAAAAAAAAATTATTTTATTTAAAACATTTTGGCGTTTGGAACATAAAAGTAGCGAATACTGTATCAAGGGTATCGAAAAATGTATACAATTTTAAAAGTACGGTGAGGTATTTTTCATTCTTTAAACATAACGTTTTTGCTAAAATCTATATTTTTGTAATTCAACAGCTTAGAATTTTATAAAACAAATTTATAATCAAAATCGCTATTGTTAGTTATTAAAAAATAACCAAGTTGTGATTTTTGCGTAAATGTCGCTAAATTATACAAATTGCTATTATCCATCATACTAGGAATGTTTCTTTTATGCGGAAGTGTCCCGTTTTTCGATTTGTATGGAACTGTCGTGTGTCGAAATACTATCAGAGCACTGTCAAGCGAGCATCTGAATGTAAAGAAAAAACACCCCATCTGGTGACCAAAGCTTCAGAGCAGTGCTTCACTTCTAATGCCGTTTGGCCACTCCTTCCTTTCTTACTTCCATGGGAGTATTATACAATACCTTCTTATTATCCACATTCCAAGTCTTAACATTAAATTATTTCTTGTGAAGATAATAGCATTTTCATAAACACCTGACTGTCACTTAACCTGAACATCACTTAAACATTTTGTAGTTAAAACAGTTATGCAAATTATTTTATTTGTTTTGCTATTAAAATTTGATAAATCAAATGGCATGTTTACAAAATGAACATAATTTATCAAAGATATTTATAGATTTATAGTATTGATATTTAAAATTGTACTTCTGCATGAATTATTAAATATTAATTATGTAAAAACTATGTGAAGACCATAAATAAACATTATCTACCTAGTATAAAAATATAAAAGCCATACGAGGGTTGCTATTTCTGGCCTAATAATAAAAAAATAAAATTTTACAATCGAAACTGGTTTTATTGTTTTTCAAAATATTCTCCATGAAGATCAATACAATTTTGCAAGAATTTGAACCAATTTTTCCACTCTAATTGAGGTAACTCTAAAATATGCATTTTGAATGCAACAACCGATTTTCCGGTGTCACAAATCACTGACCATGTAATTTATTTTTGATGTGCAGGAATAAAAGAAAGTCATTGGGTGCCAAATCAGGGCTGTATGGCAGATGACCCATCAATTCGATATTTTGGTCCATCAAAATTTTCAAAATTTTTTTTGTTTTTACCGATGTGTGAGAGATTGCATTGTTGTTCATGATGAAGAATGATTCACCTCTTCTGCTTTTTTCGAATTTCTCAGATGATTTTTGGCAAACAAATGGTCGTATAACATTCTGAATTGAACATCCTGCATTGCTCTAACCACTGTTACTATGCGACTGCTACTGCGAAAGAAACAGGCAACCATTTGCTTCGATGTGCTTCTTCCGCGAACAACTTTTTGTTGAACTTGGCTCATCTTGGAAGACCCATACAGTCGACTGCTGTTTTGTTTTGGGCTCTGCATAGATCCATGATTTGTCACCAGTGTGGATGTCATACGCAGCCTTTAATGCACTTTGAATTTATTTTTCCAACATTTCCTTGCCTCAATCGACATAAGCCTTCTTTTGTACATTTGTCAGACTATGCAAAATCCAACATGAACAAATCTTTTTTTTACAGCCAAATGTTCATTTAATGTCTTATTGATGCTTGTCACAATAATGCCCAAAGATGCCTCAATCTCACGGTATGTCACATGACGATCATGCTTCATTAGTTCATGTACAGCATCAATATTTTGTGGCACAACAATTTTATCAAGGAATTTATCCTGGAGCGAATGTCGATCACGATTGAATTCGTTATACCAGCTTTTTACAGTGTTGTAGGATGGTGCTTTATCACTGTATAAAGAATTAAGTTCATCAAAGCACTCTTTCCTTAAAAATCCATGTCAAAGGTTATGAAAAATTATTACACGAAAATGTTTACGAGTCTATTCCATTTTTTGCCAGAGATAAATTTTTCAGTTTACTGTAAACAATACAAATCATGCTAAAATGGCAAAATGCTCAGAAGAATTTATGGTTAAAAATATCAAACTTTCGAATGAAATTGTCTGCAGTCACCTAGCAACACTTACTGTTGCCAAGGCCAGAAATATAAACAGCAACCTTTGTACTTAAACATTTTTGTTTGTTTTTATATAAGTTCTTGTTTCTTACAAAATGCTTCTTTTCATAATTATTTACGAATAGAACAATATTTATGAGCTATAAAGACTATCAAACAAATGTTTTTCTTAAGTTCACAACTTTCCTCAGTAAGTAAGTTTACATTTTATTGTTCCTTTTGAGGTCTCACGTATAAATTTACAACAGCAAGTGTCCTGCACTTTTACAACCCTTTATGATATTTATTCCTACATTAAGAAGGATTAGAATGCTATTTAAGATCTATAAAAATATTTTTGGGGGAAGGAGGGTAATAATTATTATTATTTAGAGCTGCAATGAAAGATCAAGTTTTTCTGTATGTTTTAACTGTTTATTCAGAACATCTGAACTGATTATTCAAAGACACAAAAGCACAACAAAGTTGACAGCATGAAAATACCATCTTCTGCACACACAAGGGGACAAAAATCAAAGTTATTTTGATATTCCTCAGCATCTCCTCAAACAGTCTATGAAGCTGCCTTTGAAAAACAAGTTAATATAATCTTTTGAAACAAAATCAATCAATTTCCTAATTTTTTTTTTTTTTTTTTTTTTTTTTTTTTTTTTGCGAGAAAGAGTATGAAAATTCATAAAAATGTTATCCAGATTATTCACTGGGCAATATGCATTAAATGTCTTTAACAGCTAAATGTCCATGCACTTTAAATATGAAAAAGCATCTATCATCATTAACAAGAAATAAATCTTAGGTAAATGCCATATTAAAGAAAATTTCACAGTATTTATAATTCTGGACTTATTTTTATCACAGTTTTTCCATGAGTGCAAGTCAAATATTATTTAACTACCTAAAGCTCACAAAGAATTTAAATTATAATAAAATCACTAATGGTAAAGATGATTAAAAATATAATTTGACAATCTATGTTTTTCATCTAAAAACTTACTCTACATTATAGAAATTTAATATAGAAACTAAGAATTATTTGAATCTTCTTATGTTTCTTACGTGCAAGTTTCTTATGTTTTAGAAAATATAGCATTTGTCTCTTTCTCTCTCTTTTTTATTCAAAATACTAAAAAATCCAATCTTATTGTTGACACATAAAATGCTTTAAATGCTAGTAAATTATAGAAATTTAACACAGAAAGAGCTATTTGAATGTTATGTTCAAGATTCTTATGCTTAAGAAAGAATAGATTCTCTCTTTTTTTTTAACCCAAAATGCTTAATTGAGTCTTATTGTTGACAGGTAAAATGCTTTAAATGGCAAAGACTTGTTATTTTACTCTAGGCAAAATAACAAGTCTTCATAAAAAATCTTAGTATATAAAATACTTACTTCTTCATAAAAAATATTTAAGTTTTACAGAACTCAAATGTTTTTATACAGAAATCATCACAGTGTTTCTAGCAAATTTAAAAAAAAAAAAAATGGTTGCAAAAGTCTGTGATAATAGCTACATGATGAAAGATATTCATACGATTCTCCTTAAAAAAAACTGTGCATGAAAAAATGATTTATAATAACGTATTCATAATTTAAAAAAAAAATATAGATATATACCATTTCTACCAACTCCATTTGTCTGCCAATCACGAGCTAAGAGATTTGCTGGTTTTGCTGTTCTGACAACTATATGCTGCATATCACGCCAAGTCAGTTTGGGGCTGAAATAATAAATAAAGAAAAAACTTAGTACAAGCAATTAAATGCAGTTGAGAAGTCAAAAATAATGTTATTTAAAATATCAGTGAAATAAAATTGAAGCTAGAAAGGAATATGTTGTCATGGGTAACCAGAAATAAAAATATTGCATTTTTTCTTAAGTTAACAAAGATTTAACTACATAAATAACACAATTGATAAAACAATACACCATATATTTTATCAAAACAAATTTTCATAAATATATCTCACTTAGCTTCAAGAGTAAGAGCACATATTCCAGCAGCAAGAGGGGCAGATGCAGAAGTTCCTGTATGAGTAGATGTACAACCATGATGCAGATCTGTAGTCACCTGAAATAAAACAGATTAAAAATTCATACAAGATCAATATCTCTCCATTGAGATGAAATATAAAATATGAAAGTAGAATCCTTTTTGACAGGAGTCCTTATGCTCTGAATATCTAATCTAAAACATATCAAAATATCAGTAACATTCTAAATTGTCTAAAGAAAGAAATCACTAATCCCACATACACTGGATTCTTTCCTATTTCTATTTCTAGCAGCAGATATTCATATAAATAACTTCAGTGATAGCACAAATATGAAAGACAAAGTGGAAAAATATCTAATGAAAGCAGAAAGATACTTAACAGAGCTTGAAACAGTAAAGTGGTTAGTGAAGATTGACTACTTCCCTTATAAACTTCCCTTCCAAGTTTGATAAAGCATGGATATTTATGAGAATTCAAATTATGAATAGTTTCAGAAGATAGCCTTTGATAAATTAAATAATACATTCCATATAGTTAAACTGAGCTAAATTTTGCTGCTGTATTTGAAAATTCATTATTTGCAGATAAGCATGTTCAAGTAAGTTTCAATATGTTATTTCCAAACTTAAGATTAATTGCAAAGTTATGATTTTGCTTTGATTCAGGTTAATAAAACTTTTATTTAACTAGTGTAACAAAGAAACATTCTGGACTAGAAAGAAAACTAAAATTTCCATAGAAAAATTTGAATTAAGCTTTTTGAAGTATATATGTTACCGTGAAAGACCGAAATTGGAGAATGTCGACTTTCACCGGAGAATGTCAACATTCACCAAATACGTCGGTGAAAGATCAAATATTTAATTAAATTCTTGTGCATTTGGACCCTCACCGGTGTATGTCGACAATCACAGATATGCTTTGGTGTAGGTCGGAAAGAGAAGAGTATATGTACACGCTGTCATTGCAAAATGAAGTGTTCCACAAATAAATGCAGTTGTAAAAGCAAGGGCCTCTTGTGCAATTCAAAGTGTCATAATAGTTTAAGTCGTTGCAATAAATAAGATTTCAATCACATAATTTAGTAAGTTTTTAACTTCTATTATTTTCCTTTCTCATTTTGAATGTACTGTGTGTTTTAAGTTCTTATGTTCCTAAGTTCTTATTTTAAGTCTAAAGTGCGTTTTTTCGCGACTGAATTGACGGAGAAGAAACTATAATATTCTTATATGTTCTATATGTTCTTTATGTTGGTAGAAATATATGTTCAACATTCACCATTAGTACATGGTGAATGTCGACCTTCACCGGTGTAAGTCAGAAATAAGGGTATTTGGAAGAAATTTCGGACATACACCAAGCGACTATGTGTATGTTGACATTCACCGGTGAAAGTTGACATTCTCCAGATTTCGGTGTTTCACAGTAACACACACACACATATATATATATATATATATTTTTTAATTTTCAGCATATACATTATTAATTTAGGTTTTGCTATACTATTAAAATTCCTACACTAATTTTAATTAAAAATATTACTAAAGTTTAAATTAGATAAACTCCTCTTTTTAAATCCAACAAAATATGAGTATTGATGCATGTTTTAATACATAATTATAACAGGTATAGCGGTACATAATTTAATAATATGCTTGTACACTTTGCTTTAAAACAGAATACAAAAAAATGCTATAATGGCCTACTTTAGAGTTTGTCATGAAAGTAACTATTATTATCAAATAGCTGAGATAAAAAAGAAGAAACACCTTCACAGAATAGATTTGTCTCTAGAGTCTGATAGTTGTAATGTATTCAACTACCTGACATTTTAATCATGTCCTAAGTAATATTTCAAATTATATTAGATACATTTTCAAATAGACAAATCAATATTTTACCAAGATGAAAATATCCATATTTTTCACTGTATGAGTTTAAGGGAGAAATTAACTGTAATAGCAATAATTCTTACAATGAAATATGACTTTAATTAATAAAGAAATAATATATTTAAAAGTTCTATAAAAATACAGCAGTTATGTTTTTTAAATATATCATTTATTAAAGGTTTAACTTTATTGCAAATTATTATTTAATAATAACTAGTGGGATTATAAATGTGTTAAAATACATTTTTCACTAACCTTATAAAATTAAAGTAAGAATTACAATTGAAGTTAAGAGTAAAAAATTATGTTGCTTTGTTACAAACAAAACTGAAATAAAAATATAAAAAAGTACACATACTGATTACAATTTATGAATTTAAACATGATAAAATTTCAGCATTTCCATTTTTAAAAAGCTTAAAAGAGTATAATAAAAAACTTACAACTTGTCTTTCACCAGAAGAGCCACTACTGTATGTTGTTGCAAGTGTAGAAGAACAGGCTTCACTGTACCAGGGTACTAACCCATGCTCTGTAGCACTACTGATGGATAATGTCCAAATGGAATTTGTGTAACCATCGCAGTTGCAGTTATCCCACTCACGACCTCCATTACCAGACGCCCACACAAAAATCGAACCCAAACCATTTCTCCCCTATGAATTAAAAGATTTTTAAAAATAATAATAAAATTAAATGAAATCTAAGTAAATATATATATATACAGTCAAAAGTCGTTAATCCGGACTCGTCGGGACTTCGGCGATTCCGGATTATCGATTTTTCCGGATTATAGATCATCAGTTTAAATCTCGTAAGATGGCATGCAGAAATTACAAAATTAAAAATATGATGAACCGTAATTTATGAAATAAAGAACAATTATGATCTAAAGGGTATCAAAATTTACAAAAAGAAAAAGCTTAATATTTATTTGTTTACTTTATTAAACATTTCCTTCAATGTAAGTTGCTTCGTTTCATGTGATAATACTTTCTCTTTAATTCTATTAAACAGACATAATTTCTTGTTTAGTTACAAAGTTCCGCTGTTTAAGTCCTATAATTGCTGTGTTGAGAATACCGACTAATTTGTCAATCGAAATGTTTTCGTTTTCAATAACCTCTGGGTCACTTTCTTCACTATTGGAAGCGAATTATAATGACGAGGAACTTGATTTAAATCATATCAAAGACGGAGTATATGGAGATGAAATACTACACTTAGTACGGAATTATAAACCAAATAAAATAAAAACACCTGCCCTGAAGATAAGGATAGTGCTGACAGATCAACTTCCAATCCGCAGCGTGAAATTGATAAACAGATTTTGGATTTCAAAACATACTTTCGCTTTGTAGATGATACAAATTACATATTAGTAAATATATATCGCAAATTCTATTTGACATAATCTTTCTAATCTATCATAATCTAATAATGACGTTTCTGCCCCCCCCTCTGCCGCAGAGCAGTGTGAAATTGATAAACAGATTTCGGATTTCAAAACATACTTTCACTTTGTAGTAAATATATATCGAAAATTCTATTTGACATAATCGAAAGTTCAAGCTTACTTTTATAAAATTGCTCTAACAGTGCAAAAAATAATAAGCCGGATCCAATTCGAAGATTAAGGAACAACGCAATCAGCAACATTAACTGAATTAGATAACTTTAGCTTAGCGTATAACTCCGTTACACATTAAACGCGCATGCGCACAAACATATTCGCAGCCGTAAGGGTCTTACGCGCTCTCGTAAACGCCTGTGCGCATGCGTGAACAAGACGCATGCGCAGAAAGTTTGTAGCTTTGAGGTCCGAATTATAGATCATTCCGGATTATGGGTGTCCGAATTAACGACTTTTGACTATATATATTTGTACCAAACATGAATACAAAAAAGTGAACACTATGTTACAGGAAAAAAAACAACAGGAGATACATTACAAAAAGAAATTGCACACACACATTTGCCATATTTTGCATTCTTTTTATTATTATTATTATTATTATTATTATTATGAAACTTTAAGGAGATTCGCAGTGCATTCAATAATCTAAGTTGTTTGTTCTTTTAAATCAAGATGTATAAAACATGTTGTAGGGTTTATATTTATTTTAACTAGCATTTATTTTAAGCTATCTTTCCTGTCAAGCCTTTACTTTCCCCTAGAATTGCCAATGCCAGAGTATGTAAATTGTAGTAGAATGCACAGTATATTCAAATTTTAGCAGAAGTAAGCTGAGTTTAAATAGAAGGGAAACAAGATTGTATGTATGCTTCTTGAATCGCGAGCGTGAAGGTTGCTAGGTAGAAATTTAAGAACCGTGCTTTTCGGCCTGTGTGCCTATTTTGGCAGTTCGTTGAATCTTCAACTGCTTAATCAGTAAGTTTGCTGAATCTCAGCTGTATCTTAGAACGCGCTTAAGTTAGTTACGATTTTAGAGCCTTGTAAGTAGTGATCTCGTTATTTATTCATCTTGTCATTTATTTTTAGTTTCACATTTCTGTTTTGTTAAACCACCGGGTCAGCGTAGTTTGTGAGCGTCAAATGAACGCAGCTGTTATTTCTAAAGTGGAATAAAAAAAAGGGATTTAAAACCCTTCTTACGAGTTTGTGTAATTTACAGTTCATAGCAGTCACTACCACTGTTGCTGACAAGTTGGGGCTCGCAACATATATTGGTGGCTGAACATCTTACGAAAACTTAGATGGCCGATAAAATGGATGGAAGCTCCTGTACAACTCAACAGCAAGAAATGGCAAACCAGTTAGAAGGATTTGGACACCTGGTCCAAACGATGAGAGCATCTATCAAGCCAAACATCAATTTTGACGGAAAAAACTCGGTGGCGATATTCTTAGATGGCCTCGAAAATCACTTCCAGTTGACAAAAAGTTGCCATTGCCACGTCTGCACTAAGAGGACAGGCCTCACTATGGTGGAAGAGTATAGGGAAATTTTTATTAGGAGAATTCGGAGGCCAAACATATACCTTTGAAAATTTCAAAATATCATTATTAAAGGCCTTCCCCATAGTGAAAGACCGAGCAAAGCTAGAAGCCGAACTGTATAGTTTTTATCAACATAATATGGAAGAGTTGAGGACTTTATTCTGCGAAAAAAGTTAAGCTGACGGATATGCTGTATGGAAAGAAACCTGACACGGAGATAATGAAATAATCTTACTAAGATTGCTACCCGCTGTCCAAGACTTACTTCGAAATCCGAAATCCAAGCACCTTGCAGGAACTCTTCGAAGTTGGCGGTCAAGTTCCAAAACCGAAGAATAGCGGAAAAATCTAGAGGGGGATCGCAATCTCAAAGTACTCCAAAGGCAATTCTCAAATCAACAGACCGGAAACACAAAATCGCTCTTATGGGGGAAAGAGCTATCAATCCAACTCATTGAAGCTCAAAGGTCAAGGCGCAAAAAGGAAATTTGAAAAGAACCGTCCGTGTACCCAAAAGACTGAAGTTGAAAGGAAAGCTTTAAACGAGTAAATGGGCCTGTAAAAGCAAGGGTCCAGACCCCGGAAGTTTCGAAAAAACCCTCAAGGAGATACTTAAACACGGTCGTGGTAAAGAATTCCCAATTACCAATTATACAAGTCCTGGTTGGCGATGTACCAGTAGAATCCTTCATTGATACAGGGGCAGAAGGTAATTTTATGAGTGATACATTTTCAAGAAGAATTTTAATAGGTTACGGATTATTTAAAAAATAAAAACAAAAAAGAAATTATAGCAGGCCCAAGGAAAAAACCTGTCAATGTATCGGGTAAATTATCATTAAAAATACAGATAAAAGATGGAAAGCCTTAAAGTATTAATTTTTGTGGTGAAAATTTGCACAGTCATCTTAAGGTATGAAGTTTTTAAAAGGCCGCGAAAGGCCAAGCTAAATTTTCAGACAGTTCGATGGTGCTGGAAATGGATCGGAGGGTGGTGAACCAGCGAAACAACCGCAGGTAGACTTGCACCATTTGAATGACCATGAAAGCCAAGCATCCAGCAAGGGGTGAGTGAATTTTTCAACTTGTTTTCAGAAACGGCCCTGAGAAACTGTCAAATTGTAATGCATGATATACAACTAAATTCGAATAAAACCTGTAGGACTAAGCCCTACCGGTATGATAAACAGAAAGAGCAAATTATCGAGGAACACATTCAGGAAATGCTGCAGAACCAGATAATAATGCCCATAAATAGTGAGTATGCGAGTTCAGTCGTACTATGTAGGAAAAAGAACTATTTCCCTCCTTCAGATAAAAGGGCTTGGAGGTTTGCTATCGATTACAGAAAGCTTAATAGTATTACTAAGTTCCCAGTTTACCCTTTGCCGGTAATAGAGGAAATTATTAGAAAGATTAAGTCTAAGAGATACATGACTATGTTGGACTTAACGTCTGGCTACTATCAAATAGCTATGAGACCTGAAGATATACATAAAACTGCGTTTATCACAAAATCGGGCACTTATGCATTTTTACGCATGCCCTTTGGGTTGTGTGGGGCCCCGTCAACATTCCAGAGAGCTATAGACATTGTTCTAAAGCCTGTCCTAGGAAAATCGACTTTAATCTAAATAGATGATATAATTATAATGAGAAGTACGTTGGAACAACACATTAAAGACTTGGAAGAGGTTTTTAAATTATTAAAAGAGGCCGGTCTTACAATTAACGCATCAAAATGCAAGTTCGCGACTAAAGAACTTAAATATCTGGGTTATAAAATTTCGCAAAAGGGTATAGAAACTCAGGATTCAAAAGTAAAAGCCATCAAGAATTTCCCACCTCCCAATACCGCTAAGAAACTTTCTTCTTTCCTTGGGTTATGTTCTTATTATCAGTCGTTCATAAAAGATTTCGCGATTATTGTTGAACCGTTGTTAGCAATTAAAAGAAAAAAAAAGTAAGTTTAGGGTGGACAGCAGAAGCAAAATACAGCATTTGAAAGATTAAAAGAAGACGTACTCATCAATGCCCCTGTTTTTGAAATTCCCGGAAGGAGACGAAAACCTGGAAATTGCAGCAGATGCGTCGGACTATGCCGTAGGGTGCGGTTCTCATGCAGAAATGGTCATCCTTTGGAATTTTTTAGTAAAACTTTAAACTCTATGCAAAGGAATTATACAGATACAGAGAGAGAAACATTAGCCGTATTAATGGCTGTTCACAAATTTCGAGTTTATTTCGGCAAAGCGCCAGTAACAGGTCTTTTCGGATCATGCGGTTGTTGGTAGACTTTACTCTGGGAAAAACCTAACGCCCAGGTTAATAAGATGGGCTTTAAAAACTTCAAGAATATAATCTAATAATTAAATATAAACCAGGGAAGAAAATAATGTAGCTGACGCACTATCCCGAATAAAACTGGACGATGAAGGGAATGAACTCAAATGCGCTGTGTTGACTTCTAAAATTTTAGATTCTAGAGAAACAACTATTGCAGAATTGAAAGCTGATCCTGAACTTGGAAGTATTTATGCTTATTTAAAATACCCCAAAATCTTTGAAGATACAGATGTCGCCGCAATAAGAAGTAGAGCAGAAAACTATTATTGTTTTTTACGAAATCAACAAACGAAAATTTTGAGTATAGACCAGTCATCCCAGCCTCTCTTCGATTGAGCATTTTGAAGGAATTACACGATGCGCCAACATCGGGTCATTTAGGGGTCAGAAAGACTATAAAAAGGTACGCGAGGCGGTATATTTCATGCAATTATACAAAATGGTAAAATGTCAGGTCTTGCAATCAATGTCAATTAATAAATTATATTAATTACAGCCCGGCTGGGTACTTAAATAGCATTCGCGCTATATTTCCGAATGAAATTTTAGGCATAGATCTTCTTGGTCCTTTTCACCAGAGTGAGTTAAATAAAAATCGTTTTCTTTTAGTAATTGTAGATCATTTTTCAAAGCGGACAGAAATTGTTGCACTTAAACACGCACCAGCCAAAACAGTTGCAGATGCATTCTTACACAGGCACATTTTAAAATACAGTGCACCGATAAAAGTCATTAGCGATAACGGTAAGCAATTCGTTAGCCAAATTTTTGAAAGCATTTGCTCTGGACTTGGCATACGCCATATCAAAATGGTTCCGTATAGACCACAGGCAAACATCGCAGAAAGAGTAAATAAAAATATTATAAAAATAATTCGAAGCTATGTTAGCACACATACCAAGCACTGGGATGGCTACATAAATGAGATAGCTTATGCTTTAAGAACAGCAAATCATGATACTACTGGAAAAACTCCAGCAGAATTATTTTTAGGGTGTAAGTTAATTACGTCACTAGATAAATTATTCTTTGTGCAACAAAGGGAAGAAATATTCAAACAAAAAGATATACAGAAACTTATTGATCAGGCTGTTAAAAGTTCGGATACGGCAAGAAATAGACAGAAACTTTACTATGATCGAAAACGCCGTGAAGCAGATATTAAAGTAGGGGATAAGTGTTAAAGTGGAAATTTTCTTTATCAAATGCCCCAGATAATTTCACGGCAAAATTGGCTCTAAAGTTTGAAGGCCCCTATATAATACAGGAAATCAAAGGAGTCGTATTGTACCTTAAGAATGAGAGAGGGGAAACCAGTAAAGCAAGTCCCGACCAGGTGAAAAAATATTATAATCAAAATGATTTTGAAATCCTAAAAGTTTCTTGCAGGACTCAAGCGCAAAAGAAGAAGTGGAAATTCCAGAATTAACGCCACCCGCTCACACACCCAAGAAACGAGAGAACAGAAGAGGAACCTAGCCCTTTTACAAGTCATTCTAGGGTCCCGAAAAGAGGAAGGAAAAATGGTCACACTCCAGCATTCAAGAAATGCAAGGAAATGAATGCCGTCTCATAAAGAATCTTTGGTAAACAGGAAAAGACCAGTTACAACTTCCCACAGTAGAAAATCTGCGTCGAGGAAACCACTTACAGGGCCAGATAGTCAGGAGCAAACAAGGCTGCCATTCACGAGAAGAAAAAGACAGCAAGAGGAAAGAAAAGATTGGCACCAGCAGAAAAAATTAAAGCAAGAATCCAGACCGGAGGCCGCCAAGACTAGCCGTCCAGGGGCCAAACGGAAAAGACAGGAACCCGAAGACTACCACCCCAAAAGGCCGGTGTACAGAGGGCGAAAAAGGAACGTCACTATGGAGGAAACTCAAAGAAATCAAAAACGGAGATTAACTTCCATGAACTCTGTAACTTGGGATCAATTTTGCCAGAAGAGGATGTCGGAGTTCCAAGCATCAAAAACTCAAAGATAAGTTAAAATCTTCTATAAATTTTTCCTTTGTTCTGAAATGTTATGCGTAAATACGAAGTTCTATGTGTTGACGGAAGTCAATTTGTCTCGGTTGAGACTTAGTTTTGTTTTACTTTATTTAGCTAAGGCAAAAGCATTATTTTCTTTAAGTGTAAAATCTAAGAGCAAGCAGTTCGAGTTAGTTGAGAGATTGGTTCTGTTATGTTAAAAGCCAAAATTTGGCAAAAAGTAAAATAACTTCGTATTCTTGTATTAATGTAAAATTTAGTTTCAGTGTCGCCAGCTTGGCGAAGAAAGAAAAGTAAGTAAATTTTATTTTCTCTTATTCATTTTATGGTAAATTGTAAAAATCATATATATTAGAATTTTGTAAATATAGGTATACTTGAAAGTTATGTAAAAGTAGAATTTAGTCTAGAAGCATAAAATTTTAGATGTTAAAAGTAAATGCTCAAAAGAAACGAATTCAAATCTAAGTATTAAACAGTAGATAAAATCATGCTTTAGAGCGAAAGCCTGCATGTCTAAAGATGAATGAGGGAGAAATTAGAATGAGTGTGTTTTGTAGGGTTCTCCACCTACACCTGAATTTTAAGAATGTTAAACATAGCTCATCAAGTTTCAGTATATGTCGATTAAGGTGTGTCATATTTGGTCGTTGTAATTCTAACAAATCATTGGTGGTTAGGGGAAGTGTTGTAATACAAAAACGAAGATTCCCGTTTGACACCACACATGGTGGAGAACCAAGGGTAAAGTTAAATTCATGTTTGAATATTTGAATGAATGTGAATGTAAGCAGTTAATTAAGGAAAAGAAAAGAATCGAAAACAAAAACTTTATACAGTGTTAAGAAAGTGTAAATCATAATGTATTTAGAATATACTGATACTTATTCCTTCCAGATGCTGGAAGGAAGAGAAAAAGATTGATTGATGAAGACCAATTATCAGAAAGGATCCTGTAAGAAGATATGGTATTTTAATCATCTACAGAAACCATTCTAATTGTTTTAGACAAAAGTTTGTTTTTGTAAACAGAGCTCTTGAGTCTTAGGTCAGAATATGGAAACTATTTCAACAGGTCGTTTCTAGGACCTGCTTCCAAGTTTACCAAATTCTGGCAGCGGCAAATGTAGGGTTTATATTTATTTTAACTAACATATATTTTAAGCTATCTTTCCTGTCAAGCCTTTACTTTCCCCTAGAATTGCCAATGCCAGAGTATGTAAATTGTAGTAGAACGCGCAGTATATTCAAATTTTAGCAGAAGTAAGTTGAGTTTAAATAGAAGGGAAACAAGATTGTATGTGTGCTTCTTGAATCGCGAGCGTGAAGGTTGCTAGGTAGAAAGTTCTTTGTACGTTAAAATTTTTTAACTTTTTAAACATTCCTCTTACTTTATATAATATATATATATATATAACAGATGAGTAAATTTCTCCTCTCTCACCTCAAATACTACATTATATCAGATGTTTACGTGCATAAATATAACATTATAATCCTAATTAGACACAATAACACGCCGAATAAATACGCCGAAACAAACACATTTTGTTTTCCAAAATAAATATTACAAGCAAACTGAGGGATTAGCCATGGGAAGCCCCATCAGTCCCATCCCGGCTGATATCTACATGCATTATTATGAATCAAAATTGTTTGAAACTTTAAACTTCCCGGCATGGTTCCGCTACGTAGATGATACTTTTACCCTGTTTGAAGGTAATAAAGATGATTTAAATAAAGTTCTTTCAACAATGAATTCTATTGATCCTACTATTCAGTTCACTTTTGAACTTGAGACTTGCAATTCTCTTCCGTTTCTCGACATTCTGGTCACACGTAACACATCCAACTCCAGTACTACAGTTTACCGTAAACCTTCATCGGTTTGCCTTCCACCACACTTTAAATCATGTCATCCGACTAAACAAAAGTTAGCTTCATTTTATTCCTATGTTTTCCGTGCTCTTCAAGTTTGCTCCTCCAAACTAGCCCTTGATGAAGAACTAAATTATTTAAAAGCAATAGCTATTGACAGGGGCTTTTCACCCAACATTATTAATCAAGCAGTTAAAAAAATTCTCATCTCAACACACTAAAAGCCACACTCTTATTTTAGGAGATTATAAAAATTCTGTTGTCATTCCCTTCTTTCCATCAATTAGCTATAAAGTTGCACATATTTTGCAGAAATTTAACTTTCGGGTTGTTTATTCTCCCATCAATAAAATTCCAAATTCTATACTCAAGGACCCCATTCCGGATATGAATTCCTGGGGTATTTATAGGATTCCTTGCCAGTGTGGTTTAATTTACATTGGCCAAACTAAGAGAGCCTTAAAATTTCGCGTCAAAGAACATGAGGCATATGTTAGAAAAAAGGAAACACAGAAGTCTTCTGTTGCTCAACATTGTTGGTCCGAAAATCACACTTTCAATTTTTCTGCTGCCAAAATTATTCAAAAAACATCTTCCATTGGAGAACTGGATTTTCTAGAGGCATTTCACATTCATAAAAATCTTTCTGTTCTAGTTAACGATCCTAATTCCAATCCAAATTTGCCTTCGGCTTTTAGAGAAATTATGTTTTAGTTCTGGTTTCGCCAAACAGATGGCGCCACTTGCCTATTTGCTATTCTTGTCCAGGCTTTCTTATCTTATCTAATCATTATTTCCTATCTTGTTCATTTGCGGTTTTGCAGCTGAAGATGATGGTTCGGTAAAACCATCGAAACTAGTCCTGTGAAAAATTTTTGTAGGTATAACGCTGATTTTTGTTGTTTGACTTCTGATTTAGTATTATAATCCTATTTCTAGACAGGGAAAATTATTTTTAAATATTGTTATAATATAGAAAGAAAAAACATTATACAAAAAATATAAGAATTTAATTTAATCGTTCGAGTCCCAGGGGGTATTGAAAAAACACCGTCAAAAAGAAGCGCGACAGCGCTTGTTTTATTTTATGTCAAAAAATACCAAGTGGAGCGATAGCACTTTGTTTATTTTACATCGACGTGCACTTGATTTAAATAAAGTGCCCACATTATCAACATGACATGCACTGTCAGTTGTTCACAATGTTCAAAAAGTACTGGGTTTTCTCGACATAAAATCTCAACAACGCAATCATGCTGCTTGGCACTCAAACAATTAAGACCATGATTTTTAATTTTTTAAAAATTTAATTAACTTTTCCATCTTTTCCAGCCAAAATAAATAAATAAGCAAAACAAACTTTTTCAACTCCATCTTTAAATGCTCGAAATGTTAGTTCACCAGGACCATCAACAGTCTTTCCATCATCATCAGGACCCCATGATGCACTATATATATCTATGTGTTGCATATTATGACTTATTGAGCGAGCTTCAACAGCATCTGTTACATCACCATCAAGCATTCGAATACCTACAAATATTTAATTCAGGTTAAAATAAAAATGTATATGTACCAAATTTAACTATCTACAGTCAAAAGTCTTTAATCCGGACTCATCGGGACTTCGGCGATTCCGGATTATCGATTTTTCCGGATTATAGATCATCAGTTTAAATCTGTCAAGATGGCATGCAGAAATTATAAAATTAAAAATATGAAACCGTAATTTATAAAATAATGAGCAATTATGATCTAAAGGGTATCAAAATTTACAAAAAAAGAAGCTTAATATTTATTTGTTTACTTTATTAAACATTTCTTTCAACGCACGCATGCGTACCTTACGCATAGCCGAAATTAGAAATTTGCAACCAGAAAACTATTTGATTTGTATTCGTGATATTTATAATGACGAGGAATTTGATTTAAATCATATCAAAGACGGAGTACATCGAGATTAAATACTACATTTAATAAGGAATTATAAGCCGAATAAAATAAAAAACATCTGCTCTGAAGATAACGATAGTGGTGACAGATCAACTTCCAGTTCATTGCGCGTCGCAACGCCCCCCCCCCCCCCCACGCAGAGCAGCGTGAAATTGATAAACAGATTTCCGAACGGTTAGATAAACAAAGGATATACCTTTATCCTATTTTTTGTAGCAATTCGTTTTTTGTTTGATGGACATCGAATCATACTTTCGGTTTCTAGATCCTTTGGGAGCTCCAGCGTCGGAAATTCTATTTGACATAATCGAAAGTTCAAGCTTACTTTTATAAAAATTGCTCTTACAGTCTGCAACAACGCAATCATCAACATTAACTGAAATAGATAATTAGATCATTTTAGCTTATGCCGTCCGACGCGAAAACATATTCTGCACTTGCGCAGACGCATGTGAGCAGTCGTAAATGCCTTGCGCGGACGCGTAAAACGCCTAGGAGCATGCGTCAAAGCGGCGCATGCGCAGAAAGATTTTAGCTTTGAGGTCCGGATTATAGATCATTCCGGATTATGGGTGTCCGAATTAACGACTTTTGACTGCATTTAGAGAAATTAGGAAAATAATTATTTATTTATTATATTTATTCCCTTCTTTACAAGTCATTCCAAATTCTTTTCTATTAAGGTACACCTATTCAACAAACTTTGCCTGTCAGTACTTCTTTTAAATACAAACATATATCAATTCGTAACACAGAAAAAAATATTGCATCGAGTAGACACAAAAAGCATTAAAAAAAGTTGAGAGCCATGGAAAAATATAGCAAAATCCTGATAATTTTCTACTGCTTAATGAATGAATGCCTGCAATCCAAACTTATTTTTAGATGTAAACAAACAAAATTTTGATTTTCAGAAAATTTAGCATGGTAAATTTAAGGACATTTTTTAATATGCAAATAAATTTTTAACAAAAGTATATATATATATATATTATATACTATGTACTTAATTTTATATATATACATTCTTTAGTATATATATATATATATACTAAAGAAATATTGATTTAATATTTCTTTATGACTCCTAATATAAATTTAGTAGAGTATATCAAAATGAGGGAACCCATAAGTAGGAAGTTAAATTCCGAAAATTGTTTTTTAAAGGAACTTAAATGTAAATCATGAAAAAACTTTTTAAGGGGACTTGAATTTAAATCATGAATGACAAAATTTCAAACTTTGAAAAAGAAATTAAAAAATTTAAAAAATTTTAAAAAAAAACAAGTAATTATCACTATTGATCGGAAATTAGTTGACATTTCAAGGGGAATAAACCAACTCCCATTTAATGAACAATAATTAGTACATGCAAATGTGTTTCATCTTTTACTCCAGTAAAAATGATGATGCCAAACTGGCAAATTAAGTTAAGCCAAAATTGTAGTTCCATAAAGTGATGGGATTTATAGCCAAAGTAGAGTATCAAAGAATTCATTCTGAATGAAGCATTTTCGCTAATACAAGATTTTTAGAAATTTTGAGTGAAAAGCCAATTTATGTAGTAAAATTTACAAGATACTTGAGTAAATGTCCCCCCGACACCTTCGCTTTTATGCATGTTAATTCAAGACTATTGTTTTTTTTTTTTTTTTTTAAAAAAAAAAAAACATTTAAAAAAAAAAAAACATAATAAATAGTAGTGATCTTGACTGCAATTATGAAATAGAACTCAAAGTAATTGTAATAAACATGAGAAACATAACTACGTTATCTTTGCAAAAACAAATCAAATAAAAGTTTAAAAATGTAAATATATATAATAAGAAAAAGTGAAATGTAAAATATTAAATGTACATGAAATATAAAAGGCCAGAATATACATTAACTATATTATTATAAGGGCAGTGGGGATACTCTGAATTCAACTTTCGTATAATTTTGGCCTAACTTAATTTGTCAGTTTGGCATCATTATTCTTACTTGAGTAAAAGACAAAACACTTTTGCATTTATTAATTATTGTTCATTGAATGGAGTTGGTTTGTTCCCCTTGAAAAGTCAACTAATTTCCGATCAATAGTGATAATTACTTGTTTTTTGTTAATTTTTTTAATTTCTTAATTTCTTTTTCAACGTTTGATGTATTAAAGAAGTTAATTTATTACTGAATTTAGCATAGCTCTCTATTTATAGTAATCATGAATTCGCAATTTTTTTTATTTAGGCAATCTCTACATTTGAATGTACACTACACTTCTTTTAGTATTAATTTGGAGTTACTGTAGTTAACATATGTGAAGAAGTTGTTTATTTATGCTTTTCAGATACTGAGATCCAATTGAAATACATGTTTTAGATTCTGCACAAGGAGCAAAAACTCATTTAAATCACCAGCAAACAGGGATCGAATTTTCAAAATAACCACTTCAGAAATGTATCTAGCATTTTAAACCAAAAAGATGCTACAATAGTTTAAGAACAATCAGATATCTTTGATTCTTTAATTACCTGCACCCCCATAAAAACGTGCCAACTCATTAATGATTTTATAAATTGACAAAAAAAAATTTGCTTATTTGGTTAATTTTAGGACTCGCAAGTACTGTTCTATTCATAAAATAAGAACAAAAAGAAGTATGTTGAAAGAAACAAGACATTTTTATGAGGAAAACAAAAACCTGTAAAGCTGATATTTACATTCTTAATAGCTGATACATACAGTTAAGTAAAATGATGATTAAGCATAAATTATGCAAATCCACAAGTACTCAAACATGTCTATGGTAGACATACGTGTAAGTTGGCTATTATTGCTTGTATACTCGAATATATGTTGAAAATCTACTGGATATTGAAATCAAGCATGCAGATAATTAGAAAGTATTAAATTTTCTTTTAATAAATACAAAATTTATATTTTAGAATTTTTATCTGTAGTGTTATTAATCCAACAGCATACACATGCAACATACCAGTGGCTTCAGCTTGGGGATTTAATTTAGAAAAAAAACACACTTTTGTAAACAGTACATCTATTTATTTACCCAGTTCCTCTCATTTAAAAATCATAAAAGTTACTTCAAAATAATTTTAGTAATAAATACATTTTTTTAACAAAATATTTGTTATATTTTTACAAAAGAGTTCTTCATTTCCTTAAAAAGAAAAAAAAAAAAACTTATCATTTATTCCCTTTTCTCCGAACAATATTTTTACCTTATTTTTGGTATAAACATATTTCTAAAACCATAATAGTTTAGTATTCAATAAATATTTACTAAAACATTCTTAAACTATCATTATGTTAATTATCTATGTGCAAACAATCAAAATTTAATGTAAAAATTAGAAAGGGAAAAGTGTGAACAAAATTTGCAAAGGCACGACTTATCATTTATAAATATTTGGTCCTCAGGAGTGCAGATTATCAGAATTTTACTTTAATACTAATGATAAAATAAGCAGAAAATAAGCAGCAAAATAATATAAGCAGCAGATGAAAATAAGCAGAGAGGAACTGCATCTGAACAAAGACAAATTCCCTATACAGAGTATTAAAAAACTGTGGAAAATCATATAATTAATAGCTCATGATTTTTTTTACAAATTATAGATTAATTTTCCAATGTTCAAAAATTTCAAGATATTACACAACCACATATTTCTTACTCTCAAAATTTAAAAATATTGGATACAAACAATTTTTTAAAGTACGTTTTGGAAAGATTGCAAAATTTATAAGTTATACAGGTACCCTATCCACAGAATATTCACGCAAAAAACTTTTAGAGCTCTAGCTCAGAGGCTCAAACTTTGTTGATTCATGAAATATAAAATTGTTAATTTTTTTAGAATCACTACCTCTATTTACCCAAGAAAAATTGCAAAGTCGCTTTAACTGTATTTGATGTTTTATATTTTTCTATATTTTCCAATTTTTAATAAAGATATTTTGAGGTTTTATGTATTTTTGCCTTGCTGCAAAGTGAGAGCTGAATTAATTGAATGAGAAATCTATCTCTAATGAAATTCGAGGAAATATGTTTAAAATAAATGCAGAAAAAAGTGCATATAATTTAATATTCTGTACAAAAAAGTCATGTAGTGTACACATCAATTTTTTTTTTACATTTAGATTAAAAAAGAAGGTTAAAAAAGCATTGAAAATATATTAATACAGATTATTCGCTATGTGAAAAATGAAAAAATCATTAGTTATAATTTTACTTATAAAAAACAGATTTGCTTCATATAGCTTTAGGCAACAATACAGATTTAAAAAAAAAAAAAAAAAAATTGTTAATTATTTTCTACATTCAGTTTGCAGTCTACATGATATTAAAAAATTGTTTCAAATTTTGATTCTAATAAGTAAAATATCTAGAGGAGTTGCACCAAATGCCAGGATTCTGCTAGGGTTCTAAGCTATGTCTAAGCATTTTCTGCACAGAAGAAATGGGGGAGAATTCATAACTTTTGTTTACATACACATCATATATATAGAAGGGACCCAAAAGTCCATTAACATTTGAAAATACAACAATTCACAGAATAATGTAGGTCAAGAGGTAAAAATTTATACACATTTGAAATGACACAATGTTTTATTGAAAGAAAAGAAAATGCGAAAAAGGCAGCGATATCGCGCTGGGCAGCAAAATGTTAGTGATGCCGCATGAGAATCATGTACGAAATCGGCTGAAGAGAAGGAATCAGTCCCTTTATGACTGTAAATTTTCTATGCTCACTTCCGAGTGTTGGTCAGAATGTGATGTGGATTTATCACAACAATCGTTTTTGGATCCTTTTTTGAGGAAATGCATGGTTATCATATAAAGTTTGCAATCATACAAAGTGCCGTTTGTTGGCTGTTTTAAGCTTTTTATTCCTATAAAACCTCATGATATTTCAAGCATGTGTGACCATTTTTACCTCTATATCTACATTATTCAGTTACTGAATTTTCAAATGTTAACAGACTTTTTGGTCACCTTGTATATAAACAAACACACATACATAAGAAACAATTATTGATCTTAATCTTTCCAGTTTATATTTTGCAATTTATGTTTATTTATATGTCTTATAGTTTTGTCTCCCTTTTTTATATTTTTTCACAAAATTTTACATAAAAGAAAATTTATAAGTGCTATAATTTATCTTTACATAAAATTCTATCTTATTTATTTTACTTTCATATCAATTCACTCTTGCTACTCTTTACAGAGTCTTCTAATTTTATCACATGCCATATAACTTTTTTTTTAAATTCAACAGCCATACATTTGCTAATTCAAGCATTCACCTGAAATGGCTGAATTCACTGGTGATTTAGCTGTCCCATTATCAAGACCAATGCCCAAGGTGCACCACAGATGGTGGCCAATACCACAAAAAGAAAAAGCAGTAAATAGATAACTACAAATACTTAGGCCTTCTTCAGAATTTGAACCCAAGTCTGAAGCCTAGGACATACAGCTGCTTTACTGCCATCTTCAGCAAGGTGACCCACATAACACTAACCATATTATTATACTCTAAATCTTCATTTTATTGAAAAGATAAACATATTTTACCTTAAATCATTCTTTGTTATATCACTTTTAACTTATTTGCAATGTATTACCTACATTTCGGAAATAATTATAAATTAGTAATAAAATTATATATTTAGATAAGAAATCACCTCCAACTTTTGCTTCATATGCAATACCCACAGAACATAAACTGTTATTAGCACTTGCTGCAACTTCTCCTGCACATCGAGTACCATGTCTGAAAGAGATTTTAAAATAAATTATTCTAAAATATTTCACAGATGCACCAGATAATTTACAGACAATTTTAGATCTGCACCAGATATTTAATTATGCATCAGGTATTTATAACATATGATTTATTAAAAAAATACATCTTCTGTTACAACTCTTGATTTTTTTTCTATTTTTACTAACATTCAGCAATGAGCTATAGCAATTTTGTTTGACTTTCATTAATATAAAGTACAAAACGGCAAACAGTGTGTAACAAACAGTTGTCAAACGATTTATCTCCATTCATAAGCTTGCAGTCACCATAAGTATAATACACACCTGCTGTCTGACAATAAGAATTCACTCCTAGGACTTTTCTGAAAGTTCCAAACGTAAATCCCATAAAGTCCTACAAGTCCATAAAATACTCTCTATTAAGAGCTTTATGCCAACTGACAGCTGCCTCCACAGACACAGGACAAAGATCAGGAATAGCATCTGAACACGTCTTAAAACATTTATGGTGAAGTATGGCCTCAATGTATATTAATAATTTTTCGAGAGATTTTGATTATATGTATATGTATCTGAAGCATTTTTTAAGAGAACTCTGAAAGCGTTTAAAGATGTCTTAAGCATTTAAAGGGTTACAAAAATGCTTGGTTGCCCGGAAAATGTCCTAGTCTTTCAAGGTGTTTCATACAAAACCAACAAAATTACCTTTCAAACCTTATATATCATTACAACATACTATAAATAAGATTATTTCTTCAGAATATTTATTTTGTATAAGTAAAAGCAGTATTATTAAAAGTAGCAGTTTCTGTTAAGAAAAAAAAAACTTGTACATAGACATTTAGTGTGAATAATTATCATGCTGATGCGCTAATGCAGAGATTAACAAATAAGTCTAGCAGCATTCAGTTTACTTTTCACTACACATAACACTCTGCTGAGTTAAGAGCTACATAAGTTCTATTATGTGGATATAAAAATTTTTAAAAATTGAAAAGTTTTCTTCATTTTGCATTGACATTAGTTTTATACAAAAGAATACACTTTAGCATAAATAAATTGAAAGTAATTCTTTTTTATTTTTACCAGTGCCTCTCAAGTACCAAAAATAAAATTTTTGCTATTACAAAAAAAAAAAAAAAAAAAAAAAAATTAATAGCAATATCAAAATTTTAAAATTTATAGCTATGCAGTGAGAGTCACAGGAATCTGACGACTCTGAACAAACAATATGAAATACAACTTAAATATTAATATATTTTCAAAAACAACGGACTATTTAATGCCATTTATTGCAACAATATTATTCTCTGTTGAGCCTCTCATTTTTTTAACAATGCATTTTTTAAATGTTCTCCAGTGAATCTGATCTATTTTTTCAATGGTATTAATAATATTGGATAAGATTAATAATATTTTTAATATACTTCAAGTACTAAGTACATATAAATAAACCTAGGAATATCAATGAGCTCAAGAAAATATTTAGAGAAGCAACTGCAACAATGCTAAACAGATTTAATAAAAAAAAAAAAAAAACAAGAAGGATGGAAAACCTGCAAGACAGACTACAGAGACACTGAGAAAATAGTGAAGAATGTCTGAAATTTTTATTATTACAAAAATTAAGACTGAACAAGAAGAATGTCACTGTTACGATAAATCGAACTATCGGTTATATCTTGCAACAAAATTTCTAAGAAGCAATTGCTGATCAAAATTTTAAGTGACAAATTTCAAAGAAAAATGGTCATCAGAAACTAATCACAATAGAAGGGCACTAGTTTCAATGTAACAAACAAAAATTTCAATTCCAAATCAAACAGTGCCATTTTAATATTTCATTTTAAATTATCAAATTATTATCTCATCTCAAAAGCTTATAGTTCATTTGCATAATTTAGAAGGAAGAAAAAATTTCATATCCAGAAAATCATTCATCATCAGATAAATGAAATTTTTCATGAATTTCTGAGTTTTATAAGAATTTTTCTTACAAAAGGAAAATCACAAACATAAAAAACCAAAATTCTTGAGTGTTGAAGCTTGATTTTCTTACATATCTCAATATTTCTCATAATGGAATTCTTAAATGCCAAGAAGAACTGTATTTTAAAAATCTGAGGTTTAAAAAAGCAATAGTTCTGTAATTTTCCCCTTAATGGAAATACTTCATTTTAGTGCCATTGATTACTGATGTGAAATATTGTACTAATTTAGAATGTTATATTGCAAGAATTTCTCAGCTTTGTGACATGTTATTTTGAGAAGAAATTGAAATCCTGAAAAGTCGGCAAATATCATATTCTCCCAAAGAGAAGTTGCTGCCATCAATTAAATGACGATATGCAACGGCTACTTTTTAAAAATGCAGAAATGGAAAATCTCCTAATTAAAAATAGGATTATTTGTCTTAAAGTTTAAAATTATAATATTATGTTTATGTTGAATATATACACACAGACACTGGTGAATCACGACACTGGGTGCCATTTTAATATTTTCATTTTAAATTATCAAATTATTATCTCATCTCAAAAGCTTATAGTTCATTTGCATAATTTAGAAGAAGAAAAAATTTCATATCCAGAAAATCATTCATCACATAAATGAAATTTTCATGAATTTCTGAGTTTTATAAGAATTTTTCTTACAAAAGGAAAATCACAAACATAAAAAACCAAAATTCTTGAGTGTTGAAGCTTGATTTTCTTACATATCTCAATATTTCTCATAATGGAATTCTTAAATGCCAAGAAGAACTGTATTTTAAAAATCTGAGGTTTAAAAAAGCAATAGTTCTGTAATTTTCCCCTTAATGGAAATACTATCATTATAGTGCCATTGATTACTGATGTGAATATTGTACTAATTTAGAATGTTATATTGCAGAATTTCTCAGCTTTGTGACATGTTATTTGAGAAGAAATTGAAATCCTGAAAGGGCAAATATCATATTCTCCAAAGAGAAGTTGCTGCCATCAATTAAATGAAGATATGCACGGCTATCTTTTAAAATGCAGAGAATGGAAAATCTCCTAATTAAAAATAGGATTATTTGTCTTAAAGTTTAAAATTATAAATATTATGTTATGTTGAATATATACACACAGACACTGGTAATCACGAAACATTTTCAAAACAAACTGTCATGCTATATTGTAGATTCTGAGATTCATTACATTAAAATCTAAAATTTTTCTTTCTGGAGACACAGAGATACGAGCTAAGCACTTTTAAATATTGAATACCTGAAGTGTTAAATGTAAGTCACCATAATTATCAATAAATATTTCCTCATTCAAATTTGAATCTGAAATAGTAATTCACTAAGACTTTGCTTGCTGGAAAAAAGCATATCATCATTTTAGCTCAAAGAATGTTTTTAGATTCATTGCTTGAGGCATCAAGCCATGGCCCCAAACATGACATATTAAATCTCTGGAATGTTCTTTGAGGAATATTATGTCTTCAGTCAGACAACAGAGAAGCAATGAACATTAACCTCTACCAATAATCCTATCTAATCAACAACCAACATTAACAACTATAACAGCATTCTCCTCTACACTGTTCATTCTCTCTAGCAAATGCATATGGTAACACTAGAGAAACAAGGGAAGATAGCAACTAACACTGTTCTTTGAAATCCAAGTTTTTGTTTATTATTGAATATAGCATTCTTTGCTTACGATATTTGAACAAAAAAGATCCTAGGCAAATAATTCTTCATGATAAAATTTTAATTTTCCAGCATATTACTAATTTCAATTAGTTTAAATATATGTATGTAATTCTGTCATTCTTGCTGTTTTGCGATCATACACATTTCATGAACGCACTAAATATACTTTTCTTCCTTTCTTTTCTTTGCTTTCATAAGTTTGAGCATATTTTTAAACATAAAATCATTATCATCACTACTCCTGCCAACTTTCAACAACAATCAATTTAATGTTTATCAAAACATTCAATCACTTACTCTATATTTCATTAATCATTTAGAAAGAAGACTACAAAATGCACTTTGATTCAGTGATGTTAACTGATTAATTCAACTTGTTTCAGTGCAAAAGAGAAGGCTATAATTTAACTTGAGAATTGTAAAATACAAAGAAGGGGGAAAATTTACATTCTGTTCAAACAATAAAATTTCAATAAAAAGTGCAATGACGATGAATCCTGGAAAAGCTGACATTTGACTTGAGCTGTTGCCAACAACAAAAAAATATACAATTGTGCTACTTTTAACTACTTTTTTAACTCACTTAACCATTTATTTAGATATAACTTCTTCGATAAAATACAAAAAATACACAATAAAATCTATTAGATATTGATTTAAAATAATATAAATTAATAATTCAAAATTACAATACTTGAAAATTTGTAAATTTTAAATAGCTTTCACTTGATTTTCTCAAGTGATACATTTTTATATTTGCACATACATATTTTAAACACAAATATATTTTTTAAACACAAAAACACTTTTGAATCAATCAAAGAACGTTTGAAATATATATAAAATGACACATGAAGTATACATGTAGTGTATAAAAATAAAATATTATCATTTATTCCGAAAATAATAATACAGTAAAAAATTACCTATTGGAATCTAATATATCATATCGAGGTTGTGGATCACAGTCTTTGTTATTAATATCATAACTAGCATCTGGGTCCTAAAAAGACACATAACAGATATAACAAAAGCAGATTTGAACTAAAAATTTAGGAAATAATGGGAGGAAAAGCAATTTATAGAATTAAATTTTTTAAATTCTAAAAGCCAATTCTATTTTGACATACTAAAGAAAGCAAACTTCTATTGATTCAAAAGCTCTAAAAACCTTCATTTTATTGATTAACCTTTCATATTCTTATAGAAGATTTAAAAAGGAAGGAGATGGGAAACAAACTTCTACAAAAAAAATGAGATTGCCTCTATAGAACATTTATCAACAACCTTGCATGTAATAAAACAAAGAAACAGTAGGCATCTTCAATTAATAAATGTTTATAAAGCTTAACAATAAATCCGCACATGAAACTGACACTTGTTAAATAAAATAATTAAATATAATTTAACTTGTAATTTAACTTTAAAATAATTTTTTGTACAAAAAATTAAAATTATATAAAACATATAAGTTACTCTTATAGAAGTGAGTAATGTGGTTACAAAATTATAGTTGTGTTTTTCATTTTTAACATACAACAAATGATTAAAATAGCAGATTTTTTTAAAAGATTTATATATTTCACTTATAAGAAATTCTTGTATAAAAAAGTTCTATTAAAACTAATTTTTAATATTTACCATAAAACATCACTATAACAGGTATTTATTAGGTAATTTTTGATTACCTGCACTCCCACCTCCCAAGAAACATTTCCAATTCATTAAGAATTTTGGAGGGAAAAAACTGAACTAAGACAATTTTTAAGTTTGATTAGCATCATGGCTTATAGGTAGTGTTTAGTTCATATATTATAACGGAAAAAAACCATTTTCTAAGAAAAAAAAAATTTTATGAAACAATAAAAGACCTATATGGATGATATTTACAGTTTATTGATAATATTCAATAAAACAATAGTTTAATATAAAGTATTTTCTAACAATAATTTCAGTTCCTTTATATTCACCAGAACTGGCTGAAAGTGATATTTTGTTCAGAAACTGAAGCTGTCCTTGCATAACTCACATTACAAGAACAACGATGTGAAAGATGCTGTTCAGGAATGGCTTCTGGGTTGTGATAAAAAAGTTCTTTCAGCTAAGACACTTTTGTTGGTTACACTTTGTTATTCAAATATATCGATAGCTAAATATTAAATATTCAGACTGATGTTCATTTAAAAACAATTCTAACATGTTTAGTTAATTAAGTAACTTACTTTAATTTAAACAAAAAATGAACAAATTCTGAAAAAAAATTTTCCCGAGAAAATTTTTCAAGTGAAGTAAAACTTGAAAATAAACAATGACAACCCAATTTTTTCCTCTCATTCATTAAATTTTTCTTTGATGCATAAATAAAAACATAGATGTTAATACATAAAAAATTAAAAAATCTGAAAGTTTTCAGATTTTAAAAGTCCCAAAGGGACTTTTTTTAATGTTTTGTGTATTACCTTTACTTATTAAATAGCATGTTCTATACACTTAAACCATAAAATTCAATTCAACAGCAATATTGCAAAATAATTTTAAAATGAGCATATCTTTTGAATTTCCGATAGACACTCTTGCAGGCTGGAGATAATTTTTTTTTTTTTTTTTTTTTTTTTTTTTTTTTCCATACAGTGTTGCCATTGCTCACTTTTAAATCATTGGGTTTGTTAATCAAAAATTCGTTAAAGTGTTACAAATTATGAAATCAATAATAAAACAAATTCCAAATTAGGACTTCCAGATATTCAATGGAAGATTACAAAATTCAAAATTTAATGGCTCTACATACCGTTTTTTTTTTCCACAATGCGAGAAACATACATACATTTATGTAGATTCTTCATTATTTAATTTCTTTAAATATAACACAGGGCTCTAATATTTGGTGGCACCAATTTGGAAAGTGAATTGACAATTAACATTTTTAACGCAAAATACTAAAACGAAATTAATAACCCTTCTGTGCTAATGCCCTATGGGCTAATAATTACAAACCTCTTTTATTAAGCCTGATACTTCACTTTTGATAAGATTCGTAGCCTAGGAGAGAAAGTACTAGAAGTTATCTCCTTCACGGATTGTAGATGCCCATCGGTCTATTGTGTTTTTTTTTCTTCTTAATTTTCAATTGTGAAAAAAGGTTGCTCATGTATAGTATATGTATTCCTAAACAAAGCTACTACTGTTAGTGCAAAAATTTGTAGCTGAACTTACTTATTTTTTAGCAAGTATAAATAAAAATTAATAAAACCTGCACCTTCAAATCTTAGAATAAAATGTATATCATACTGCAAATTAACCCATTTATAGACTTTCTAGTGTGTTATTCATATTTTTTTAGTGGTAATGAAACTAATGTAAACTCAAATTTCAAACAACTAAAATCTTCAAAGATTTGCAACAAATATGTAACTGAAATGTATTCATGAGCTGCATACAATTTCTTTGGGGTATGTCAGTTTGAAGCCACTGTGCGAAGACATAATCAACTTCATATTTTCATTAACATAAATTCACGCATATCAGAACATGATATTAAAACTTTTACATCTTGAAACTGGTAATAAATTATTATTTCTTTGGAAAAAATGCTCTGATGTTTTTTTTAATGTCAGCATATTTCAACATTTTAAAAAATAAAAATAAAAATTAATATTTATAATTAACTTTTATTATAATGCTACTAGATGTCACACTATGATTGGATACCACAATGTGGAATACTCATAAAAAGAATTGAAATCATATAAAAAATACATACATAAATAATGAGTTAATGTAATATACAAAACTCCTTTTACATAAATACATATAATCAATAAAATATTAACAATTTTAACATACGTAATTCTGGACAAGATCTGGATGATCTGTTTCAAGCCCATCATCCAAAATAGTGACAACAACACCTTTACCAGTAGTGCCTTCAGCCCAAGCAGCTTCGACATTCATGTCTAAGCCCCAGCCTCTGTTCTAGTATTAAAAAAATGTACGAAATTATATTATGTAGTTAAATTTCATTGCCTTTAAACATATGATATAGAAAATAATAATAATAATATAAAAAAGTAGCTGTTTAAAGAATTTAAAGAACAGCTCAACACAGAATTTGGAAAAAGCTTACATCTCATTACAGATCCTCTTCACACCATCTTAACTATTAATCTATCAATTATTAACAACTAATGCAAATAGTAATTTTATGTAATTCAAGATATGTATTTTTCAAGTAGTTTAACAAGTACAGTGTTGAAGGAAAATAAAATATTTGCTGTCAATGGCCATGATGTTTCAAATTAGAAATCGATTAGGAATTTAGACATATACCTTGTAAACCACTATATATTTCCCCCATGTGACTTTACATTATACAGGAAAAATTTAATATTTAAATATATACACAGACTCAAAAAAAAAATGGGACAGTTACATATCTCCTGTTATACCTCGCTGATTGGTGAAATTCAACTTATATTTTTTATGACTCGAAAGTGTGAATTTTAAATATAGTGTTGTTTGAACATAATATTTTAACACAAAATCACTTTTTCTGAAATGATATGGAATTTCTTTTCAAATTTTGATTCTATGAATCAAATTTTACCTAAAAAACAAATTTTGTACAATTTGGTAAGAAACGTACCAAGTAATTCATGAACATAGTTTGATTCATGAATACAGTTTCTTCACTTCCGAGTGCAAGTAACACCCAAAGGACAAACAGTTGAGTTAAAATAGGCTTACCAAATGACAAAAGAATAATGTATTTCTCAGATTTTTTGGTCAACAGAATCCAGCATTTATTCTGTTCCACCTAGTGATCTGATATTAATAGTTGTTGCAAATATACTAAATCACAAGCTCATATTTTTTTATTAAATTATCTCTAATAGTATGAAGAAAAACTAGGTATTTGAAATAATCTTTGTAAGAGGACTAGTACAGGTTTTCATGACAGATCCAAAAACCTGGGCCACTCAGAGGGTTAACTTAACATTGTTAAATATTTAGTTTGAAATTACGTGCTACAATGTAAGTAAATTGTGCATAACATTTTTGCTTTTATGGAAAACAGCAAAGAATAAACCCAAATATAGTCAAGTTTGAATAGACCAATATTGAAAGAAACACCCGTCAGAAAACGAACATTCAAAATTTGACTCTGAATCAATATCAATTTTGAACAGTTTGTTCCAATTTTCACTTTGACGTAACTTTGAATTTTTAGTTCTGACAATTATTCCATCAAAAATTTCATCTAACTGAGGTTCAAGTAACCAAAGTTTTAGTTTGTATTCAGAGTATTATATTGATATTCTCCCCCACTATTTTTACACTGCAATGACAATGTTTCAGTAGTTAATCAATTAACAGAATGGTGAATATCAGCAGCATGATTTTAGATCTAGAAAATATCACCATTTTGGCTTTGGGTCACATTTTAATTTCACATTACAGAGACTGAGGGAAAAAAAAATCTTTTGTGTATCCAAAATATGTCTTTTTTAAAGAAATAGTAATAAAAAATATTTTTTAATAATTTTCATACTATCTTTCTAGGCTTGAACAGATGATCTAAAGTATGGAATCACTGAAGTCCTGACAATCCCAGATCTCTGACTTTGTACTATATACATATATATATCAGGATTGGCAAAATTTTTGTCAGTAATGCTACATATTAGAATTCAAGAAAGTTCAAGAATGAACTTGAAACTGTAACCAGTGAAACTAAGTCTGATTCTAAACAATCATTCAATGGCAATTTGCCTTCAGCATGTCATGACGTGTCAAAGACAACATGAAGTTTTGCGATGTCTTTGTTTTTTTTTTTTTTTTTTTTTTTTTTTTTTTTTCTAATTACACTTTGATGTGGTAAAAAGCATTTGATTTTAAATACTCTGATTCTCTCGTGATACCTTCTTGTAAACGTTAATCTATCACAATTTGTTATCAATGCAGGGGCACTTGAGGCAGCACCCAGGGGCCCAGATTAGTTGGGCTCAATCATTTTTTTATAAGAATATTGCATAAAAATATATTTACGGGTACCCCTTGATGAAAATTGGCAATTTTTGGTGGTACATGGAGAGTGAGTTTGTGCAATTCTTTGACTTGTTATTTTGGCTTGTGTAGCAGTGATTTTTGCATCAAAAATCACCCACTGCTACATAAAGCTAAAATAACAAGAATTGCACAAACTTGGTATCCATGTACACATCAACCTATTGTCACTTAAAAAAACATCAGAGAATTGCACAAACTTGGCATTGCACAATCGCTTGACTTTGTCCATGTACACATCAAACTATATTCACTTAAAAAGGCCAAATGAGCAGCCAACAAAAAAATATATAATCCTAATAAATTAAAATCAAACAATGAAATAACATAAAAAAGAAATTCAACTTTGCACTACATAAAGGAAATATCTACTTACCTTGTTTACAAATTAATATGTCTTCAGTCACACAAAATTCATTAACAGCATCCAAAAACTTCCTAAAATTATCTGAACTAAAATCTGTATACTGGCGTTGCCACATGAATTCACAAAATAAGAGTTAAAAATATCCTCCTTAGCGCCGTTATCGTCCGACATTTGACCATACACATTTCCTTCCTACAAATAGGACACTTAATAATGGTTACTAAGTAAACCTTCATTTACACACCAGTCAAGTAATGTTTTTTCCCCCTTTCTTCCCAAATTGTACAGAAACTTCAAATTAATCTTACCACATTAAATTATTTTCCTAACCAACACACACTATAAGCCCTTACGAATTTTCCGCAATCATGCAACCGATTACGTCATAACATGGTTTCTCTAACATTAAACTACTCAAGCTACCATAAATGATAACAACTTGGCAATAAATGAAACAACAACTTTGCAATAATACAAGCGGTACCATTCTCTCTACTCTCTCTCTAAACATTAAAATTTTGTTTCATTTGTTAGCGAATCCAAGAGCCCCTCCTTGGATCCACCAGTGACAAGGGGGCCCATAGATCTTCTGCACCCAGAGCCCAAAATGAGCTTAAACTGGCACTGCTTGTGATAGATTATTATTTACAAGAAGTTGTAATGTACATGAAATTTTGGATTATAGGAAGTTGTAAAGTGCATGAAATTTCATGTAAATTTTGGATCCTTAAATCTGCACCACATCGACACGTATCATTTTTCTGCCATCTCAAAATTACCCCTGCATGCTCATTGTACTGCAAGCAAGCTGTATATCTATTTCTTCAATTTTTATGGATTCTTGATATTTTCTAAAGGTAATACTGTCTTCTAAGCTGTAACTGTCATTAGATTTATTAAAAATTCCCACAGCTTATAAATGCAATAAATTTCTCATCAGCTCATATGGCAAATCTATTTTTAAAATTATTTTTAATGTGTATCAAATTCTGTATGATATCAAATGTGTCTGATGCATCAGAGGTGTTTTCTAGTCTACTCACAGACCACCCAAATTCAATTTCTACTGCTATTAAAGATTTAGAAATTAGGCAGACTCTTTTTGTGACAAGCTTTTGGGTACACTTTCTTAGTTCCTGTTAGACACTGTTTACAAATTCTGCCATTTTTAGACTACTTTGCAATTGATATTAAGACAGCATGTGATAACATTGACTACAATATTATAAAAAGTGTTAAATAGCTGGAAAAACTGAACCTGACAATGAAAGTGATACAGAAGAACGTGACTGCATGGTAACTTCAGCTGAATCAAGAAAAGTACTACAAACACTAAGAACTTTTGAATTGAAATATGGAGATCACTGAACTTGGCCAGTTCCATGTGTGTGACTCTGGAGACGTGTGGACGTGCGTTATCATGGAGCAGAACCACACCCTCCGTGAGCAGCCCCGATCTTTTGTACTTGATGAACCTGCGTAGCGTCGGAGTGTCTCACAGTACACATTGGACTTCATGGTTTTTCTGTGCTCGAGGAATTCCACAAGTAGCGGACCTAGAACGTCGAAAAAGACAGTGAGCAACACCTTGCCTGCTGACTGTACGGCTTTGAACTTTTTAGGCGGAGGTGACGACGCATGTTTCCACTGCATGCTGTCCCGCTTTGTCTCTGGCTCGTAGTGATGCACCAGGTCTCATCACTTGTGACGATCTGCTCCATGAAAGCGGGGTCTTCCTGATACCGAAACATGCTGCAGTGCTAGCCGCATACACAGCTTTTGCTGGTCGGTGAGCTGCTTCGGAACCCAAGCGGCACACACCTTCCGATATCGTAACCTGTCGTGAACAATTGTCCACACGGTTCCACAGCTGACATCCGCCTTCACCACCAACATTTGCAATGTGACACGCTGATCACTTCTGACTAGGTCATCCACCTTGTCGATGAGATCGCTCGTGATGACAGTGTTTGCCTGGCCTGGTCTCGTGTCATCACCCACACTCTCACGGCCTGCACAAAAACGGGCACTCCATTTCCTGACAGACATGTCAGAAGCACATTTCTTCCCTTAAACTGTCACCATCCAGCGATGAATAGCTGCCGGTTTCTCACCTTCCGCTGTCAGAAATCGGATAACACCTCGCTGCTCCTCAGTCGTTGAATTTTGCAAAGCGAACGCCATCCTGTCCTCATACGGACTGCCCACATCATTTGGATGCCGCTTTTGATAAGAGCCTCTGCTTTCTCCTGCGCATGTGGGTGCCCGCGCATGCTCTCCCAGTCAGAGACTCCAATCGCATCCCGAGATGTCTCACTACGTGCTCCCATAGCGGAATATGCAAATATTTAACTGTTATGTTTTTATGTCGTTTCGTACCTTTTCATTTAATCACCCCTTGTAATTTAGGTATTAATTATTAGATTAATTTTAAGTTACTATCTTAGTAACTAAGTTCAAAGTTGATACTATAATTTGCAATATTAAAATCGCTATTTATTAAACTCAACTGCTTAATAAACTCAAATGCTTGGAATGAAAGTGAATTTAATAAGAGGCAGGTATTGTGTCTATCCATCTACCTATATATACAATGAAGATAACAGAGTATGAGCCCCAAGTTGAAAATGCATACTTCATTTGCTGTTGTGTCATAATGGCTGCATATTTTCTTCTGCACGTATTTTCAAACATAAAGTATAATATAAATTAAACAAAAGGTCTTAAACTAGAAACAATATGTCATAAATAATACTGAGCATTGCATGCCATAAAGGCATATTTATACAGTCAAAAGTCGTTAATCCGGACTCGTCGGGACTTCGGCGATTCCGGATTATAGATCATCAGTTAAATTCTCGTAAGATGGCATGCAGAAATTCTAAAATTAAAAATATGAAACTGTAATTTATGAAATAAAGAACAATTATGATCTAAAGGGTATCAAAATTTACAAAAAAAAAGCTTAATATTTATTTGTTTACTTTATTAAACATTTCTTTCAATGTAAGTTGTTTAAGTTGCTTCGTTTTATGTAATAATACTTTCTCTTTAATTCTATAAACAGACATAATTTCTTGTTCAGTTACAAAGTTCCGCTGTTCAAGTCCCGTAATTGCTGTGCCGAGAATACCGACTAACTTGTCAATCGAAATTTTTTCGTTTTCACTAACCTCTCTGTCACCTTCTTCATGTCTTTATCCATTTTTTACAGCGATTCCACTTTTGGTTTGATGGACATCGAAACATACTTTCGTTCTGTAGATCCTTTGGGAGCTCCAGCATCGGAAAGTCTATTTGACATAATCGAAAGTTCAAGTTTTCTTTTATAAAATTGCTCTTACAGTCTACAAAAAATAATAAGCCGCATCCAATTCGAAGATTAAGGAACAATGCAATCATCAACATTAACTGAAATAGATAATTAGATAATTTTAGGTTATACTGTCCGTTATACATTAAATGCGCATGCGAAAACGTATTCTGCGCTTGCGCACATGCATATGCGCAGACGTAAAGGTCTTACGCGCATAGGTAAACGTCGTAAAGGTAAACGCCTATGCGCATGTGTCAACACGGCGCATGCACAGAAAGTTTTTAGCTTTGAGGTACGGATTATAGATCATTCTGGATTATGGGTGTCGGAATTAACGACTTTTGACTGTATTATGATAAAATTTTAGTTAAGAAACTGGTACTACTGCAAGTACTTAAAAATTACACTTTTAGCAACTTTTATAACAAATAATTGATACATTATTCTTATGCCTCATATTTTAATGATGGTGTGACATTACAAAGGCTTTAAAAACTTATATAGTATTATAAGGACATATTATAAAACCTTTATAAGTATATAATTTGGAGATATAATACTACAGCAGGAATACAAGAATTACTTACTAAATACCACATTTCTGGCCATTTTGGATCATTTAAATCAGTATTTGTATTTTTCAGATCTCTTTTGGTCCTTTTCTTAATAACTTGTTGCGAATGTTTCAGCACCTTTTAATGACAATTTAATTACAACAAGCAACTCTTTTTTATAAGTTAAAATATAGTCTGCAAAAATACTGGAACTTTTCCATTATGCACCTGCCACACTTTTCCACGCTTGTGAAACAGAAGCCAAACAAGCATATGCCGAGACCTAATGTTAGCTCCAACTGAAGACCAAACCATTTATGTGTATATGAGCATTTAATACATTTAACTGTGTGTTTACAATGAAAAAATCTACCAAAATATGTGGCAGGTGCATAACAGAACAGTACCGAGATTTAATTAGATTATGTTGATCTTAAAATTAATAAGTACAGTTTCATAAAATATATTAACTAATAATCAAGAGCATAGAGCCCTTCAACAATTTAAAACAGGACATAAATTCAGTAAGTAAGTTTATTATAAATATCTACAGATATATAGCAAAAGAACAGAGTTTAAATTAAAATTAAAGAAAAGGAAAATTATGACTATACCCTTTCATCTTTTAAAAGAAGTTCATGATGAGAAATACTCCACTCTGTTGATCTTTTTGCTACTTTTTTATGCTGAAGGTGATAATGATCATCAAATATCTAGGAAAAAATTTAAACATTTATAATACCATTAATATTGCATTTACAAACTATCTTCGCAGCATTTACGATGTCATCAAGATATAAAAATCAAAATCAGTCATCTTAATGGTTGTATAAGAAATATATTTAATAAGACATAGCTATTTCAGTAATCTATAATAAGATAACTCAATAATATACCAAAAACTTATGCCTCAATTGTTAACTGTACTATCCCAAATGTACTAGTTTCATGTTTTCTTTTAAAGTAAGTCAACAATGAATAAGTAATAATCTTGCTGAATACCTGTGACTCATATCAACATATATTTGAACTAATATAACATCACAGAGTAAGTATTAACTCAGCAGCACTCTTGCAGTAAATGCAAACACACGAATTCATGCTGAGTATCTCATACTCAAAGCCATTTCTCTCAGTTTAAACATCATAAATAAAAAAGTTATAAATAAAATAGAAAATAAAGAAATAACCTTATTTTATAATTACAAATGCTACTTTATACAGTTTTCACACTAGCATATTAATGTTCCATGCGATTTTTTTTTCTTTTTTTACATTTTTGACAAATAAATCGCATTTTTCTTTTCAGCTAGAGTAGATTTAAGGGTGCCCCTTGGATTATCGCCAAGTCGGTGTTTCATTTATTGCCAAGTTGCTGTTTCATTTATCATAAAGTTGTTATTTCTTTTATGGTAACCTGAGTAGTTGAATGGTATGGAAACCCTATTATGACATAATTGATTGCATGATTGTGGTCAATTTGAATCATGGGAAAAGATTTGGAAAGTGTGTGTCGGATTTTAGATAAGTGTTTTATTTTGTGGCTTATTCAGTGAAGGTTTACTTAGTAGCCATTATTAAGTGTCCTGTTTGTAGGAAGGAAATGTGTATGGTTCAGTGTCGGATGATAGCAACATTATGGAGGATATTTTGGTTAGAGTAAACTGAAGGGTACCCCTTTTTTTATCACGATGTTGTTGTTTCATTTATCGCCAAGTTGTTGTTTCGTTTATCGCCAAGTTGTTGTTTCATTTATGGTAACCTGAGTAGTTGAATGTAATGGAAACCCTATTACGATGTAATCGGTTGCATGATTGTGGTAAATTCTGAATTATGGGATGTTTTGTAAGGGCTTGTGGTGTGCGTTGGTTAGGAAGTACATTGTTTTGTTGTTTAGATGGTAGAATGGCTGAAATTAGTAAGATTAATTTAAAATTTCTGCATGATTTGGAATGAAAGGGGAAAAGAGCATTAATTGACTGGTGTGTAAATGAAGGTTTACTTAGTAGCCATTTTCCGGACAGTCCGAAACAACAGAGGATATTTTTTACTCTTATTTTTGTGAATTTATGTGGCGACGCCAATATACGGATTTGAGTTCAGAACATTTTAGGAAGTTTTTGGATGCTGTTAAATGAATTTTGTGTACCGCAGACTGAAGATGAAGAAATTTCTAAATAAGGTAATAGGATATTTGCTTTGCGTAGTGCTTAGATGCATAAGAGGTTTTTCCTTTTTATGTTATTTTATTGTTTGGTTTAAAATGCAGTTTATTGAGATTATGTATTTTTTGTTTGCCTCTACTGCAGAATTGGGTGCTCCTTTGACTTTTTTAGTGATGTGTACATGAACAAAGTGAGTGCACAATGCCAAGTTTGTGCAATTTTCTGATATTTTTTTTAATAAAGATAGGTTGACATGTACATGGATAAAGTCAAGGGAGTGCGCAATGCATAGTTTGTGCAATTCTGTGAAGTTTTTTTAAGTGAAAATAGATCAATGTGTACATGGATACCGTGTTTGTGCAATTCTTTGACTTGTTATTTTGCCTTTGTGTAGCGTCGAATTTTGGCACTAAAATCGCTGCTACACAAAGCCAAAATAACAAGTCAAAGAATTGCACAAACTCGGTATTTATGTACCACCAAATATCGTCAATTTTCATCAAGGAGTACCCGTAAATATACTTTTATCGATATTTTTTACTCTTATTTTTGTGAACTTACGTGGCGATACCTGTATACAGATTCTAATTCAGATAACTTTAAGAAGTTTTTGGATGCTGTTAAAGAAGTTTGTTTGACTGAAGACAAATTCATAAATAAAGTTAAGAGGATATTTCCTTTGTCTAATTCTAAGATGAATTTCCTTTTTTATGTTATTCCATTGCTTGATTTAAAATGTAGTTTATTCAGATTATATATTTTTTGTTAGTTGCTCCTTTGATTTTTTAAGTGAATACAGATTGATGTGGACAAAGTCAATGGAGTGCTCAATGTCTAGTTTGTGCAATTCTCTGATGTTTTTTAAGTGAAAATAGGTTGATGTGTACATGGATACCGAGTTTGTGCAATTCTTTGACTTGTTATTTTGGATTTGTGCAGAAGCCAAAATAACAAGTCAAAGAATTGCAAAAACTTGGTGTCCATATACTGCCAAAAACTGCCAATTATCACCAAGGGGACCTGTAAATATATTTTTACCCACACATCTTTTATGAGTTTCTTTATGTTTTATATTAGGCAGCTCATTAATACAGAAATCTGGTTAGTTTCCACTTCTAAAATTTCTTTTTAAACCATTTAGTAACTTTGCCTTTACCAATAAATAAAACAGTCATTCTGAGAGAAAGGTTCATCTCCTATTTCAGTACTGCATCTTTTTCTTAAACAAACTGTTCTCACTAAAATATTCTTCATCAAAACTTCATTTTTTTCAATAAAGGATTCATCATCTTTATAATTTCTAAAAGGGTTCTGTGACCTTTGCACATCACTATCATAGCTAAGATAATGTACCATGTGAGATAAAAAGCAAAACAAAAAACGAAATCCAAATAACATGGGAGTTTGCGAGGATATGATATACCATTTCCAATAAACTTTTATTAGGAACAGCCCAGATTTCCTGTTTCAAAGAGTGTGACCTCCAATTCAGATACTAAAAATTTTATCCTGGTACAAACAAAAGAACTTGACATAAATAACAAAAGGAAAAGGATCGGGTATCTCATATCCAGTGCGAGTACTTCATCAGTTAAAAAATTACGTTTCCATTATATTCCACATATAGCAATACCTAGTATATTCCAGATAATTGGCTCAACTACTAATTTGCAACTGTTTGAGACTGGACTGATGAAAGAACTAAATGCACACAAAAATGACAATATGTTATATAACAAAATTTCTTTTATTTTTTCAATAAATAAATTGCTGTCTAGTTTCCACTGTTCTTAGTGACTTCACCAAAATGAGTTTCAAAACCAAAGAAATCATTTGTATAATGTGGTATGATATGCTTCCTTACTACCCTCACACCTCTTGTCCTTAATTCAGTTATAGAGCAAGAAAGAATAGGCTGAGAATAGGTACATACATATACTACAACAAATTGGATAGGAAATAGGAATAGAAAAAAAATGCAATATGTATCACACTGCATAATCTAAAAGCTGCATAAAAATAAAATGCACAAAAAGAAACTTCAGTTAACAAAAAGGGGGGAATTAATCATTTATACATTAAAAAAAATTTTCAACACTAAATTTTTTTATTAATTTAAATTTTTCCCAGTTAAAGTTTAATTTGTTTTGAAATTCTGAATATATTAGTGAACTATGTTGAATCTGGATTATGCAAGGTATTAGTACTATGTTTATTTTAAAGTGAAAAATTCAAAACCCAAACTTTTTTTATTTCAATTTAACAATTTGTGAGATTTATCTATTTATTTTTAACTAATACTTCATTCTTATTTCTTTCCTATTATTCTCTTTTCACCCCCTCTTTTCATGCCAGAATGTAAATGAAATAGCAAATGTTTATTCAGATTAAGATAGAAAGACGTGCTACTTAAGCAAGAGTTTGGGAAGTTAATTTTAGAGCATGACTCCTATTCCAGACCCATTGTGCTGTGATTATTAGCAACTTGAGCGTTTCTAGCCATTTGGCTTAGTCTTGTCCATTTACTACAAACCAGAGCCGTTCCTGCGTGTTTAAGTATTCTTTGAGCCATTAGGCTAAGTTACCACAGCTTGAATTCATTATTTGTTACATATTTCTGTTAAGTCAGAAGTTCTTGGCTTATGTAAACCCACACCCAGTCATTTGTTGTGTTAAAATAAAAGGTCTTATACACCCACTTCTGATTTCTGTTTTATTTCACAAGACTAGAACAAAATTCTTCAAAAGTCCTTTTAAATTCAATAGTTTAGGTTCCCAAAGAGACATAGACTTTACAAGATATAATGTAGAATTCTATCAAAGACAACATTTATAAGCAATAAATAAATACATAATTCTACATACACCTCACAACGCTTAGGGAATGATTATACTAGTCATTTAAATCATATACTTACTCCCTAAGCATTACAACTCATAATGGTTAGGGAATGATTATACTGGTCATTTAATCATATACTTCATTTCCACTACTAATATTTCACAATACCTATTTATTTGCAAAACTTTTAAGCATAAAAGACACATAATTAAGGAAAACCACTAAATTTCATGCAAATATTGATCCAATATAGTCCAACTTAATTATGACAATTCATAATATATTGTCATTCTTTAACTTTTAAATCCCTGAAAATGTCATCTTCTAAAATTGAATTATGGGAATATAACGTTGAGAACTATGTAAAAAGTAAATAATTCAAAATATTGTTTAAAATAAAATTAATTAGTTTAAAAGTTAATTTTTGTAGCAGCCAATGAAACTATAAGAAATAATTTAACTTACTAAAGTACTTACTTTACCAAGGATGTCAAATCCATGCTCATCCGCTAACTGTTTGACTACATCAGGACCTCCGGTTACTTGTACAACAAACTGATCCGAATAAAGCTTACAATTAACTGTCCCAACACTGTAATTAATGACAACAATTAAGTACAAAAATTTGTTGGTGCAATGCCCAAAACCCATTGTTGATAAATTTAAAATTCTAAAGAACTTATTTCCTAGAGAAAAGATATTAAATTATCGAGATTTCAATTGAGATGAGTATCAGCGTCAGCTGAAGAAAAGATTTTTAATGTGAGTCATTTTTCTCTCGGAAACGCAATTCAAATTTCCTTCCAAATAACTAAAATAACAAACAATGCATTTCTTGTTAATACTCAGAATTCAGCGTCAGATGATGTAAAAATCACCAAGGTAACACGACGAAAAACAAAACATTGTTTTTTTAAATCCATGATTGAGCAACCTGGGGAGAAGGAACTGAAGAAATGTTAAACATTTCTAAATCAATCATTAATGACAAGTTGGTATCACCGATCTGCTTTGAGGATTTACCTATAAACATAACATTATCCTACAACACAACAGCTTTCTGCTTCTTGTGAGGTGCTGCCAAAGGAGAATAAAAATGTGCTTTTATAAATTAGTCACGACTTCAGAATCCAAACAGAATAAAAAACTACATAGTTTACATTTTCTGCAAAAACCCATCAGAATACTAGGAAATATTAATACGTTTTAATAAATTGTAACTCATGAGAAGCAATAAATTAATTCGAAATTTACAAATGAATTTGAAATTAGAAAATAATAGCGGTGATCTAAGACAAGGCCAACTGGATCTACCTAGTCGGCCTTGTCTTCTCCATCCTTAACATTTTTACTCATATTAAATTCTTCAATTCACTGATTTGGACCTTTGACCAGAAACTCACCTTATTCGTCGACTGATGGCGGCCACTTGACTTTTACTTTCGTCTTTTTGTTTTACCGATGTTCTTCACCTGATACAGAGTATAAGGAGGCGCTGCTTTCTGAAACTCAAATTCACTATATGTTCTTAGTAGTAAAGAGAACGTAAATGATTTCGCTTCAAATTCTACAGCACTCTATAAAATTGCTTGCACAAAAATTTTTTTGCTAATACCTAGTGCTACCATTCTAGATGACCTTTACGTGTTAAAAACTAGTTGAAAGCTCCTTAAAACAAATCAAACAAGAAATTACTGCCTTCAAAAATAAAAGATGAACAAACTATCTCAATTCACTGGTGACTATGGACAATTCATTTAACGATATTTCTCGTAAACTTCGTAACTCCTATAAGGCCGAAGTCCTAACACCTGTCAGGAATCGAATATTCCGATACCGATAATGCAAATACATTTGCAGATGTCCATTTGAAATACTTTTACCTCAAACCATTCCCCCTATAACAGCCACATAATACATATCGCAGTCCACCGGAACCAGATTCCGTTGAACTCTCACTTTTTGAGATAGAGCCGAAGTACACCAAAGCCCTAAATAAGAAAGTTATAGCACATTTTTTTGTCTAACTGAAGCACAATTTCAGCTGAAAATACTTATGATATTAAAAATTTTATTCTAATAACAAAGTTACCTTTTTATCGATTCTAACTTCCGAATACCTGGCTCTCTTTTTGTGGGAAACAAACCTTATTATAGAAATTGAGAGGTCAATAAAGCTCCCACCCACATGTCAGAGACTTATTCTCGAGGAAGTACAATGAATTTATGAAAGCGGGTAAATTTTTCATTCCCAAAAGTACTAAAAGCGAAGCTTTCTGAAAGAATGTTAATTAAATAAGGGAAAAGAAAATTATCATTGTTACAGAAGCTTATTTTTGTTCTCAGTTTACGATTCTCCAATTCAGGGTAAATTTTTAATCGCTGCACATTCTGCTTAACAGCTGGAATTGTTTCGGCAGGGAATCATGGTCAGAAAGCATTGGACTCTTCTCTTTGTTTCCATTAACGTTCCCGTCTCCAAGTTGTTCCGCTTAAAAATTTCTTCCTCTATCTCCAGTAACTTATTGCAATAAGCGTCACTCTCATGACTCTTTACCACCTCTGATACTCATAAGTCCACATCACTTCTGATGCAAAATTAGGGGGTCACCCTTCCGATAGTATCCAGTTCCTCCCTAGTTCTTAAGACCGTTCTGCGTTTTGCTGCCGGTTAAGACTCTTTCTGCTTGAAGTTTTCTTACAATTTCTTTGCATAAAATATTCTACCTAGCAATACAGCGTAAATATTAGTAATTTATATCTTATTAATTGGATACTTATATGTTTATTACTGAACTGAATATATATATGCATTATTCTAAAATTTCAAGTTATTTGATAACCTATTTAAAGTATTTTTTTCGATCTTCGGAAAAAAATTAGGATTATACGATTGCATGATGCTTCTTAAACTCATTTACTAAATTTATGTATTATATTTTAATGATGAATACTTTAAAAATATCAAAGGTGTAACTTTCTATTGAAACAAAAAATTCAAACAGATTTTTGCAATTTAAGTGGTATTCTTAAAACAAGCTACTTTGAACTTTTGTTTATGATGAAGTTTCTACGATACAGCTGAATAAATTTTTAATTCATCGATAATTTCCAATACAGTTGAATAGTTTTCTCGATAATTTCCAATACAATTAAATAGTTTTGATTTTAAAGCAATTTATTAATACAGCGTTAATCATCGTGTGATTAGCAAAATCAAATTTGAATTTACTATAGTTTTCTCGATAATTTCCAATACAATTAAATAGTTTTGATTTTAAAGCAATTTATTAATACAGCGTTAATCATCGTGTGATTAGCAAAATCAAATTTGAATTTACTAAACAATCATGTATTTATTATACTTGTTTTAATTCAACAAACGTTCCGTCAAGTAAATTATTATTATTATTTGTAAAAGCTAATAATAAATCTGAGTGTAGTATTCGGTAGGCTCTCCCAGATTATTGCAGCTTTACAGCAACATGAAAAAAAAATATTTTACTTTTCTTCCTAGAAAGTATTACCTTTCCGTCACTTACTTATCTGCCTTGAAGAATAAACGATAAAAAATATTCATGAAACAATTTTTAGCAGTACAGTTTCAATTCCTTTAGCTTATGTATTGAAGAATTCTGAGATTCTTCAGAGAATTCAAGCAGCCAGATGTCCTCACCAGTATTACTCTCCGAACATAATTCCAATTTTTCTGGAAGCTTCCAGAAGTGGGATATAAATATAAACTTCACTGAAGCCTGAATAGTTCAGTTCGAAATTGTAAAAAGTGCGAATATTTTGATACTGAGAATTTATCTCGGTGATTAACTGCTTTTAGATTTTGCTTTGCGAGCGATTTGATTTTCCTCGCATCTTAAGGAGAATTTCGCTTTATATCTTTTTTTCTCTTTGGGCTCTTCGTAACTGTTTATTTTGCTGCCATTTTTCGCAGTAAAACTGTAAGTTTTTCCACTTCATCTTGCTTAATTATGATTTCTAAGAATTTGTAGTATACAATAATACAATATTTTTTGTTTCCCCCAAGGGGAAGAATATTAGTTGAGATGAAGATAAAAGTGAAGAAGCAGTTTACTTCAGACAGACAGAGTCCTAGTTCCAGATCAACAGTTAGATATTAACATCAGTATGAAATTCAAGTTTTAGCTGTTCCCTTCAACAAAACCTTAAAAATGTTTAAATAAATTAGAAAAATGTAAAAAAAGGGGGTGGATTTTAACGGTGGCCCAAAAGGATTTGTTAAGGTTTATTATGTTCTTGCTGAGCTAGCAGCCTACCAGTCTGCTGTTGCAATCGCTCCAACTACACCCCCACTTTTTTTTTTTTTTTTTTGTCTTTTTAGCTTTATTATGAAGCACACTTTTTTTAGCGTTTTAGAAGTATACCTTTAGAATTCTCAATGCAGAGTTAAGATTTGGCATACATTTTTCAGTTTTTTAGTCCAAAGGGATTTGAGTCCCCGAAGGACTATTACTTTCGTTTTGGCATTTTGCGTCGGACTCCTATAAATGTCAGTTCACTTTTCAAACTGTTGCCACGAAATGTTAGAGTTCTGCAATATATTTGAAAAAATTAAATAATGCAAAAACTGCATAAATATATGCATATTTCTCGCATTGTCATAAAACAACGCTATCTAGAGCCATCCAGTTTTGAATGACGTAATCCTACTGCGAATATGGGCATCTGAAAGCCCCAAATTTGAAATTTGGAATTTGTTTTATGATCGATTTCATATTTTATAAAACTTTAACGAACTTTTGATTAACAAACTCAACGATTTAAAAGCGAGCAATGGCAACACTCTACGGGGGAAAAAACCTTTTTATCTCCAGCGCGTTGAACTGTGTATCGGACATTCTAAAGATATACTCATTTTAAAATTATTTTGCGACATTGCTATTGAACTAAATTTTATGGTTTAAGTGCAAAGAACATGATATTTAATAAATAAAGGTAACACGGAAAACGTTAGAAAAATGCACCTTTAGACGTAATTTAAAATCTGAAACATTTCAGATTTCCACCCCCCCCAGTTTTTTTCAATTAATCGTATCAATGTTGAGTTTTTTTACTAACACAGTTTGAGTTTCAGAAATAATTCAATAATCTTATTTAGCCCAAATCGTTAGTCCCGAATGGGATATGAGTTTTGAAACGGCATTTTGCGTTGAACCACTATTAATAGCGTATCACGTTTCATATTGTTGCCACCAAATATTATCACCCTGTATTATATTTAAAGAAATTAAACAATGAAGAATATGTATGAATGTATGCATGTTTTTCACACTGATAAAACGGCGGAATAACGTAGTCCTCCATCCAAACATGGGCTCCTAGAAACCCGAATTTTGAATTATGTATTTGTTTAATTATCTATATCATATTTTGAAAAAAAGTTAACGAATTTTTTATTAACAAAGTCAACGATTTCGAAACGAGCAAAGGTAAAACTATACGGAATAAAACATTTTTATCTCCAGCGTGCGAGCCTGTCTATTGCAAATTCTAAGAATATGCTGGTTTTATATATTTTGTGATTTTGCTGTTAAATCGAATTTCATATGGTGTAAGCGCCAAGAACGTGATACTTAATGAATAAACATACGAAACGTTAATAATAAAAAGACAAAAAAAAGTTTTTTTAAGTCATCTTGGTAACAAAACTGAACATTGATATGACAAACTGAGAAAAGACCGGGAAAAAAAAAAAAAAATTAATAAAATCTGAAAGTTTCAGATTACTTAAACCATAAAACTCAATTCCAGAAGTACTTGAACCATAAAATTCAATTCAACAGCATTATTACAAAAAAAAAAAAAAAAAGAAGAAGAAGAAGAAGAAACCTCGCGGAATAAATATCCGTGCTTGAAGATACATGCCATGTGAATGTTAATGGAATCCTCTGAAATCGTTGAGTTTGTTAATCAAAAATTCTTTAAAGTTTTACAAAATATGAAATAGATAATAAAAATATTCCAAATTTGGGCTTGCAGGTGCCCATATCTGAGTGGAGGACTACGTTATTCAAAATTTGATGTCTCTAGGTACCGCTG